TCAGTCAGTCAATCGAGTTGAACGGAACATTTGCCCATCTCTGATGATTGGGCCCCAATCACATTATTAATGACATCATGCTACTTATTACTGCCATAAGAAGGAAGAGAACCTTTATTAATCACCTTGATTTACATTCCTTGAAAGTTGAAGATATTAAAAATAGATGAACAAATATCAAAGAAGAACGTTTAATGTTTTCGACTTAATTTTGTATCAATTTCAAGGCAGGAAGTTCCAGTGTCATGAGTGATTTCGTATCGCAATTTTGAAGTTAAATTTTCTGATAAAATTGATAAAATCCTTTGAAGATTCTGTGGGAGAGTCTTAACAACTGTGCCTTTGCGACAAATCGTTCCATTCTTCTTACTAGGACATTCACTTGAGATTGCAAAAACATATAAAGGAATTTTGAAGAGCTCATTGATAGGTTTTTTGCACAAGTCAATTTCCATTTGGTTGAGTTTCATTTTTCCATCAAAAGTTGTTAGTTTTAACTATTAAATATTGAATGAATGTTCCAATAAATTTCAACGAATTTATTTAAATTTACCTTTGCTGTTTTTTAAGGTTTAACTTCGGAACAAGTATTAGAATTTACTTCACACTTTTCATTCAAGTCAACAGTTCCATTTAAATGTTTTATAACTTGATCTCCATTCCCACCACAACTTCTGAAAGATCTTTCCAAGATTTTAATTCCATTCTATGAGCAATAAAGAAACATTAAATTTAAACTTGAAATTCTTCCATTTTTCATCTTACACAGCTCAACGACAAATGCACAGAAATCAAAAATATCAAAAGTTGTAAAACTAACATTTTCCTTTCTTTGTTCAGAAGTTAAATCTTTATTGCGATTTCATGTGTTATTTATAAAGGCCGAAAAAAATCCAGATTTAATATTTATTGAAATATAATTACAAACACCATTTGTGCTTTACTAATCGTTATTCAAATTACCAAATCACATCGTTGATCAATTCTAATATTTTCATATTAATCCTCTCCATTTCTATTCAACTCAATCTCTGCTTGAAAGCAAGACTTGCCAGTATCATGTGTTAGGATTACTTGGAACACCGCCACTTTTCCAAAAACTTGAGACGTGTATAACATTCTTAACTTTGATTCTGTAAAATTTATGACCGTTCCGCCGTTGTAGCAGAAAATTGGGGTCGCCTTATGAGAACAAGTCAAAGGAATACCAAAAAATCCAAACCCAAGCTTCATCATATCCGTTTGCTTCAATCTTTTCTGACATAAATTTTCTTTTTGATAAAAAACTGGAAGTTTTAGTTTAAAGATCTTCGCTTCCACCTTGAAAAATTGGAGAGTAATTTTTTGTTAAGAATTTTACTTTAATTAATTTTTATACAGTTGCAGTTTTGTAGGACTTTATCTCCGAACATGATTGCGATGTTATTTCACATTTCTCATTTATTGTAAGCGAGGAATTGATCAGCTTTATCACTGGTTCTGAATCACCACAATTCTTTGCATATTTAACATTAAACTTGAAATCTCCCTAGGTTGGAAGTAAAAATATGATTAAAACTCTTAATCAAATAAAACGATCGAATATTTACACAATATGATGAATAAAACATTTGAAGTCCTGCACAAATAAATAAAATTTGGAAATTTAGTTTAAGAAGCATTTTGGGTTGAATTTACTCAGCATCTGAAGTTAGTACAATAGTTCAGTGTAATATAAAATTTCCCCATTCATAGATCATTTAACAGCTTCATGAGGCTTAAATATTAATGCTTTTTTGTTAATTGATTTAACAGTTGGTTAACTGCGGACATTTAATGACAAATACAATGCTTTTTACTCTAATGATTACAACCTTTCGTAATCTGTTAAATTTAATAATTATCTCAAAACATTTTAGACATTACTTTTAATATGATGATTAAACTTTATTGAAAACATTATCTCAAATTTATGTAATAAGCATTAATTCTAGATATATTTACAAAAATTGTCATCTTCATTTAAATTTTGATTTCGAATTCCGATTCCACACATGATGTTCCCTAGAAAATTGAAATTCAAGAATTATGTATCTATCTAATTGTATGAATTTTTATGGAAAAATGTTTTACTGTGTCATGTTTTATTTCATTTCTCGCAAAAGCTTTTCCGGACCCAATCAAACGAACTAATTTCAACTTTTTCGCAAATGAAAATATTTTTAAGTTTTCTTTACAAAAACTGCCCTGCAATGGAAAATGAATTGTTAAGAAAAACTTGAATTATTAATAATTTTAAATAATTTACTTCTTCCTTAGGGCATCCAGTTATTCCTTGAGTTAAGAGAATACCGCGGATTATTTCATTTTCCTTCTTCATTTGACATATACCATGCGTCATGTTAAGAATAAGAAGATTGTTTTTGTAAATCGTCAAAACACCCTAGAAAACAATTTTAATGTTTTAAAAAATTCCTTGTGAAAACTACAATTTACTACCAGGCCAGTATTATATTTTTTGTTCACGGCGCAAACGCTTGAAATCACGTCACAATTTGGTGTTGAAGTCATCGATGTATTTGGGAGGACTTTAATAATTGAATCTTCGGAGCCACAATTCCTTACGTGGTTTGTCCTTATTAAAATACCTTGCTACATTAAAAAAAATCAACATCAAAGCATATTATTTTTTTAAAATAAATTCAAAATATTTTACACATGATTCTCCATTAACAGAGAATGACGAAATTACAACTGAAAATAAAAATAATTTCACAAATTCCATTTCCAATTTTAAGGTGTGAATAATTTTGTGAATAATAATATGATCGCTCCTTTTATACACTTTAACTCAACTGAATCAAACGACAAAGTTTAAACCAATTCTAGTTCAATTTTAATTTGTTTGCACACTCTCATACTTAACATTGATAAGAATCAAAAGACCATTTCCTATTTCTAATATGTAACTAAAAATTGAATTATGTTAGATATCTATGAATCAAATAAAAATATTTTTATTCCTTTTGTTACATGACATCTCGCTACATTAAATAAGTAGATTTTTACATTTAATTGTACATTTTTATTTGAAAATTATTTTTCTGTAATTTCATGATTTTTTAATTCGCAAACTTTACCCCCACAGATCAGATTTGTTCGAATGCGCGATAGCAAAGGAACAAGCTAAAATAGACCTCAACCAAACAAACCAAACAAGAAAGAAATAATTTAAAGTCATCGAAGCTTTATGGTCGAACACTCAATTCAGCGTCAAAACATGACGATCCAGTATCGTGTTTGGATATCGCTCGAATCTTTAAAGACTCATCACCACTCACCATAGAAAAAATCTTTTTACTTGATGTCAGCGTTAATAATTTCTTTCCATTGTCACAAAATATTTTCTAAAATTGATAAAATTAAAACCAATTGCTGATATCGTAAACTATTGAAATAATTAATGATTACTTGTTCCATAGAACAACGAAGTCCAAAGACAGACATTATGACTCGTGACAATTCGTTTTTCTTGCTTTTCTGACAGAGATTTTGAGTGCCATTGTATATAGTTATTCCATTTCTGCGTAATTCAACAATGACCTGAAAATTAATTATCGTGATATCGAATTACAATTCAATAATTGTGTCAATACCGTAGTTCGAGTGTAAGCTTTGACATCAGCGCAGGTGTAAGATGAAACTTCACATTTCTCGTTTACAACAGTTGTAGAATTCTTCATGATTGTCACAACTTGATTTTCAGGGCAACAGTTCTTAATATTCTTCAATTTGATGTCGTATCCATCCTAAATGGTAAAATTATCATTCATTCAAATTAGATTGGTAAAAAATGACTTACACAAGCTTCAGAAAAGTTTTCCCATGAAAATATGAGAAAAAATATGTAAAGGCAGTGATGATACTGAAAATTCATTGCAAAAAACTTGAAAAATGTTTTCGTTTGAAACGTCATGATAGTGAATGATCGTTCTGGTTATTTGAAACAAGTAAACAATTGAGAATATTTTGACTTTTTTAAACATTTTAATTCAGGATGAACACAATTATAAAATGTAACATATTATGGATAATTATTTGTTGTTTGTTTCAACATTGACGATAAATTTATTTGAATATGTTAAGGTTCTTTCACTTCAATGATCATGTCAATGGAAATTTGTTTTTAAGGTTGAATGGGAAGCTGTAACATAATTTAGAAGTTTTTAGTGCTTAAAAGTAATTCTAAAGGCAAAATTATCTACTGAAATTAAAATGTTTAATTTATGATCTTTCCCAAAGCTAATGGAGAATTTTATCGATTACCAGCTCAATGTTATACCCTCTACGGATTTATAAAAATTAAACCAATTTTTATTGTTTTTAAATTGTCTCGCGATGGTCACTTTAGAAAAATTACTTTAAATGATGTTGTAAAACCAAAAGTATTTCTTTTCATTAGCTAGCTTTAACCTTTCTTACTTGCAAACATCAAAATACCAACTTTACACTTGACCACACGAAATATCTCAACTTTGAAACCATTAACAATAATTGATCTCCAACGGCAACATAATTGAATATCAAATTCGTATGAATAATAACAGCATGCAAACGCGAAAGACAGAAACGCGAAAAGTAGTGACAAGGTCATCATTAATGATCCAAAAATAATATCACAATCGAATCATATGTTGGTATTGAAGAAAGTTTAACAATCGGACAATATTTAAGTGTATAATAAAAAATGCGAAGAAACATTAAAGAAAGAGAAAAAGAAAATAATAAAAGCAGATTAAATTCGAGACCTTCAAAGTGAAATTGAAAGTGAACCAGATTTTTTTGTTCTCTTACTAAATTGATATTGTGTAACAATGATTAATTTTCTTCGATACAATTTATCGGTTCTTTCATCGAGAGACAATTTATTTTATTTCTTTTATAATTTATGAAAGCTGTCAATGGCTTGTCACTCAAAGTTGAACATCAAAATAATTCCTTCGATGATTGTAAGTAAAAAGATGTTTAGCATTTCGTTTCATATATAGAATCTCTTCTTGTTCTTTATTTTTATTTACAACTTAAATTTTAAATAAGGAAAGACATAAAGACTACGGCACTTGAACAGAGTTGCACTTTTTCATGTCTTTAGGTTCATTTTGGGAGCATTTAAAAGGATAGTTTAGAGGCCTCTTTAGTAATGGTATTGGGATGATGGTCCATGGAAGGAAACATGGGATGATTGTTCAGAAGTTGAGTATTTGATTGGTTGGGCAACAGTCTTGATAACTTGGGCTGGTGCTGAGTAGTATTGTGGTGCTGGTGCAACATATTTTTGCACAACTGGGGCAGAAACGTATTTCTGGACAACTGGGGCAGAAACGTATTTCTGGACAATTGGTTGGGCAACTGTGTATTTAGTTTGAGCTGGGGCTGAGTAGTATTGTTGTTGAACTGGAGCTGAAACGTATTGTTGAGCTGGTTGGATGTATTTTTGGACAGCAATAGGTTGAGCTGGTTGGATGTATTTCTGGACAGCAATAGCTGGTTGAGCGATGACTTTCTGGACGGTCTTGACAACTTTGTGTCCCTCAACTGGTTCACGACGAACATTAGCTTGGAATCCATGGTGATCATCAGCAGTGTAGGCAACAATTCTACGGTAACCGTCAGCATCGATCAATGAGTATTGTCCTTGGATAGCACCATCATGAGCGTGTTCATGTTGTTGTTTGATGTCTCCGGTATGGGGATCATGAACATCATAGTTGAATTCATAGTTGGCTGGTTCTTCATGTGCAACTTGCTTGACGTAAGTTGGTTGAACGATTTGCTTGACAACAGCTGGTTGGTAAGATTTAATAAGGGCTGGTTGAACTGATTTGATCAAAGCTGGTTGAACTGATTTAATCAAAGCTGGTGCTTGATATTGATGGTATTGTGGTTGCTGTTGATAGTAATCATTGTGATAATGCTGAGCTGAAGCAACAGCGATTAAAGCAAACAATGCAATGAACTAGAATTGAACAAAATATTTTCAGATTAGAATCAGAATTGTGAAATTAAAAAACTTGACAACAATTAAACTCACTTTTGATGCCATTATGATATTTTTTTTTAAATATTTGATGTACTACTGTACTGATTGTAACTTTTGAACTATACTCATATCCTCCAGATTAATCGCTTTATATACCAAACGAAAAGTGTTTTTTACCGTTCGCGAAAATCCTCTCCCAAAAACAGTTTTCGGCTGAAATAATTCGGGTAAAAGATTTTGTCTCAAAATGTGATTCAACAGCTTCGTAGTTTCAACGGTGTGTTTTAATTTTTCTCTCTTTACACAATGTGTGCTTAAGAGTTCACCACGCCTTTCGCCCTCCAGACCACGGACTCACGGAATTTGTTTGGTTTGGTCTCTTCGTAATGACGAGAGCGAGACGAAACAAAATGTGGCAAATATGATACAAAGGAAGGAAAATGACATTGAAAAGTCAGCTTATCCTCTAATAAAAAACAAATACAATCCGGCTAGTTATCAGAAGACATCTTGTTCCGACAACAGAATTGAATAAAACCTTAAAGCTTAATGAACATCCTTGGATAACGTTCGACATGTTAATTTAGGTTTACCTTTTGGGCAGCTAATAATTATGCACTGTGCTGGTGTTTCTTGCAGATCTGGGATAAAGATATCAACTTCTAAATAATTCAATTACAAACGTTGTCGAAATTTATTTATGAAATAAATGTCGTGGTGTGAAAATCATCTGCATAACATCGAATTTCAATGAAGATTCGCGATATTTTCCCATACAAGATTAATGTATGTGATTTTCCATTATTTAAAGTAAATTAAAGTTGAAAAAGATTTTGATACATGTTACATAATTTCATTTCAATTTTCTCTCAAGGTCCCTCTGATATTTTTTCTCACTTTTATTTCACATGGAATGTGATCGTTTGCAAATAAGTTTTTTTAATTAAACATTGTAGAGAAAAGATATAATGGATCAACATTAATCTTGAAGCTTAGTAAGATCGTGATCATTTATGTAGGTAAATTTCTTAATAAAAATTGCAAGACATAATTTTATTATTCGAAAAATAATCTAAAAAATTTCAGAAAAGATCAACATTTGTTAGTCATGTCGCACACAGCTTCTTGTCGATCTGTGATCATATCTGTGAAACATTATTTTCCATTCATGATTGTGCGAAATGTTAAAGTGCTTGTTTATGTTTCATGGTAGATTTTTGTGGTCTGTAATCAAATTTAGCAAACACGTGATCAAATATTAGGCAAGTGTCGCTATATTAATAATGAAGAAACAAACTTATTGTTCCAATTAAACGTACATTTATCATGTGGGTCTATTTGAATAAAGATATCAAGTGTTATGTCAGTATTAACGCTGAAATTGTAATGCAAGCATCGAAATAAAATCAAGAAAAAACTGGAGCAGTTAATGCCCGGTCGAATTTTATTTCTCTTCTCATCGCATCAGGCGTGTGCATACTCTTACTCATTGGTCTGTTAATGTTACCCGATTCAATCGAGTGTGAGGTAAAATGTTGTGAGTCATAAGACAACACAAAAATTCTCAAAAACAATTGCGCGAATTTTTCTGCAGACAATAATTTGCCTTTGAACTCGAAGGCGAATGATTGCAGATCGGAGCTATAAAGCCGTATATTTGCTGTTATTTATGAAGTCTATTAATTATTTGATACTTGGAATGCGTGTCAATATCTTCAATGCTTTTAAACATAATCGAGTTGAATGAGCTTTTTTACATTGAAGTGTTAATCACTTCAGATCTGAAGAAATCAAAGTTTAAAGACATGACGGAACCCAACGATATCGTTTAAACGAGATGAAATTTCTTAATTGGCTTTAAGAACCTTGAGAAACTCCAGACTGAGAATGCAAGGAGAGAAGGTGAAGTGATCTCATTTTTGAACAATGACTTTACTTGCACTTTTTAAAACTCGAATTTACTTATCTACAATTCACCTGAGTGTATGTGGTCTAAATAACTGTAATTAAGTATGAAAACAACTTTCTCGTTGAATGTCCTTTCAGACAAAATATTTGGGCCAAAAAATAATCAATTACGTGACAATAATGGAGTAATTAAAAAGATTTTTTTTATATAAAATGAATGTCATTAATTCAAACATGTAATTTTATTCTTTGATTACATGCAAATTCCAACATCCTTCGATACATCAAAGTGATATGATTTACTGTCAATTTCAACAACCAATATTTTGATTTTTTTTATTCCTTTAAACTCATTAACGCTTTTGAATGTTTAACTAAAATGTGGAAGAAAAAGAAAATTGTGCAATTTTTAAACTGAACGAACATTAAACAATATTCAGTGACAATGGAAGCGATAAATCATTCGCGATCTTATTTCTTTGATGTTTTTTTTGTGGTTCATGCTCAGAGGGAATAAACGACAGAAATCAATTTGGAACGAATTCAAAGTAAAGAGTAGCATTTAACTTCAATTTGAATATGAATCATTAATTATGTCCTTTATTAAATTTTTGTTTATTGAAACAACAATAAATCTTTTGATCCAAGAAAAAGAAGAAAGCTTCAGCCATTAATAACACTCTGACGATGATGAAATTGTACGAGCTTCTGTTGAACCATCTTTTTCCTTGTTTGGATACATTGAAGTTCAATAGCAAGATCATCATCACTGGGTTCTTCCTCGTTGTTCACCTTCGAAGAAAGAAGAAAAAATCGTGTGAGGTTGAAAAGTGAAAGAAGATTCGCAACGATTAAAATTGCCGGCATGCGCGTCGAAGCAAGTTTTGAATCATCGCATAAATGAAATATCAATGTCGGGGAATCCGCTCGCTTATATGCATTTTTTATAAGAAGCATCTCGTCGTTTTATTGATCAACACGCGCACGCCTTTCAAAGCATCTTTTAAGTGTTCTGTTTGTGAAGTTCCGACTTATGACTAAAAAACTCTTAATGAATGACCAGTGGCAGAATACAAAAGTTGTTGAAATCGCTTTTATAGCAAAGCACTCAATCCATATGTATTAATTAATTGAACTATATGTAATGTGTAGCGCTTACTATCATTAAAATCATAAATTATTCTCTTTTCACGCGAATTCTTTTTATTTGACTTCATTGGAAACAAGTTTATTTCACTTTTAAGGTTGTTAAATCTTATTATTTCAGCAGCACTTTCTTCATGTGAAGTCTAAATAAATATCTATAAGTAGTTACATAATTTTTTCCTCCCTTTTAAAGCTTTGTTTCTGAGAAGCGAATGTAAGTGAAAAAATGCATGATGCAATTATGTGATCTTCAACTGGAGTGATAAAATTTTAACATTGAAACTTCCAAAGAAAAAAAAAATTTGCGACAAGTTCGATTTGACAAGAATTCGATAAAATTATAACGAGCTGCTTTTGATTCATTATGAGATAAGGTGATCAGTTCGCGTCTCAATGGTAAAATGGTTTGCAATGTTAAACATCGAAGAAGGAGAAACAACAGAGTCGGAAAGTAAAAGTGGTTGGTCTGTGGTCTGACATCCAATATCACGCCGAAATAATAAAAAAATCAGTTTCAATGTCTGACCTACATCGTGCTATACATTTGAACTCTTTATGGGTCGAAGCGAGACGTATAATTTTTTAAACATTATAATGAACTTGTAGGAGCAACAAGAACTTTACCTTCAGTGTCAAATTTCTTAAATTATCGCTTGTTGAGTTCACGTCCTGCCCATAGGCTGTCGATTCATCTTGCGAGTTTCTGAAAAGAAAAATAAAAAAAATTACAACAGGAAAGAAAGAAACGAAACGAGATCATGAATAATTCTGAAGCTTAAGTGCTTGAGAAATTCATTAAAAGAGAATAAAAAGAACATTTCTCAACGCTTCTTATGTTGAATGTTTCATGTTGCGACACAAATTGTTATGTTTTTTATGTCTTAGAATAAAAAAAACTTACGATGAGTTTTGTAGTAATTGCTTAAGCTCGGCATTTTCTTGTTTAAGTCGTTGTGTTTCCGATTCAAGGTAGTCGATCTGACGCATCGATTTATGAAATGAGAGAAAAAAGTTTTGACCATTGGTTCGGTGATCTGATTTAAATTTGAAGTCATTACATCACCGAGTTCAAATTCCAGTTCATCAATTACATTCAGAGCTTCATTGTGCTCCGCTTCAAGTTTATCAAAACGATTTTGAAGGTCAATAAATGCAGCATTGTCCAATTGAATTGTGCTGCTGACTGATTCGACGACTTGGACATGTGGCTGGGATATTCTTATCGCTGGTTTTCGCTTCAGATTAGCTTCAAGCACTTTGACACGTTGATTTAATTCATTGCAATTGACAGCTAATTTATTCAATTTCGATTTGAGTCTGTGATTTGCTTCTTGCAAGGCTTCCTTCTCGTTGATCTCTTGCTCTAGTTGCAATTTATATTTAACGTTTAGCGATGATGATGTTGCGCTGATCTGTTTCAACTCTTCGACTGTCATCGACAGCCGCATATTTTCAGACATTAATTGACTGCTACGTGACATGTCTACGAGATTATTTGATAAGAAAATGAAAATTATTCAATTCGATGTAATATAAAGGCAGAAATAAAAATTGTTAATTTAACTTTGTTCATTTTGCCATATCAATTGCTTAATCTTCTTGTTCAATCGCAGAACTTCTTCATCGTGACTGTTCATTGTTTGAATGCTTAATTTCGTTTCTCTATTTACCTGCTTCTATTTAATTTTGGTATCAAACTGCTGATCTTATTTAAAATATCCTAAACTTTTCACTGAACATCAACCACTATGACAATTAACTCTTTTCTTATCAGACATCAACTTTGCTACTTTTATCAAACAAGATAAGAAAAAATATTTCGAACTGAAAAAAGCTTTCGAGATTTATAAAATTAAAGTCAGTTGAATTTTGATGTTTAATAACTTTTATTTATAAAATTTCTTTAATAGCATCGAATTTTGATATTCTATTAATCCTAATAGTCAAAACTTGTTGACAGTTTAGTAAGAATAGTGTGATGATGGTCCCTTGAATGAGACGTGCGATGAGAAATCGTGGTTGTTGTCATAGGCTGGAGCTGATGAAACAACTTTGGTGACAACTGGAGCAACGTATTTTTGGACAACTGGTTGAGCGACAGCGACTTTCACTGGAGCAACAACATTATAGTACTGTTGTGGTTGTTGAACTTCTGTCTTGTAGTATTGTGTTTCAGGAGCTGAGTAATATTGATGAACTGGAGCTGGTGCGACGTATTTCTGAACAGCAATAGCTGGTTGGGCGATGACTTTCTTAACAACGACTGGTTGAACGTTCTTAACGACTTGATGTCCCTCGATTTTTTCACGACGAACTTCGGCGACGAAGCCATGAGCGTCATCAGCTGTGTAGTGAACAATTCTTCGGTAACCGTCAGCATCGATCAAAGTGTAGTATCCTTCAACAGCTCCATTTTTGGCTGATTCGTGATGTTCTTTGATGTCACCTGTGTGATCATCATGAACTGCATATTCGAAGTCGTAATTGGCTGGTTCTTCATGTTCTACAACTTTCTTAAGCACTGGTTGCACAATATGTTTCACAACTGGCTGATAAGATTTAACGTAATCGGGTTGTTCGTAATGTTGATTGTCGTAGTGTTGTGGAGCAGCTGAAGCAGCAACAGCAAGTGCTAAGAAGGCGACGAATTTGAACACCATTTTCAATTTTAATTAATAAAAACTTTTGGAAGTTGATAGTTGAACGTTTTGTGATTAAATGATACTTTGAACTGCAAGTCATGTCCATTTTATACTCAAAAATTTTTTAATCCTCGTATCAAACAACATATCTTTTCTTTTTTTTGAAAATGACAACCCGCTTTGCTGTTTTTATTTTCTGACCCACAAAATCAATTTGTTGTCACATTGTGAAAGAAACACTTTAAGTGACTGTTAACCTGTGTTTACAAATATCTGATCTTTGTTTTAATTAATAGTGAAATATTTCCAGGAAAAACTGAAATTTGATTGGAATTTGACAATATACACAGAAAATAATTTATCTAGAATTTTATTAATCCTTAATTTACCAGCATTATTTTCTTAACAAGACGATCAAATTAAGTTTAAACGACAGTTTAATTCATGATTATTACATTCAGTACAACAACCTTAAGTATGTAATAAGAAACATTGCTATTACCGTTTGATCGATCGATTTTTTTTGTCTTCTTTCATTGCACGAAACGAGACATAACAACTGGAGATATAATGGGCCTAGGTCAAGTTTAAGCTTAAAAATGATTGGTTCATTCATAGATGCGTGCTGTTTTACTCTAAGTATGGAAAATATCTTTGAAAAAATCATGTTAATTTCATTTCGATTGTTTCTTATTTTGACTATTCAATGAAAAGATTAAAACATCTAAATTGATGTTGAATTAAAAGATGATACAACTTTAGATACTCAAACTGAATATCTACAAATAATTTAGATTTATAAGCAAAAACTAAACATTATTAAATTTAAGTTATCTAGAAACATATTTGAATGTTTCTCTACCTCCAAAATTTTTCTCTACGGAATTTTTTGGCAAACCCAATAAACTGTTGCCAGGTGATCAAAGAAACATTCGTGAATTGCAACATTGAAATATTTGATTGAAGTTTCGTGTATAAAATGGAGCCAATTTGCAGTTCAAAGTACCATTCAGTCTTTGATCGTTTAACTATTCACTTCAAATATTAATAACTGCTCGAAATGGCATTCAAATTCGCCGCTTTCTTTGCTCTCGTTGCTGTTGCTGCTGCTGCACCACAACATTACGATCATTACTCACATCAACCCGCTTACATTAAATCTTATCAGCCAGTTGTGAAACAAATTGTGCAACCAGTGCTTAAGAAGATTGTTGAACACGAAGAACCAGCAAACTACGACTTCGAATATGCAGTTCATGATGGTAAAATTTGATAGAAATTTCTTCTGCTAATAATTTTTAAATTCTTTCATTCATTTCACAGGTCACACCGGTGATGTTAAGGAACAACACGAATCAGCCAAGGACGGAGTTGTCTCAGGATACTACTCATTAGTTGATGCTGATGGTCACAAGAGAATCGTTCACTACACAGCTGATCCCGTCCACGGATTCAACGCTGAAGTTCGTCGTGAACCACTTGGACATCAAGTCGTTAAGAACGTTCAACCAGTCGTTGTTAAGAAAGTCATCGCTCAACCAGCCATCGCTGTTCAAAAATACATCGCACCAGCCCCACAATACTACTCAGCTCCTAACTATTACCATCATTAAAAATGTCAATTCTTTGTTAAATGTGATGATTAGCTCATAGAGTCTGTAAAATTGTTTTACGAAGATCGCAATTAGATTTCAATGAAATTGAAAACGAAAACACTAAATTAGTCTTTTTTTTCTTTATTATCTATTATGAGGTGATTATTAACGGAATTTCCGCTTAATGTTGAGCCACAAATGACGTGAGGTTCATATGTGGTCAGGAAGTGGTCAAAAAATGATTCATTACATGAATTAATTTATTTTTAAAAGCTATCTTTCATGGAGATACATTTTGTTTATTTCATGATTTATTAAAAGCTTGTTGAGTTTCCAAAAGAGCTGCTTGAACCGATGTGCATGATTATGTAAAGAAGTTCTGATTTGTTAGTCAACTAAATATTAAAAGGGTTATGATTAGAAATGTTACAAGATAAAGGAATAGATACCTAAAATGTCATTTAAGATATCAAATGTTCCGTTCAGATAGGAAAACATACATTATATGATCTTTAATTATTCTTTTAAGAAATACAAATTGCCTTATTGTGTTAAAATCAAGAAATTAACCTTGAAAAAAATCACTTAATCAATAATTTATTTCATTTTATTTTTTAAATAGATATTATTGCTAATCAGATGTTTATTATAAATTCTTATTGTAAAGTCATTGATGAGAGAATAAAAATATGCTATCAAAATCACTTTTAATATGTATGAATAAATTTTATTACAAATTGTTGGTTTTTCTAATCTAATTACCTTTCAAGTTAACGCTGAAAATTTAAATACAAGTTTGAGCGAGAAGAGAAGAAGAAAAAGCCTATCAAAATCTAATAGAAAATAATGAACTTTAGCATTGACTTTCAACAATGATGACTTGACAAAAGTGACACAAAAAGTTATTTAATCTCATGTTTGAACAGCAAAAGTAGCGTTAAGTATTTAGATGAAACTCGTTTTACGAAATTATTCAGAAAAAAATTCAACTCAGGTGCTCCAATTTAATCCGCAGAGTGTCGAGTGTACGTTGGCTCGCAAAAAGACAATTTGTGGGCCATTGAGATATTTGAAAATTGCAACATTACTCCTTCAATGTTTGATTGAAATCTATCGTATAAAATGAAGGTGTTTTGCAGTTTAAACTATCATTTAATATCAAATCGTTCAACTATCAACTACCAAAAGTTTTCATTAATTAATTTTGAAAATGGTGTTCAAATTCGTCGCCTTCTTAGCACTTGCTGTTGCTGCTTCAGCTGCTCCACAACACTACGACAATCAACATTACGAACAACCCGATTACGTTAAATCTTATCAGCCAGTTGTGAAACATATTGTGCAACCAGTGCTTAAGAAAGTTGTAGAACATGAAGAACCAGCCAATTACGACTTCGAATATGCAGTTCATGATGATCACACAGGTGACATCAAAGAACATCACGAATCAGCCAAAAATGGAGCTGTTGAAGGATACTACACTTTGATCGATGCTGACGGTTACCGAAGAATTGTTCACTACACAGCTGATGACGCTCATGGCTTCGTCGCCGAAGTTCGTCGTGAAAAAATCGAGGGACATCAAGTCGTTAAGAACGTTCAACCAGTCGTTGTTAAGAAAGTCATCGCCCAACCAGCTATTGCTGTTCAGAAATATGTCGCACCAGCTCCAGTTCATCAATATTACTCAGCTCCTGAAACACAATACTACAAGACAGAAGTTCAACAACCACAACAATACTACAAAGTAGCAGCTCCAGTAAAAGTTTCAGCACCAAAGTCTGTTGTTGCAGATGGCCTTTACACCCACGTCTCATTCAAGGGACCATCATCGCAATATCAATACTAAAAGACTTTCAACGTTTTATTTGAAAATGTCCACAAAAATTGATGGCTATGAAAAATAGAAACGATTAAAATTAATTAAAATATACTCGTTGAGATTTTAATTTATATATTTATATATTTTTTCTGCTGATATCATAATTTACATAAGTAATAAGAATGACACGATTTGGCAGTGTTTAACTTTCATAAAAATTAACAAAAATTTCTTGTTGCTTGTGGTCAGGTTTAGCGAATTTAAATGATTTAAATCACAATCGTTTTTACCATCTACGAACTGGCTGATACCATGGAGCGTGAACTGGTGCAGCAATAATTTTCTTGACAATTATGGGTTGATGTGCGAGTGGTTCACGACGAACATTAGCTCGGAATCCATGGTGATCGTCAGCAGTGTAGTCAACAATTCTTCTGAAACCATCAGCATCGTTAAGTTGGTATTGTCCCGAGATGGCTCCGTTCTTTGCTGATTCCCTTTGAGATTTCCAATCTCCAGTAAATGAATCGCTAACTGCGTAATTGAAGTCATAGTTGGCTGGTGCTTCAGCTTGAATGGTCTTGATGACCAAAGGTTGATGCCAACCATCAGCAAAAATTGTTGCAACGAGACACGAAAGAATGATAAACTTGAACATTTTTGAATTAAAATTTTATTCTTCTAGCTGAGATGCTGATGAGAAACTGATACTTTCAACTGATATCAGAGATCTTTTATACTTTTGTGAAATTTGTTAAGTTCCCTTACTGAACTCGAAAATCGAATCTGTAAGATAATTTAGTGATTTAATTGCACGGGATCAGTCTATGATAATCGAGTTATTATCCTCGCACTGTCACCAAAATGGCCAGCCACTCCATTTAATCTTAAAGGATTTTTATTTTATTGTAAATAAAATTCATAAATTTTTATGATATTGGCATGCAAATGAAACAGTTAAAATGATCTAAATTATTTATATGGAATACGCCATGGACGTAAAAATATTTTATGGGCTGTTAAGTGCTGATTTTGTCACAGCAGCCGAAAATTAAAAATTGATGACTACATTTTAGAGAAGGATTAAAAAATCATTGAAACTTTGCATGAAATTTTATCATTCTTTATTATTTTTCATTTTAATTTATCCCCGACAAGGTTTTATCTTTTAAAACAGAACTTAATTCTTTATTAATGAATAATTATGTCATTTAAATAGATTCAATGTAAAAAGCTGACAATTTCCTGCTGTTAATTCTTTGAAATAAAACTCTTTTTTTTCTTACACATGTTAACAATTGTGGTCTTACCTTGTATGAAACAATCATCTTTTTTCGCATGAAGTGCAGTTGATCAGCTGATTCAGCATGAATGTTGAAAACATTACAACGAGATGAAGAAAAGCGATTAAAATCATAACGACGTCAATTTAATATTTAAATGTCATAGCATTTATTATTTAAGATCTTTCAAGACTTATCATCAATACTAAAATAATAAATTATTCCATTTATTCTAATTCAATCCTTAAGCGTCATAAATGATTTCAATCTTCAACATTAAATTGAAAATATTCATTTAAAAGATATCAAATTTATTTTCATTATAATTAATGCCTCTGCGTTTTATTCATCATTCAGATAATAAGTACAATTTAAATGCCAATTAAATTCTTCATGTTTTCTTTCTTATATTTAACAAAAATTTATACAATTTTTCTATGAAAGTTTTTCTTTTCATCAGGATATTTTTCTCTTCTGTAAAGTTCCTGCCTTATGAGTGTTAAAGTTTTAAGACCTTGGTATAAGATGGAAAGTGTTAAGTTGAGAAATTATGAGATACTCGATGTTACTTCTTAAGCAGACCATGGAGCATGGGCTTGTGCTTGCCAAGGCTGGGCTGGTGCTTGCCATGGGGCAGGTTGAGCGTAAAGTTTCTGGACAGCGATGGCGGGTTGAGCGATGACTTTCTTTACCAAAACTGGTTGAACGGTTTTTACGATTCTTTGTTCGTGGAGTGGTTCACGACGAACATTAGCTTGGAATCCTTGGTGATCATCAGCAGTGTAGTCAACAATTCTACGGTAACCGTCAGCATCGATCAATGAGTATTGTCCTTGGATGGCACCATTGATAGCCTTTTCGTGTTGTTGCTTGATGTCTCCAGTTTGTTGATCATGAACATCATAGTTGAATTCATAGTTGGCTGGTTCTTCATGCACAACTTGTTTAATAAGTGCAGGCTGTTTGTAAAGAACTGGTGCTGATTGAACATAAGCGGGTTGTGAGTAGACTGGCTGTTTAACGATAGCAGCTGCTTGTGGATACAAAGCTTGAGTGTGCTGATAAACTCCAGCTGGTTGCAAGACTCCAGCGTTGACAGCAGCAAGGGTAGCGAACAAGATAACGAATTTGAATGCCATTTTTATTTTCTTAAGATGCTTTTGGTTGCAATGCGACTTAACGAATGATACTGACAGACTGCACTCGAGTAGTTTTTATACAAAAAATCATCTCTCATGAAACTGCTAAATGCATGTGTAATTATTCTTACTCTTGCATTTTTTTCTTCCTTATTCTTGAGCTTTTGTCTCTTGTCAGACTTCAAGGAGCGCCTGAAGTTGATCATTCCACAAAAGATAACAATGCTTCCCTCTCCTTCTCTGAATTCTGATTTGTGTTTTGCAATTTTCTTTTGTTTTCTTTCGTGCAGAACGCGAGAATATTATTCTCATATCTACACATTTCTCCCGTCGATCGACCAGTTTTTTTTCTTTTTTTGCACAATGTTGAGTTGCGTTGAACATTTTGTTTTTGGTTGGTTGGACGACCTTAAACTACATTAATTGGATCAACACCAGGGGATAACATGTTTTTAATCGTCTTTTATTCTATGTTAAACATAAAATAAAAGAAAAAATAAAAATTTACAATAAAATTGATATCACTTATCAATAATGATTTTATGTAAATTTAAAAGAAAGAATATTGAGCATGTGGAAAAAAATTAAATTAACTTTTCATTGTGTCTGCTAGCAGAAGTAAAATGTGTTTGATTACATTAAATTTTGTTATTGCATGCGAAATCTCATTTAGTTGCAATACACTTTCGGTCATTCGCAATTTCATCGCACTCCATACTCGCTTAATGCATGAACGAAAGTGAAAAACCAACAAAATTTAAGCTTAATAAACTTAATTAAATTAATTGAAGATATTGTTCATAATCACCAATCCAATCTAGTCAAAATGAAAATAAAATGCATTTAATAAGTTTCGAAAACCATTTTGAACAGCTGATAATTCTTTATGCATGACATTTGCCAAAGTGGGTTGATGTCATTTACTTCTTTCTTTCTTGAAGTTTCATTAAAAGTAAAAACGATATCATTGCCAATGAGTTCGATTAATCAAAAATTTAAAATAAAATCTTACAGCATGTGAAGGCGACAACAAGATTGTGTCTGATTGTGGCTGAAATTGATCCAATTTGTATGCATTCGATAAAGATTTGCATCAAGGTTTATCAATTCATTTATTTTTAAGGGTTTACAGCTTAAATTGATTATGTAAAGTCCAATTTATTCTGATTATTACCATTTATGAATTAATATATTTTCTTTCATTTTTATTTATTGTCGATGCAATTATTCATCTAAATTATATAAAAATGTTCAATATGTTGTGCGTTTTTTCATTTAACATAAATAATGATTTTATTTCTTTATGATGCAGTAACATCTAAAATAAAGGATTTTTCAACATCTGTTTATTTTAAATTCATAATTTCAAGTAGGTAGGTAATTTCTCAAAAAACAAAAATAATTATTCTGTTTTGTCAACAATAAGTTAAAATTTATGTTCACAGTCGGATTACAAGATTTTTAAAAAGGCAAATTTATTCAAATCATTGAATGATTAATAATTATTCATGATAGTTTATTTGAACTTTGAGTTGAAATTGTGTTAATTATCCATTAGCAATTTGAGTTCTTCCTTGCCAACCAAAGCTACTTTATTCATAATAATTTAGCTGGTTTAATTTTTATAACCTTTTTGTCTATATTTCTGTAAAAGAAAATCATTTAGAAAAACATTTTTTTATAATTAGATATTTATAAATCAATTGTTTTTATTTTTTATAATTTTGCAAAGAAATTTATACAGAAAGATGATGCTTCTGGAGACAAACAAATGAAGCGTGAACATTGATGAGATGAGATTCATAAATCAAATTATTTTCTTATCGACACATCAATCGTAATATATAAAGCGTCAGATTAGCTTAAACAAGACGTTTAGTGATGGTAGCTATGGGAAGGAGCTGAGTAGTATTGTTGATGCACTGGGGCTGAAACGTATTGTTGATGCACTGGGGCTGAAACGTATTGTTGAGCTGGTTGAATGTATTTTTGGACAGCAATAGCTGGTTGAGCGATGACTTTCTGGACAGCGATAGCTGGTTGGACAGTCTTGACGATCTTGTGTCCCTCGAGTGGTTCACGACGAACATTAGCTTGGAATCCATGGTGATCATCAGCAGTGTAGTCAACAATTCTACGGTGGCCATCAGCATCGATCAATGAGTATTGTCCTTGGATGGCACCATCATGAGCGTGTTCATGTTGTTGTTTGATGTCTCCGGTATGGGGATCATGAACATCATAGTTGAATTCGTAGTTGGCTGGTTCTTCATGCACAACTTGTTTGACGACGGCAGCTTGTTTGTAAACAACTGGAGCAGCTGCTTGGTAATGGTGAGAATGGTCATCATAAACTGGAAGTACTCCAGCATAAGCCATTGATGCAGCGGCAAAGAAAATCACAAGTTTGAATGCCATTTTATATATTTTCAATTATTTTTTTGTATTTCTTAGTTTTGACTGTTTATCACGATTTGTGTTTATTAACTGATGAATAACCAAACAACTCTTTTGTCTTTTATACTGTACGAAAGTTTCTTTTTGCTCTTTTGGTGCTCTGTTGATATCAATTTCAGTTGGCCATGTTCTCTCTCCCACTTGCACCTCATTCGTTCAACATTACATTAATTTATCAGACATTCGCAAAGCCTTTCTCTGCGTTTTTGATACAATTACATTTTTTTCGTGAATTTAATTTCGTTCGCCGAATTATATTTTCGGCTGTTGGCCCTTCATTTAATCTTCACAGAGACAAGAATGGACAACGCAACAATGAACGTTGAAATATTTCTTCACGTTATCAATGAAAGATTCCCATCAAAATTTATTATCTTGTTTAGTGCACGTGGATGTTTCTGACATGCAAGTCTAGCCTTATGCCTTATGGCCGAATTTTAATCCAAAGAACCTGTTTTGGTGGGTCATAAAATATTATTTAATTTTATTAAACACAGATACAAAAACTGCAAGGCTTCTTATTTAAATGATACTTTTAATTTCCTTCAATTTCATTATTCATGTCAATCACAGTAAAGACAGCAAGTCGAAAATAAAAATAATCATAGCTATTTAGTCAATTTTTGTGTTTATAATTATTTAAAACAAAACTTAAATTACCTACAATCTCTTAGTTGGATTTGTAATTCAGGAGATTCAACTGTTATGTCATATTCGAGTTGCATTCATGAATTATTTTTGTTTCACTTCGAATGTGTTTATTAGCAGATAATTTAAAAAAAATCATTAAATTTTAAACCTGAAAATCAGAGCACTAATCAAGGGAGAATATAAAAGTTTTCTTTATAAAATATTCCTTACAAAATTCATTAATTAAATTTATTCATTTTCTTTAATGGACAATTTCTTACATTATGGAATTTCTTTATTTTACAAGTGAAACATTTACCAAGTTTTCCTTTCTTATTGTTTTTATTTAATCTACAAAAAGTTTCCACATGACCTTTCTGATCACAAAGCCAACAAGTTTGGTGTTGTTGATAAGTTGAACAATCGTGATCGACTTTAGGTACACAACGATTACATTTTGGACAGTGAATGTAATTTGGTTTCACACAAAGGATGCAGATTGTGCAATGACGATAAGTTGAGCCATTTTTCGATGGGCATGCCTTGCAAATATTGCAATGAACATTGGAAATGCTTACAAATTTTTTGCATGAATTACAAAAACGATAATCCTTGAAGTTTTCTGGATATTTTATGTATTTCGGTTCAATGTTTGTGAAAATTCTTATAGGGGATCCCGCTTTTCTTCCCTTAAAACCTTCTCGAAATGCTTTGTGGTTCATGTATGTGACTTGAAAATCGAGCATTTCCATTTCAGGCATTTCCTTTTTAATATGTAGTTCATTGAAATATGGAAATACCCATAAGATTGGAAGAACTTTATGATAGCAATTTGCTTTGTTGTACATGTTTGAGATTTGACGAATTGTCCAAGTTAACAACTCTGTTCTAGCTGCAAATGGTGGATCGGTAAACAGGCATATATTTGACCTTATTTGATCATCATCCTTAAGAAATTTGATTAATTTTTCTTCATCTTCCATTCCATCGAAGAAAAAATGATTCAACATGTTGTAATGAATGAAATCTTCTGAATAATTGAATGTCTTAAATCGTTTATCTATATCGAGCAAAATAGTTTTAACACTATGATGTTCCTTTGAACGGAAAAAGTCATGCAAGCGTGGAGCACCAAGACAAACGATTTTTTGAAATTTCAGATCTTCAAACACTTTGTTTATAAATTGCAACGTTTTACTGTCGAAGAAGTACTGAGCATTAAATGTGTCATTATCCAATTGAGGTAGGAACAAAGATGGTTCTTTAAGAAGTTTATCACTGATGTCTTCAATGTATTTATGTGTTTTGTGAGCTGATACTATTTTAGTAAAGATTTCACATGTTTTGCAATATGTTCGTTGGGAAGGCACTAACGCTAGTAATTCGGAATAACTGACATTAAATGACTCAGTTTTGTTGTTCTCTGCAGAATTAAACTTTTTTCCATTAAGTTGATTGTCATCTGTGCATATGTCATTAAGATTCTTTTTACTAAATGTGTTGAAATCCATGTAAAAACATTCGTGATCTCTTTGACAAGAGCACGAAAAATATTTTTTATCACTATTTTTCACAGAAAAAAGAATTGTTGGACCATGTCTACACTTAGGATTAAATTCTAAACTTTGAATTGGTATTTCAACTCCTTTTTTCTGAGCTGTCATCTTATGTTTCTAATTTTAAATAAATAAAGTTTTATAAATTTTAGAATTCAGAATTTGGTCTGCTCGGCAACAAAAGAATGTAAGGGTGTGCAAATATCAACATTTTAAAAAGGTTTAGAATATGTAAGTTCGTTAAATTTTATTTTGTTTTAATAAACAAACATTTAAAGTCTTCGATTCAATGTCAATCAACGTCCATTAAGTTTATCTTGAATCTGCTGCAAACTCATACCCTTAGTCTCCATCACTAAAGAAAGCGTGAAGAAGAATGCAAAACAGCAACAAACTCCAAAAAGCCAAAATGCTCCATAACTTCCAATAGAATCTTGAAGCGCTGAAAACCATTTTGTTACTGCAAAACCGAATATCCAGCAAACAGAAGTTACGATGGAACTTGCTGTTGATTTGACATTTGGTGGAAACATTTCACCTGATTGATCATTAAATTATTAACTACTGTGGATAATGAAATAATAAATTCATTTACCAAATACAACCCATGGCAGGGGACCAAACCCAACAGAATAAATAATTACAATTCCAATCAATGACGTAATTGGAAGCCATGAAATATTGGTAACATCAGATCCTTGATGATCTAAAAAGAAAAAAAATCCAAGGAGCCCCAAACCGATCGCCATGCCCGCAGATGAAACCAGCAAAATTATTTTTCGTCCAAGTCGGTCAACAACTAAAGGTGTGCAACATGATGCAAGAACCTGGACAATACCAATAGTTATTGTAGCAATAGCGGGATCCATTGAACTTCCTGCTGACTCGAAAATCGATTGACCGTAGAAAAGAACAGCGTTGATGCCAGAAAATTGTTGGAACGTTACTAGACCAACCGTGATAATAAGTGCTATGAACGAAAGCAAAGCAAGATTTTTGGTAATTTTTTCATTAATATTTTTACCTTTAAAATTTCCGTTATTTTCTAAAATATCTTTGATACTTCCTTTGTTTTTCATCGATTTTTCTACCGACTCTTGAATTGAATCAATCTCTTCTTGAACTCCTTCTGATGACTTTCCTCTTAAAAATTTCAATGAGTTCAGTGCATCTTCTTTTCTGCCTTTGGATATATAGAAGTGGGGAGAGTCGGGCATAAAGTAAAATGTCACAACAAAAACAATCGGAATAATGAGACAAAAAAATTGGAACGCAATGTAGCCTACATAAGGTCCAATACTATAGACATAGAGAATCCCAACTACGATTCCAATTTGCATTAAACTTCCCAAAGAACCACGACAATCAGTTGATGATATTTCTCCGATGTACATTGTTTGCGCTGTCATTACAAAACCAACTCCAAAGCCTTGAAGCAATCGCGCAACATATATTTGAGGAACATTACAAGTTAGAATAAGAAGAATGTATGATAATATAAAGAATATTGAACTACTAAGAAGCGTCCACTTTCTTCCAATAATATCAGTTAATGGTCCCGCAACGAAAGGCGCTATAGATTAGAAAGAAAAAATATCAGTCTTATCAGTTCATTCAAGTGTTTGATGTTTGAATTTATGACTTTAATTTAATTTATGAATTTATGATTACGTGATTTAATAGAACGCTGATTTGGATTTCGAAAAATTTTGATTATAACATAATAATAAATCATCGAAATAATTACCGAAAAGTGCACCAACAGCTAATAAACTGCCGATCCAAGATATTTCATCTTTTGAAGGGATAAAATATAAAGGAGAGTCGGAGTGAGTTTCATCTAAAAGTTTTGGAAGACCTGGTGATGTCCATCCCAATGTTGTTCCCAAAGCTACTGAACTTAAATTCGCTAACAATTTAAAAAATAACTCTGATATCCGCCCATTTAAGAGAAATGATAACTTACATAAACTAGCAGCTAAGAATTGTCGCCACTTTTTGCCATCTTCTATTTTATACACTGTTTTGTGTTCACTTTCAACAGATCCTACTATCCTGTATTGATTTAATTCACTTCCGTCAGCCATTTATCGTGGAATTTCTCTCAGCAGTGTACACTTCAATTGAATAGAATTTTTATATGATGCTACTTAGTTTTAACTATATTGCAATATTAATAATAGCAAACTAAAGAAAAATCAAGTGCAAGTGTAAAATTTATATAAAAAGTTACTGCAGAATTATTTTTCTTATCTATAAAAACACTTCAACCACTCATAAGGCTTTCGAAAACATTATGCATAGCAATCGAACTTGTTATCAGCATGAACTCTTCACTGCAAACAATTTGATTTTCTTTTTCTTTGCGAATTTATGTTTAAAAACGTGAAGAAAGCATAAAGGCATTATGATCATTTTAAATGATATTTATTTCAGCAGAACAACATCAACTACAGATAAATTTGTTTTTAAAAATGGTAATAGGTGTAATATGTTTGTTTAAACACAAGGTATTTATGTGAGTTTGGAAATGAAGCATATCTTTTTCCTGTCATATGTACCATGCTTTCAAATTTTGAAATATCTGAAAGCTTGGTGATCTTTTAATAGTCAGAGCTTTACAAAAGATGCAAAAAGTGCAAGCCCCTTTTTTAAAAATTTTGTATCAGTGAACATTTTACACTCATATTTTTAAACAGAATGAGTTATAAAGAAGATCTAAATGATAGAAATAAAGATATATTGGAAGTAAAAAAAATAGATGACGAAACTCGTGACTTTCTCGGAGTTTCAATTTTAAAGTTTCTTGACAAAAGTAATACATATTGCATTAATGCCGGTTGACATAAAAATTGTTAAACTATTTATTTTCCTTTCAGAAAATTTGTTAAATAATCCTGCAAAACTAGCTCTTTTTTCTTATTCTCATCTACTTCATTGGAAATTCAGTCCTGATACAATCTCAAAATGTAAAACGAGCAGTAATTTAAATTTTGAGACGGCACAAAACTATTTTAAGCATACGGAAAAGTTTAAACAAATTCCATTTCATGTGAGATCACTTGATAATTTAACGGAAGGAGGAATCGATGTAGGATCAATAACAGAAATTTTTGGAGAGGCTGGAAGTGGTAAAAGTCAAATTTGTTTTCAACTTGCATTAAATTGTCAGCTCTCGTCAGAAGTAATGGCATCCCCAGGAAAAGCTTTATACATAAGCACTGATAAACGTATATCGACAGAAAGAATAAACCAAATGTCTAGAGCGTTTAAGGAAAGGTTTAAAAATCATCCTTCTGTTCAAGATCTGAAATGTCTCGATAATATTTACGTCGAAGAATATAATACAGTTGAGGATTTTCGGAGAACAATATTGAAATTACAACGTAATCATGAAATCCTTAGTAATCTTAAAGTTCTCATAATAGACTCTATAGCTGGAATATTTCGCCATGAGAATAACTACATAAAAAGATCAAAAGATATTCGAGAAACCTTTCAGTTATTTGAACGATTCGCAGTTAAATATAATTTTGCAATATTAGTGACAAATCATCTGACATCTATTCCAGAAACCCAAAAGCAAACAGCTTCACTAGGATCAACATGGGACTCTTTAGTGTCTACTAAAATAAAAATTGAAAAACTATTAAATTTTGAAGATTCTGAAAACGAATCACATCAAGTCCGATTAATGTCCATTGTGTATAGTCCCAGACTTCCATGTAGTAAAGCTAAATTTTCTATAAATAGCTCCAGTTTAGTTCATATTGGCAATGAAAACCATAGGAAAAGAATAAAAGAGAAATAAAAAATTACTTTAATATGTAATTAACATTATGGGCCGAAGAGGAGTTTTGAAATAAATTTATTTATAACATAAGGAAGTAACGACAATAGTTTTGAATCTACTGCGAATTTTCAGTAGTTTGATATCCTTTCGCTGTTCAAGTGTGGTAGGCACACACACTTTCATACCCAAACAATCACACGTGAATTCCAATGAAGCTTGATTGAGCCGAGGAAATTTATTAATTAAAGACTTTCTGTAGCGTTATCTGAGCATTAAAAGTTACTAATTTTTTGAAAAAGCTTATTGAAATCATCAATAATTAAAATGGTACGTGAAATCTTCTTTTTTTATCGAAAAATCTTTTCCAAACATTTTACTTGAAAATGTTTTGGGATAAAAATAATTAACAATTGATTTTAACAAAATTGAATCAAATCATATCTTATATTCTTACATTCTTGCATAGAGATATGTATTTTCAATGATTCTTCCAAGCAATTGTAATCGTTTTTATTCTTTAAATTAGGAAACCGCGTTATTATTTATCTTAACCTACATTGTGGTTTATTTACATTTTAAGGCTGACGAAGTAAATCCAAAAGCATATCCTCTTGCGGATGCAACATTGACGACTAAGATCATGACTTTGATCCAGCAAGCTGTTAACTACAAACAGTTAAGACGTGGAGCCAATGAAGCAACTAAAACTTTGAATCGCGGTCTTTCGGAATTTATTGTAAGTTTTTGAATTCCAGACCAATTAGAAACGATTTTCATTATTATCATCATCTTTAGGTCATGGCAGCTGATGCTGAACCTTTGGAAATTCTTTTACATTTACCATTACTTTGTGAGGACAAGAACGTTCCTTACGTTTTTGTCCGCTCCAAGCAGGCCTTAGGAAGAGCTTGTGGTGTATCTCGACCCATCATTGCTTGCAGTGTAACTTCAAATGAGGGTTCGCAATTAAAACCTCAAATAACAACCATTCAACAAGAAATCGAAAAACTCTTGGTTTAAACCGTTTATTCTTATCGATCTCAGGCTGATCCAATACAAAAGCTTCATATTTGGTTTTTTTAACATATATGTTAAGAAGAATTTTCTTTTGTAATAAATAGATTAAGGAAGACAATATATGATAATCTTATGTATAAATTGATTTTTTTTTCTCATAATTTTCAGATTGTTTACAACTTCTCAGGTTGAAAAATGTTTTTTGTTTTCCCCTTAATTCTTTGAGCGGGGTAAAACATTCTATTCAGAGGGGATGACATTTTTTCGCATCTCAAAACATCGTGAATTCTGAATCCAAAAAGAAAAACACAAAAAATAACTCGCATATGAAAGAATTAAGATAGTGAAAAGAAATCATGTCAAAAGTTTATTCAGCAAAATAACCAAAGTCATGAAACTTATTGCTAGAAACGTTGAAAAAGGGAGCGGGTAAGAATGATAAAGAAAAGTGTCTACGAAATCAAAAATGTCAATAAAATAATTTTGTATTTATTTCTTTCAGCTCTGTCGTTCTGATACCCGAAGAATCAGAAGATATGTGGCATGCCTATAATATTATTGCAGTTGGTGACTTAGTTAAAGCAAGCACAATAAGAAAGGTTTGTATTTCTAAGATGTATAAATTATTATATTCTTTAATTGGAATTAATCGTTCAAGGTCCAAAATGAAACTGCCACCGGTAGTAGTAGCAGTAGTCGTGTTCGTACAACTCTTACAATTAAAATAGAAACAATAGACTACGATACTCAAGCCTGTATGCTTCGATTAAAAGGAAGAAATGTTGAAGAGAACCAATTTGTTAAGGTGAAAAACTTAATTTTATATTTTTTGATGGCTCAGTTTTTTATTTCTTTTCACACACTTAGATGGGTGCTTATCACACAATAGATTTAGAGTTAAATCGTAAATTTGAAATAGCTAAACCAGAATGGGACTCAATATCATTAGGACGTGTTGAAGCGTCTTGTGATGTAACACAAAATGCTGATGTCGCTGCTGTTGTTATGCAGGAAGGAATCGCCCACATTTGTCTCATCACATCAAACATGACTATTGTTCGAAGTAAAATTGACATGGCAATACCAAGGAAACGAAAAAATCAACCGTCACAACATGAAAAGGTGAGCAAAATTTCATGAACTGAAAACGAAGTGCTGATTTTTTTAAATATTTGATTGAAGGGATTAACGAAGTTTTACGAAGCTGTGATGCAAGGAATTCTAAGGCATGTGAACTTTGACATCGTTAAATGTATAATTATTGCTTCCCCTGGTTTTGTCAAAGATCAGTTCTACGAATATATATTCGAACAAGCTGTCAAATCAGACAATAAACTGTTGCTAGAAAACAAGAGCAAATTTATGCTGGTTCATGCGTCATCAGGTTTCAAACATTCTCTCAAAGAAGTTCTACAAGATTCGGCTGTGATTGCTAAAGTGATTGACACAAAAGCAGCAGGTGAGGTGAAGCGACTCGAAGCATTTTATACGATGCTTCAATGTGAACCAGCAAGAGCTTTCTACGGTAAAAAACATGTGCAAAAAGCGGTTGAGGCGCAGGCTGTCGAGACACTTCTCATCTCAGATAATCTCTTCAGGTAAGTGAAAGAAAGTTTTTGTAATCATTTAAATTTAAGTTTTATTTGAAAATTCCTATACTTCAAATTGGCAACGGCGGTAAAACGATTCGATCAGGAAGATCATGTCGAAAGATTGTATTGTCATATTTTCTTTGATACGTCAGTTTGTTATTTCCTCTGTTTGCTTCATTTCTCACTTCCTGTGATCTGAAAAGAGTTAAAAAAACAGGAAAATATTAAAAATGATCATTAATTAAAAATAAGTGATGAAGATTTACAAACAATGTCTATTCAATGCAACAAGCAAGCCTAGGCCTTTTCAAAAACATTACAAAGCATTTAAACTTTTTTGTATCTAATCGAGATTATAATCAATCATCACAAGTAGGCACCCGAAAATGGGTAGCAAATCCATTAATAATTTTTTTTTCTTCCGAAGTTATCGCTCTTGCTACTTTTGGTTTTTTTCGTTCCTAATCTATTTATGGGCTCGTGAATTTTTTTCTCATCTTATCAGACGACATACCTGCCACTTAGATTTCATTTTATTATCTTTACGAGACGTCACATGTCTTAAGGTATTCAAAATATTTCATTAATTTAATGACTGTCTATAAATGGATTTGTGATTGAAGTTCAATTATGTCTCTTGTTGACCTTTAAAATGAGTAAGAGAAGAAAAAAGCAGTCTAAGTGTCTTAATAAACATGTTAATGTTCATTATGAACATCTTGGAAATCAAAGGGAGAGAGAAAGAGAGACAGAAATTAATTATTTTTCTTATTTAAATTTATGACAAAGACGTTTTTGCGATTAAATATTCAGAAATCTAACTAATTACTTGAAACCAGTTATTGCTAAGAATTCCAGCATTAAATGAATGTAACTTCAAGCTGTTTTCAATCAAGATATCGATTACATTTTAGAATGTTAAAATTTCATTAATTAAATGACCACAAGCTAATCGTGAATAAAAAAAATCATGGGGAACGAATTAATAATTTGTTTCTTTTTTTTTGTTTGATTCTTGTTTAGTAATTTTGCAAATGTTTAAATTAAATACACTAAATTTGCAAGCAAATCAATTAAGCACATTTAGGAGTGTTACAAAATCACGTCAACATGTCAATCATTTCAGGAAATTTTTTAACATGAAAGGTCGGAACAGTTACAACATAAACAATGCATGTCATTGACGTACAATCCCACATTATAATTTCATTTGAATATCAATTTTATTTCTTCTTACATCTCCTCAATTGTAATCGTCGACTTTTAATTTCTTCGTTTTCTTTTTTTTTGTTTTCAAGACTGTGAAAAGCTTTTTAAAATCACGTTAGATTTGAACTTTCTCTCTCTCGATCTCAAACAGTTCGTTTGCGAGTTGGACATGTTTTAAATAAAAACACAAAAAAAGAAAAAAAATCTGTTTCATGTTAACGATCTTGTTGGTAATAATATTTTATGATGAGCTCAACGAAAGTTGTCCAATTACTCATAAACTTTGCAACTCTGCAACTCAAAAGAAACCTCGGCATTCCAATCAACGTTTCTCAAGATGTTCATTATAACTTGTGGTATCATACCATTCGCTTTTAATCCTTTGTCTCAATACTCAACAAAATATTTCATGATTCATCTCACTGAGTGTCGCTTGACAAAAAAAAAAATTCTTCTCTTATTCAGAGATCAATCGAATTTGGATTTGTTTGTTGAGAACGCGTACAAAAAAAAAGATTGTTTTGATATTTGTTTGAGTTGGCAGACCACAAATTTAGCTTTGTTCGATTCAAAATTATTTAAATTTCCTTATACCTAATATTGTTCCAGTTCAATGATGAAATTTACATTTTCTCATTTTGACGTGGCTTTTGAGAAGCGCTAAACTTTGAAATGTTTAAGGAAATGTTTTATAAGAAAAGGGTAATTAAATTTTAGAGGAGTTGAAAGAAAAATGTGTAAAAATAATCAACAAAAAGATCGCTTCATCTTTATGTCTCTCGAATAGTTCTTAAAATTGTCTTCTTTAAAAAGCTTTCTTTGCACCTTCATTTGAAGTTCCAATTATCACATTGTTTAATTCACAAACCATTCCACTAAGCTTGGAAGTTTTTTTATTGCAATTCACAATTCACAATATGGAAATTCAACAATATTGAATGACCTGAATGTGGGACGGAAAGCATTGAAAACTTTCCAAAATAAATGAAATTCTTCAAAGCTGAGACGTAAGTTTTTTAAATGTGGTTGGATTGAAGTTTACCTTTTGCTTTTGCGATAGAATTCGTTGTTATCAGCACAAGTAAACTTTGTTGTCGCTGATAATATACGTGAATGTTCATTTCGACGATTGCAACTACTACTTCTAACAATTCCCATGTTTATCAGATCTTTTGCTGTTTTATTATTGTGACGTAAACTTTCTTTAATCTCCCGATTTCTGATATTTTTTTCGTTAAATTGCATCACATGCGCCTGTTGATTCGATTCCATGTCGCTAAATCTTTTATTTGTAATCAGTGCGTGGATGTTTTGTTGCTTTTGTTGATGTTGATGTTGTTTATGACTTAACACGCGATCACAAGAAGTTGATACTTTTGTTTCTGTTATCGATTGCCGGTTATGAGCAAAAAGAATGTTTGGAAGTCCGTTGTGTGTGATGAAATAATCCGGTTTCTTGATCATTGACATGATTTTATTTTCTGTTGACGTGATTTCTTCTCGCTAGTAACGTCCGGAATCGGAACGCTTGGATTTTTCTTCTGTAACAATTTTCTTTTATTTCTTTTTTTCTGTAATTTGAAATGCCAAATTCCGCTGCTTTTCGACTCTTTTTTAATCAAGCGTAAAATATTCCAACAATTTAGTCTTGACTTTCAAAGGTTAGAATGTTGATAAACTTAATCAAACTTTTCACATATGTACGACGTTATGAAATGAAAATGAAAACTTGATCTAGAATTCTTTTTTTCCTAATTAAATATTTCGAGTGTTTCTTTTGATTTTCATATTAATAAGATCTCAGATCACTCCACTTTGAATATTTATTTATCCATAAAGGAAGATCGCTAACTTCTGAATGATTCCTTTGAATCGATCTTAGACACACAACGCCACGAAAACAACTGAGGAGTGTGAGAAATATTTGCCGATGAAGTCAATGGAATGAAGAAAATGTTTCTGTGAGAGAATTGAGAGAATTTATTTTCAAAAACTAAGAGAAATTCTTTAAAAAAATGTTTTTCTTTTATGTTGCTTTTCTTACACAATTTATGTTTTATTTTTGGACTTGAACTGAGCGATCTTCTTTTCCCTTGTGTCGATGTTGCCCAAGTCGCAGATGATGTAAAATTCTTGAATCTAAATTTAGGATTTGTTCCTCGAAATGTTTACTTGAAATTCTGTTTTTGCATTTTGAGATAATTAAGTGAATGGCATTCAAATTGTGGCAGTGCTTAATACGCTTACAATTGAAATTCCATGTGTAGCGCGTGATAAGAATTACGAACGAATGAGCTTGACAGCGACTTGCTTGAATTTTATTCTTTGTGATCTATAAAAATATTATTTTTTATATTTGATAGAAGAGATCTTTTATTTGCGTAGGTGTCTTTAACTGCCGCTGCTTACATGATCACCAACCGTTGTTTACATCTCGACAATTGCTGTGATTTTTTTTGTTTAAGCTTCATTTTTATTGATAGTTGGTTGGAATTAAGACAAGGGAAAAGATTATTTCTGATTTATTCCGACATCTGGTTTGAAGCTTTTCTTTTCATAATTAAGATTTATGAGTGACTTTAGATCTCGTCAGTCGAGGTATACTTATTATTTATTAAAGAAATCAGAGTTGAGATAAAACAAAAGTTTTAAGAAGATTATTTTTGTGTACATAATTATTGCACATTTGCACAAAAGTTTTTTTAATACTATTTATAATTTATAATGAATCTGGAGCAAGCAATTTACTTTAATTAACACAAAGTGTTAAATATTAACGAGCTGTTGTTTGTTGTATCACATTTCATTTACATGAAACAGATATTTTTTTCTTTTTTGAAGTCAGCGAGAGGAACACAAATAATTTCAGTTCATTTGTAATAAGAAAATGATGTGTCGTAGTTTTGTAATTCACTAATGTGTAGTCTTTTAAATTTAAATTTTGTCGACTTCTTTTTGCCAAGAAATTTTCCAAAGACTCAGTCAACAATGTCAAACTTCACTTTACATTAAAAAAAATCCTACGTCAAGCAAATCGAGCGAAGAACAAGCAGAAATGTTTTTTAATTGAATTGAGAACAAGCGTTAATTAAAATCTTGTCGTTTTCATTTACAGAAGTCAGGATTCGATGCAACGTAAAGAGTATGTGAAAATGCATGACGATGTTATAGATGCCGGTGGCGATGTTAAGATTTTTTCAAGTATGCATGTATCAGGCGAACGTAAGTAAAACAGAAGACACAAAATGATTAACGAAGATCTCACATTTAACAATTTCTTTCACAGAACTCGCTCAACTTACAGGAATTGCGGCTATTCTTCGATTTCCCATGCCAGAACTTGAAGATTCCGATGATGATGATTCTGATTAGAACCTTCGCTTATGATTTTTACTTTAAGATTTTCTCGTTTAAATAATTTCTCCACAAATATCCTAACATGGGAAAAGAAGTCATAGAAAAGTGCAAAAGTAAATAACTGAGGTTGAAAATCAATGCATTGATTTTGCACGTTATTTTGGAAAGAAAAGATTATTGATCATTATTATCGTTGTTTCTAAGATTAAGGTCAAAGTCACTATTGATGGAGAAACATTCTTTAAAGTTGGTAGAAGTTTATGTTCAAAATTTGACATTTCATTTCCATCGAATGAATTCTCCTCTATTCCCTTGTTTAAACTTAATTCAATTTTTAACTGACTTCAGAACACAAACTCACCACTCTTGCTTTAATTATCTATCGAATAAAATAACAAAGTAACATGGAATTCGAGTAAATTAAAAAAAGCTCACGAAAATTGGTCTCAGATATGTAGTTGAAAAATGACCACTTTCGAAATTCGTTGTTTGAATTATTGCGATAAAAAGTCGATGTGTTCTGCAAAATATCAACCTTTATTAAATCTTATCAAATTCAAGGGAACTGTTTACAATATTTGCCTGATCAGATGTAACTTAAGCCAATTCCATTAATCAATGGAATTAAAAAAAGATGAAAATAAAACAAATAAAATATGAAAATTATTTCTTGGCTTTTGTGGCTTTAACTTTTTTTCTTTGAGCGTCGATTTGTTTGCGCTTATTATCAAGAAGTTTTGTTTCTTTATTAGTTTTTTCACGTTGATCAAGAAGTTTAAAATAAAGTTTTTTGTGTCTTGATTTGACCATTTTAGCACGAAGTTTAAGTTCTTGCTCGGTCAATTTCTTTTCCTTCTTTCCGTCAACTTTGAAGACTTTTCCTGATTTTACAGCCATTTTCTGCTTTTCAAGTTCTCGTTTCTGTTCCTTCGTCAGTTGGACTGGTTTTTCTTCTTCATCTTCTTCTGCTTGCTCTTCATCTTCCTCATCATCTGAATTGCCGAGCATGTCATCCACGTCAATTTCATCTTCTGATTCTTCGTCTTCAATTGGTTGAGCTTTCTTATCATTCTTATAGTTTGCAGCATGAATTTCTTTATTTTCCTCACGAAAAGCTTTTACCAACACATGATCAAGTTCAGGTTCTGGGATATTTTTCTCTTCATCCTCAGATTGTTCATGAGTTACAATCAAATTAGGATCGCGAAGTGCTTTTTCTTCAGGCGGAATATAATCAGCTTCTTCACGTTCCCGGTTCACGAAAGGTGACAAATGTGGAGGCAATGTTACTCCTATGAAATATTTGTTAGTTGGCAGCAACTTTGATTGATTTACCGAGTCGAAGATCCATTGGGGTTGAATATAATCACGACTTATGTATTGTTTGCCTAATGTTGGTCGATCAACGATTTGATGTGTGATTGTCTCGTCATCTTCATCGAAAGTTGATCCAATGAAGGAATTCTTATCCCAAGAAACTTTGCCACCGAAGCAACGAATGATAAACACGAGAGGCTCACGAGGAACTTCACGGTTAATGAAAAATTTCAATCCTTTGAAAAGATTCTTCAATCTTTTCTTTTCTTGGTCACGTTCATGCATTTTTCGAACTTTTTCAGAGTCACCTTCATTGGAAATCAATTGTAAATCCATTTCTTCCAACTCTTCAATTTCATCTTCTGTTGTTTTAACTAAATCGACATTCAAAGCTGCAATTCGTTCCGAAACGAAAGAGTTTTCATTTTTCTGCGACTCATCACTGTCAAGTGAGACGTTGAATTGTGGTGGATATAAAAGATTTAAAGAATGAAATAAACGGAAGTTCACAAATCCACACATGATTGTGTAAAATTCAATAAAAACTGCCATTATACGAAAATCAACTTCGCTTTTTGCTTGTGGTTGATATGGATAATAATGAGGCACAATCCATGTCACAAGTTCACCTTTAATTTCAGCTTGAAAGTAATATCCTTTGATTGACACGAATACTTTTCTTAAAGCTTTCGCTGCAATCACATAATGCATGAATTCAACAGACAATCGTCGACACAAAGCAGTTTGTGACCGAGTGACAGATTTCAAAGCCGGAAATGTACTAAACAGAAAAAGAAGTGTAAGACAATCATCCAAATCTTTGATGGCATCAATGAAAGTAGGATAACGTTCACGAACGACATGATCAAGCTTAAGTTCAGGATATTTATTCAAACGCATCCTCTTCAATCTCATATCTTTAATAGAATCGGCATATTTGATTTTACGATTCATAATCTTCATTTCACGGAGAGTCCATACAAGTTTCTCGTGCATTAGGAAATTGATATCTTTTTTATGATAAAGAATTTTGATTTCTGTATTTCCTCTTTGAGCCTTCTTTCGATTTTTTGGCTCTCGTGGATAAATTCCTTTCAAAATGCATAATCGGCGAAAATCATTCAGAGAAAGTTGAAGTTTATTAAGAGCGGCCAATCGAGTCACATATTGACTTCCTTCGCCGGTTCCAAACTGAAAAAATATGCAGAAATTAAAAATTTAGTCTAAAAATCTTTCAGAACATGTGCGAATTTGTAATTTACCTTTTTGAAGCGTTTCACCATGATGAACTTAGATGATTTAGTATTGCAGTAATACTAAAGCTTCAAATTTAAGCTTATATATTGTTAAATCAAATTATCTTTTTAACAACACCTTTATTAATAATTATTTTTATTTTCAACGTGAGTTTGTATATCTCTTTACAGAATTTTATTCTGGTACAATAAAATATTTGTCGTACTACCTAGTTTTGCTTCTTTGAGGTTGAAACCCCTCTGAGTATTTTCGCGCGCGAAAATCAGTCAAAAATAAACAAAACTGTTCCATTTACTTAAATATTAAAACAAAGTAACTTGTGATAATAAAATATGAATATTGACAATTTCACACTTCCACCGGAGTTATTTTATTCAAAAACTCCTTCGACAACATGGAAACCCACAAGCTTTGCGGAAATCTATTCCAAGATGAGAATGAGAAAACATTTTCCGAAAAGAAATTTTAAAAAACCTGGCGAGAAAAAGAAGCATAGAGATCAGAATGGTCCGCAGTTAGGACGAATTACTAACTTAAAGAGAACTGTTCTTAAAAAAAACTTAAAAAAGAAAGTTTTACAAGAAAAAATAGGAAATCAGGCTTCAAATGTCCTTGCTTTGAATGAAATTGCAAGCGATGAACATTCACGACAGATAGTTGAAAAGAACTACCACATCTATAAAGGCACATCAAAAACTGAAGAAAGTATTTTACTAAAACAGGTTAGGAATCAAGAAATTATGTTTCGACGTCTGGGTAGAGATGACACATTTTTCAAGAAATTCAATGAAAACAGCTCCATCAAATTCTTCAATTCGCAGAATGACGGCAAGGAAGAAGACAAATCCAACCAGACCATCACTGAAGTTGAACAACAAAAAGAACAAGATAGTTCAAAATATAAGCTGGTCACGGCATTTGAGGATGATGTAGAGACAGATGTTTATGGCACATCAGAAGCGATCGACACTCTTCTTCAAAATCTCGAAGACATCACTGAAACGGACACACTCAAATCAATTAAATCAGCTAATTCATCTCTGGATGATCTCATTGGAACATTAGAAGGAACAATTTGAGAAAAATCATAAATGATAACCTACGGGATCTTGTAAATCTCAACGAAGCAAGACCCGAGAAAATGTAAAGTAATAATTCATAAAAGTTTCCTTCACAAATAAAACAGAAATTTTATTTTCCTTACTTTGTATAAGAACAATAATTTTTTTTTAAATATTTATTAAATTAATGAAGTGAATCCATTGATACTGGAGCTGGCTGCAAGTAATGTGGATTGAAAATAGCTTTTCCTCTGTGGTTAAATGTGTAAAATGACTGGATATTTGATAGTGTTTCCCATGACGACTTTTCTTGAAGGTCGGTAGCGTGAATAAGTTTCCAATCAGATTTCAAACTTAAAATTGAATAAATAATGATGGCGAGACTAATGACAGCTTGAAGGATTATCTGAAACCATAATTGAGCATAAAATCGATATTCAAAATCTATAAGAAATGAGCTTACATCAAGTGGAAGCGTAGTAAATTCTTGTTCGGTGATTCTCAAATAAGTTCGATCTAAAATGTTTTGAATTAAAAGAAAATTAATTTCCATAAAATAGAATGATAAACTTCCGGCTTACGTTGTGCTGCTGAATATGCAGCATGAGCTAATGACAACAAACCGCATCCAAGAACTAATTTTTGAAATGCTTTCGACATTTTAATGCTTCGTTTTAAAGTTTTTTAATTATTTATGTTGAAAATTATAATTTACAATTAAGCTCACTATTGATGGGACTTGTAACTTTTCAAAACAAAATAGAAAAAAAAAATTATTTTATTATCCATTCTGTCAGACTGTCAAAAACCACGATGAGTGAAATGAAAGCGCTTTAATAAATGTTTCTAATTCTTTACTTGCTCTATTTCATTCTGCACTCAGTGTTAGATATTTTTTTATCTTTCACAAATTATCCAATTCATTGCGGTTAAAAGTCAATTTAATTAATTTAAAGTCTGTCTTTAGTGAAAATAAAGTTGGATTAACATTTTTCTGCATTACATCCATCTAGTCGTAGATTAATCGGTGAGTTTTCATTATAAATATGTACGTAATTTTCCTACCCAGCCCAATGTTCACACATAGTAGTTAATTATAGTTTATGTATGATGATCTCAAGATTTCAACATTCCTTGTAGTTTTTTTCAAGAGACTCCCGCATATTGTTTTTAATTGATTTAGTACTGCTATAAGTGCCCCGTGTGAATTAGGTATTTCTTTGCAGTGCAGTTCGAGCGATAAAAGAAATTATGAATCATTGAACAGAACCGTTAATTAAAGTTTTGTTTTAATGACTTCATTCGGATTTCGCCTCTTATCATCGAATACGATAACAAATACATTTTTTTCATATTGAGCATTTCTGTTCTACTATGAAATTTCAACAGATTTTTGTCATTTTCTTATCGGAACTCAAACTCATTTTTGTGTTGTTTCTTGCTTCGTGCAATGCGTGATGTGTTGTGATGGAAAACAAATTTTGCCTCACAAATGTTAAATGTAATGTCGTAACATTATTATGTACTTGTACATTGTGGCTTTTACATTACCAACTTGTTGCATTTCTTCAGTAAAAATCTATTTACTTTAGATGTTTACGATATCCATCAATGGCTTTATAATCTATAAATAAAATCAATTTCATCTTATCGGCCTTTAAGCTCTTGAATAATTTTCTGATAATCAGTCTGTAAACAATTGCTTGCCAAACAAAACTTAATATTTAATGTATTATAAGTAGTCCCTTTATCACCTTTACTAGATAGACACAAAAAGTATTAAATATTAAATTAACACCTGTTGATCACAAAGAAGCATTTAATTTCAATTATGAAATATTATTCTTCTCTTTAATAAAAAAGCAATGCAGACAACAACAGCAACTCGTACAACTACTGAGACAAATGTCAACTTGTCAATTCGATATGATCCATCGTATATGCGTACGATTCCGGGAATCATTAAATTTGTTTGTGTTGTAAGTAGATAGATCTTTCATACAAGCTGCTTAATTCAGCTTTATCATGCTTTTAATGGGAGCTTTTTAGAAAGATTATTATCATTATGTTTAGGTTCTTAATCTCCTTGGATTCATTTGCATTGTCGTATCAAAATTCAACGGACTTTCGAGGGCGCATTTCTTCAACACAGTGGCCATGACGGGCTTCTGGTTCACTGGCATCCTACTCATCTTTTATCTGTTTCACGTTGTTGAACGTTATTTCAGAATCCCATGGATACAAATCGAGCTCATTTTTTGTGCTCTATGGACACTTTTGTATCTCATCGCGTCAATTACCGTGTCGACTGTTAATTCTGGTGCATTTACTGCAGCAGCTTTCTTCGGCTTCTGTGCGATGATTGCATACGGATATGACACATGGCTGAAGTTTAATGCACATCGAGCCGGTGAAATTGCTCAAGGACAAAGGCGAGTGGTACAACAGCAAACAGTTATTCAACAACAAACACCGTCCGCTTTTCCTGCATAGATCAATGTCGTTCATTCGTCTAATCCATTAAATGGAACAATTTTTTCGTCCTTTCACCATCTCGATGTTCATACAAAAATATGTTAACGTTTAAACGTTTACAATAATGATATAGAAAAAGAAAAATATTTCAAAACATATTTACGGAAGTTTCTATTTTTGCTAATTTTTTAATCAATTTTGATTGCACTTATTCATAATTGTTGATGATTTATAGAAAAATTTAATCAATTGCTAACGATCTTGCCTAGCTTTACTTTATTTATCTAATCAAAATTAATCGAAAATTATTTATGAAAAAATTTTCTTTCGGCTCAGGTTCTTCTCGTTTATTATAAAGAAAAATATTAAAATCTATTACCTAAAAGTTTACGGAAGCCGTCGATGTTATACAATGAAAGATTGAACTTTACGATGTTAACTAATAATCAAGAGCTTTGATACAAAAATATATTTTTAATAAAATTTTGCTACAAAGTTTTGCCATAAAATATCACTTAACAAAACAGAATATCAGCATACAATGATTATTGCCTATGAGAAATAGTTTTATATGGTACGAAACGGAGCCAGAGTTTATAATCAAGCTTATCTACTTATTAAAACAAGCACATCATTGCTTTGTCACATCATAAATGTAGTGTTTTTTTTTTTCAAACTCACAAAGACAAAATATTTTTGCTACAAAAGCTTTTAATGGTGACACGAAGCGTCCTTGACGTTCCGTTTATTATTGTCACGAACTCACATTGATACTCTTTCTCAATGACCACTTGAATGCAAAGATTAAAGTGTTTACACAATAAATTGTTTCTTATAAATAAGACTATTTAGGAAAGAAAAGAAAAGCTCCACTTTTGTAAGAATCAAAGAGAAAATATTTTGTGTCGTTTTCCCCACTGAATGTATTTAATAAATGAAAAATTCAATGATGCTTTCATCATAGAATTATAAAAAATAATACCTAATACTTGAGTTGTTTACTGTAGATTAAAGCATCACAATGGCAACAATAACTTCGACACATACAAGTAGCCACACTTCGATACGACCGATGATTCGTTTTGACATTGAATATCTGAGAACACGCCATGGAATTCTTAAAATTATTCTTTTGGTAGGATTTTTTTTATATTTTATTCAAATGTAAATTTTACATTCTTCTAAATTAAAAATTAAACACCAACAGGTCCTTGGAATAATTAATCTTATAATAATTAACACTTCAGTCGTGTTTATTGGTGCAACATCATTTTTCAATACGACTCTTGGCATCGCTTGGTGGTACACATTAATTATGTTGATTTTATTTCTCCTTCATGTACCTGAAAAATTCTACACACTTCCATGGTTGCCAATTGAAATTGGTGCACTTTGCATCGTTTGTTTACTTTACTTCATTGCATCGTTGATGGTTATTTTAGTTCGTGACGTAAACCACACAGTAACGGGAATATTTGGCTTCGTTACAATGGCAATTTATGCTTATTCAGGTTATTTAAAGTTTAATGCATGGAAGAATGGTGAAATAGCTCAAGGATCATTAAGTCGAACAACAACAACTACTGTTACGAGTGAAGCATCTGCATATCCTGCTTAAACTTTTTATTGAAAAGAATGTGAAGGAAATTTTACTATCGAATATGTAAATAAAACGTTATTGTAGATTTTGATATCATTTCCTCCTTTTTGAGTGAATGTCTCATGCTTTGGCATCATTTCTTAATCAATTGACACATCATCTCAATATTCACAACATGTTACAAGTTGAATATAGTAAAAAAAATGTCACGACAAAACTCACATCACAATTAGCATTGAATGTGATTTGTTTACTCAATTTATTTGAAACCAAATTCTATTGTTTGCAGAACGTTCACAATCAACATTACTTGGACAATGATAAATATAAATGAGATGTGACTTTCAATTTATCGATGAGATTAATGCGTAATAAATAAATTAATAAATAAAGAATTTTGTTTTATCACAATTTGTGATCAATTTTATTGAACAGAAAAGAAATAATTAATGACAAGAATTTCTTCAGATTGGATTTGTTTCCTTTTGCAACCAATTAAGTGTGAGCTCATCAGTTGGATCAATTAACGGCTTTAGGGTGTCATAGACTCGCTTATGATAAGCATTTAAACCTTGACGTTCTGCTTCAGTCAACATCTCGACTTTTATTAGTTTCGTTGAAATGGGACACAGAGTGACCGTGTAGAAAGTTAATGCACCACGCCCAGCGAAATCTTTTGGCACATTTGCTTTCACAATTTGTACGATGTCTTCAATACGAATGCCAAATTGTCCTTCTTCGTAATATCCAGGTTCATTCGATAAAAACATGTTGACTTGTAGGCCAGGGTCATCTGGATAATCACGAGTTCCAATACCCATGGGACCTTCATGAACATTCAAGAACGATCCAATACCATGACCCGTTCCATGTCCATAATCTAAGCCATAATCCCAAAGGAATTTTCTTGCTAAAGAATCAAGTGCTCGTCCTTTAACTTTGTTTGGAAAGACAAGTGAACCCATTTGCCATTGACCTTTGAAAACTCGAGTGAAGCATTCTCTCTCATAATCACTTGGTGCACCAAAATGCCACGTTCGAGTAACGTCAGTTGTTCCATCTAAATATTGACCGCCGCTATCACACAAATACATTTCACGGTCGGTGATTTCACGATTGGTTTCATTCGTAGCACCATAGTGAATTATGCTTCCATTTGGTCCACTTCCATTGATTGTTCCAAAGCTAACTCCTTTAAAATGCCTTTGTTTCGATCGGAACTCTTCAAGCTTATCAGCACCGGAAATTTCAGTCACAGTTCGTTTATTAAGAATTTCATTTTCAAGCCAAGCAAAATATTGCACCAAAGCTACGCCATCTCTTATATGAGAGTTTCTCATTCCATCTACTTCAACATCATTCTTAATTGCTTTCATGACAGCAATTGGTGTAATGTCTTGAATTCTTTTTTGCTTTGGAACCAGTTCAGTCAATGCTTGACTTGATCCTAAACTCACCCACACTTTTCCATCACTTTCCTTAGCTAACTCTTCAAAAACTGTGAACACTTCATCGTAATTCTTAAATATGATTTCAACCTTATTAGCTGAGAAATGCGAACGAATTTCATTTGTAACTCTTGAGGGATCAATGAAGAAATAAACTTCTTTGTCGGTGACGATGACGTACGAAAAGAAAACTGGATTTGCATTTATATCTGAACCACGAAGATTTAATAAATATGCAATCTCATCTAATGCTGTAACCACCATAACTTTGGCTTCTTGTTCACTCATCTTTTCACGCACTTCAATTAACTTTTGTTCTACTAATTTGCCAGTAAATTCAACATCTAAAGGAAACACTGAATTATTAGGTTGCGCTGGTTGATCATCCCAAACTTCATCAATTAAATTCTTCTTTACAGCTGTCATGATGCAACCTTCGTTTTCAAAAGCATTAGCTAATGAATTCCATGTACGAGTTGACATTAAATTTGCATCGACACCAATTCGATCTCCTGATTTACAATTCTTCTGAAGCCATTGAACCATTGTTGGTGTTTCTGGAAGGCCATCTTTCATTAACGTCCAGTTTGTGTCGAGTTGTTGAGAAGCTTGTTGATAATATCGACCATCAGTCCAAAGAAGTGCTTCACTTTGAGTTACAACAGCAGTTCCAGCAGAACCTGTAAATCCTGTGATGAAATGACGTCGTCTGTCACGTGCAGCTAAATATTCACTCTTTAATATTAAAATAAAAACATTTTAGTCAATAAATTGCTTCATTTGTTTTAATTAACATAACTATTGATGTATTTTTTATACCTGGTGAGCATCATCTGATGGAATAATATAAGCAACTAAAGGTTCGGTCAAAGACGATCCACTCATCAACACGCGCAATCGTGAAAGAGCATCGCCGGTTGTTTTCATCTTGTCTGAAATTACAAAAGCCACAGACACTGATGAAATCACTGCAACAACCGCTAGCACACTGATTACAATAAAAGTTATTTTAAAATTCTTTTTCATATTTTTGCCTTAACAATCTTGACAGGATGGTGATTGATGGGCGAACTTTTGACAACTTAAGAGTCTTGTCTATTTTCTTAAATATCAATCGATTGAAACTACTTCAATAACTGCGATAAAATAAAAATACTCAATGTGCTTGAGATAACATAGTAAAATAAAAGAATAAAAAATTAGTTCAAGAGGAAGATTAAAAACCTCTGTTTATAACCTGAAGGCTCTTCTGTAGGTAATAAAGATCCAAGTGACAATTTAACTATTAAAACCAAAACAATTTTAAGCAAGTTCATCCTTCAAGACGTTAAAAATTCAACTAAACTTTAAATATAAATTTATATTTACAACATTGTGTGGTTGGATCAATTTGCAACGCAAATCAACTTTGTGTTTTCTCATTTACATATCGAGAATTGATGTAAACTTATGACTAATATGATGCAACTGAAATGATTTGCAAATTGGGACTAAGGTTACTGAACTTGATCAAAATAATTCCCAAATATTTAAAAACTTGTAAGTTAAACTTTATTATTTAAAGCCTTAAAAGAGGTTTATTTGTATAATTACTTACGCATTTAACTGAAAGCAATAATAAATGAAGACTTTCACTAAATACTACTTAAATAATGCCAGATTGCTTGCAAAAATAAACAAACTTCGGGGGTATACAACTAAAACAAACTTTTTGACATGCAACGGAATGCAAGCTTTACCGAGACATTTATTTTCTAAGAATTTTGAAAAATTTAAATCATACACCAAGAAATTCCGTAGTTTTGTATTATTTAAATCTATTAATACTTACAATTGAAATTTTATCATAAATATGAAACACGATTATGAATAAATTATTAAGGAATTTTCGTTTAACGTCATATCGGATTGAATAAACTTTTTCCTCGTTTAAATTTGAGCTTTTAATTTCCATGCCAACATTATTTATGTTTGAAACAAATTAGAATTGAATCCTCCTCAATCGGCTTTGTAATTTATATTTTCAAATTACTTTTATAAAAATCTCTACAAGATGGAAATGGTAATTACTGCAAAAGAGGAAGATGAAGAACAAATTGAATTCCAAGAACCACTCATTGGAACAGAACTTCTCTCTGCTGATCATCCTTTATTGGAAAGATTCCAAAAAGCGTTAAAAGAACACTTGCTTAAAGTGAAAAATGAGTTGGAAGAAGAAATCGTTGACTTAGATAATTCGATACAGGAGAAAGATTTGGAGATTGAAGAAGTTGGATCGAAGCTTTTTGATCTGAACAAGGAAATTGAGGGTCAGAGAGATCAACTTGATAAATACTCTAAACAGATCCTTGATATGTCTGATAAACGAAAAACAAATGAAGAGAAAGCTGCTCGTTTAAAAGCTGAAGCCAATAATAAAGAAGCTTCATGTAAAGATCTTAAACGCATGATAAACGAAATTTCACAAGAAATTGCAAGTATGAGAGTACTGGAAAGCGAAATCACAAAATGGAACGATGAAATTCAAAGTGAAATCGCTCTTGCAAAACGGATTGTAAGCAAGGATTCTAAAGACAAAATTCTTGCATCCGAAGAAAAGAAAAAAATGGATTTGATTCTCTTCAAACTCGACAGTGAAGTTCGTAAAAATGAAACTCAATTATCAAACATTGAAGATCAAATAAGAGAACACAATGATTCAATAGCTTCATTGAACAAGAGTTTAGCAGATGCTAATGTTGATTTGGAAGGTTTGCAACAAGAACAGAAAAAACTTATGCAAGCATGGGGCGAAATTATTATCGCAGTTCAACATCGCGATAAAATTTTATCAAAAACAAAGACCGAATTATTGTAAGTAGTAGAACAACATAAAATTGTTTGTAAATTTAAACATATTTCTCGTTTCTTAGCAAGGAACAAGAAGAACATAAACTATTGCAGGCAAGCATTGAAACAACCAAGAAGTTTGTAATGAAAGAACTCGAAACAAGTGAAAAGTTGAACGAATTCAAAGATCGAATGATGCGTGATATGACAAATATTGAGAAACAAGGCAATTTTTATTTATTTTCTGTTTTATTAAAAATTAAAATCTGAAATATTCTTTCCACAGTTCAAATTTCTGAGAGTGAAAATATCAAGTTAGAACAGAAGCTTGATCATTTCAAATCAATTTTGGAGAAGACGGAAAGTGATATCGAACAAGCGAGATCTGAAGGCTTGTTGACCAAGAATCATGTGACAAAACTCTCCAATAAATTAGAAAAGTTGAATCGCGAAAAACTTGAAATGGAAGAAAAGATTCTTGACTTGCTGCAAGATCAAGTAACAACTGATAAAGCTGGTCAACATCGAGGAGTGTTGCTTCGCAATACACAAGAAGAACGAAGAAAATTGGAAATCATCATGGCACAAACCGAAAATCAACTTTCGTTAACAATTTTGGATCTTGAAAAGTGGCGAGGAAATGTTCAAAAAGCTAAGGAACATGTCGATCAAATGCAAAAAGAACACAACGAAGCTGACTTGGAAGCAAATAATGTGAACGAAGAGATCGAAAAGCTTAAAGTTGCTACTAAAAATAAAATGGTTATGCTTGATTCACTTCATAAGCAATTGGAGCAGATGATTGAAAATCTTGGTGGCAAAGAAATGTCTTTGAAAGAAGCTCAAGTGAGTTTAAGATTTTCTTAAATTTATTCTTATTATTTATTTTTAAATTGATTTATTTAAATTTTAGGTGATTGATTTGGAGAAAAAGATCGCTGAACTTAATGTGAGCATTAAAGAATCTCAACAATTTTGGCTTCGAATTCAGTCGATGGTCGCTGAATTATCTGAAAAACGAGCTCAGCAAATGGACGAAATTTTCATCGGTCGTAAGCGTAAGTATTTAGTTTTTGTTTTCTAAAGAAGATTTTAACATGTTTTCTTCGCATTAAAGAGTTGATGGTCGTTGAACAAAAGGCTTTGAAAGTTGAAGCTGAACTTGAGCAAAGTCAAATGGAACAAAAAGAAATTAATCGATCATTATCGATCCTTAACAATAAACTTGATCAAGCAAGTGTGAAACTTTATGAAAAACGTAAAATGCACGAAAAGGGAGCAGTCGAATGTGAAATAGCTCACAAGGAGACAATTAATAAACTGAAAGATGCTGAAATGGATGTGCTGCGTTTAGAACAAGACATCACTGAATTGGGTCGAGAGATTGAAGAATTCAAACAAGAAATGACAGATAAACATAACGAAGCTTTGTCGTGGGAAACGAAAGTGAAAATGGCATCGGAAGCTAAGAAATTGCAAGACGACGAACTTGCTAAAAGCAGTGAAATTGGAATTATGAAAGCGGAAATTCATCGAATGGAAGTTAAATATGCTCAATTAAAGAAAATTCAAGAGAAAATGGTTCAAGCTCTCGAAAATAGTGTTTATCATCGTGATCATATTCACGATGCTGCAAAAGTAAGAGAGAAGAAAACAGGAACGAAGAACAAAACTCAGAGTAACATTAAACATAAACTCAACGAAATGATGAATAAACTTAAAATTATTAAAATAGAATTAAAAACAAATCAGAAACAATTTACCGAATTTCAAGCAAGAGAACAAGAAATCAAAGATAAAATTGCTGCTAAAGAACAAGACATACAAAGAGAGAAAATGCAAGATTGCTTACTTCAAACTGAAATCGAACAAAGTTTGTTGTTGAAGCAAAAAAATCTCGAAAATATTGTCAAGCGACAAAAGCGCACAAAAAGCTACAAAACTCTTCAAACTTGCACTTATTTGCCTAAACTGAAAGCTGCTACAGTTATGGATGCTGAACTTCAACGACAAACAGAAATTCATCAGCATCTCCTTGAGATATTGGAAAGTTTGCAACGTGATTTTCCAGCTCATAAATTTCCAATCGAGAAAATTCTTCAAACTTTGAGAAATTAAATTTTTTGTGATGCGTGAAATTTGTTTGTGGCACGATTTATTGACCTCTATTAACACTCGGAAAAGTTTGAGACAAATAAAATAAACACGAAATTCTGCTTGCGTTAGATTGACAAACATTTAAAAAATTAATTAACATTTTATTAACTTTCATTAATCATAGATCAACGAACTTAAATAAAAATAGTTTGATTTTCTTATTAAATTTAATTTCAAGCGTTCTATCCAACATATATTTCAACATATATTTAAAGGAGTTTTCATCTCATCTTCCGATAAATCCACTGATAGAAGTCCATCGTTCATTTTGTAAAAATATTCATTGTTGAATCGCTTTTCCCTGAGCTCGTCTGATAAGTCCATCATTTCAACGTGACATGATGCTTCATGAAATCCATCGAGGAAGATCATGTACTTTGCTCTTGCTTTGTGTTTGTGGTGATCATTTTGTTGACGATTACCGCGTATTATGACTGTTTGCGTGTAAGAATCGGCAATTGCGAGTGTTTGTGGTTTTACAATTGTTACATCAATGTTTTTGTTGTCAAAGAATTTCATAACATATGAAACAACAAGGAAACAAACTGCATTCATTGGAAAAGCTCTGATTAATGTTGCACATAAGCCTCGTGTTAGAAATCCCATTCCTTCAGCTTTGTAACTCTTTCTAACACAGTCAATAGCGCCATTGTATTGTGGTTTACCATCCATTCCATCAACTTGAAGTCTTGATTTGATAACATCCATTGGGATCGAGATTAGCCAAGAGAAAGATCCTGCTAGACCACCAGCCAAAAGCGTATACAGTGCACCAGGATTTTCCCTTTTCCGCATCATCCATTCAAACGATACAAAGTAACTTGCAAAACCTGCCGATGACAAATTTATTAGATAAGTTAAACAAATTTGAACTGCATTTATTTACTAACCTGGCACATCTCTTGCTATTGTAATTCCAAAGCCTTTGAATACGCCATGTCTTCCTTCGTTCTTCCAAATGTGGTTCAGACATGCAAAAGGACTTTTATGTTTGATAGCATTTGGAATTCCATTTTGAATTTGAAGCCGACTTTTCACAAGATCCATGGGACTGCTGATGAATGTTTGACTCAACCCAGCTATTGTTCCAGCACAAAAATGTGCAAAAAGTGAATCAGGTTCAGACATTCGTCTTTGAACATTCCCATAAACGCCGAAAACGATTGCATTTAAAACGGAAATCGATGCCATTGGTGAAGACATTCCACGATACAAGCCATTGATTGACTCTTTCTGTACAATTTTCTTGAGACAATCATATGTGCCACGGTAAAGTGGATTTTTAAAGTCTTGTGTTTGTAAATGAACTTTGATAGTGTCAAATGGATGACCCACGAGAAGACCTGCACATCCTAAAATAACGAAATAGAAATGATTTCGATTACATTTCGTTCTTTGACCTTCTTCATCGTCTGACGACAGTTGAACTGATATAAATTCACTTTAATGGCGCATTTGTTTTGTTTTTATATATTAAAATCATTCAGCAATACAAAACAACAAAAAAAAATAACAGTGGCGTAGTACTTTAAAATCATTTTCGATATTTACCCCCCAAACAACCTGCGACAAAATCCAAAGCCATTTCTTCAGGAACTTAAAGTACGGTAATTCTTAAAATTTCAAGAAAAGACGTCACTCGTCTTAATACTGCGTAATTGATAATTGTACGAAAAAAAGTTGATGAGCTTGTATTTTTAGAACAAAAATATAAATCAATGATAATCTGAAATGGGAAAAAATACATAAATTAAATTTAAAGACGATTGTACGATGAGCGACAGTCGAAAGAAAAATCGTTATCATTATCTGTTGTCACTAACTCTTAATTCAGCATTTAAACTGTTCAATCAGCTACTTAGTTTTTTCTTTTTAAACTAAAACGTGCATGTCGCCTGATAATTAAACGTTCAATTTTTCTTTATGTGAATTCTAATCGTGACAGACTCGTGATAATTTTTAGAGAAATGATCGACCTTTCAACTCAGCTTTATTACTAAGAACAATTAATTTTTTTTTTCAATTCTTAAATTAATTTTGGACATAATAAATCCACACTTTTCTCACCTTTAATATTTGAATCCGATTAAACGTCTTTATCGGCCTTTAATCCTCCGTCAATATGTCTTATGATGAACTTTTTAATGCGAAAAATTATCATATTCGAATAGTTGCCAATCATGTACTTATTTCCGTTCCTTAACAATCCTTTGTTTAGGCCCGACAGTTCCAAACTTTAGACATAAACTTTTATTCCTTGACAAGTGATAAATTATTAATTTCCTTTTTATTAAATAAATGTCAACAGTATCAATATCCAGAATTAATCTCAAAGAGAAAAACTGAATCAAATGGCTTTATTTAATTATTTAGTAAAGAGACCAGCTCCACAATTCAACTCCGAACTTCAAAAGATGAGAAGAATAACTGAATAATCCCGAGAAAGCTCTCTAGAAATGTTCAACTCATCGTTTTGCAGAATGATTTAATTCAAGATGATAACACTAAAGGTTATCGCAATTTGGTGAACCAGCTTGAGATTTTTTACAATAATTTTATTTTTAGTTGAAAATGAATCAAATATAAAGTAAGCAAATCAATTTGCATCCTTCAAACTACATTTACAAATTGCTCTTTTTCCATTTCCAGAAACATTTTTTTTAATCTTTTTTCCCTTATCATGTCTGCTCTATTTATTCATCATAAGCCTTACTTGTTTTCTTTAGTGCTGAAATTCATCGATGAGATTTTGCACATTAATTATAAAAACAACCGTAAAAACATAACTTAGGAAATAACCTTGCTGATTGATTATTTGATAAGAACAATAAAAATTTTGTTAGATAACTTTCAAATATACTTGCTTACTTCTTAACTGTTTACAGCTTCGCGAGAATTCGAGATCACAAAATGTTATCAAAGAAAAGGTCGAGCCCACAATTCATCTATACATCGTGACTTTATATAAAGCATATTGTGAGTGTGATGAATGTTAACGTCATGAAAGGAAGAAATCACTGATCCCAATTACTTTGTAATGATAACGAAGAGAAACAACATGCATAGATTAAACTGAAATCAACTTATGTAGATGACTATAAAATTATTTATTTTTATTTAAATTATTAAGTGTCAATACACTGATCATTTGCATCGCGTGGAAACTTCCAGAGCTAAGTCTATAAAAAAAGAAATAAAAACATGAAACTGTCATGAGGCAATTTCTTGATCATTTCCGACGTTATTTATTATATGCGAACCGTACATGATGTACGTCTGTGCTGATAATGTGAACATTTAAAGTATTCATTCAAAAAATACAATTTTTTCTTCAAATGACGAATCTCTATGTTCATTGGAAGTGAGAATCACGTGTTTTTATGAAAACAAATCTGATGTTTACATAGTTTTGCGCATGTCTCATACTTTTCGTTCAATCTTTCCAATAATTCCAACATTCCCACGACATCTAAAAATATCCGCTTTTCTTTCTATCGTCTTTCAACTTCACTCATTTTCAGACACGTAATTTCTCCCTCTGATAAAAAATTTTCAGCTGAAATTTCAATCGAAATCAATAAATTTCAAAGATTGTCGTTCTCATTGAATGTTTGCAAACATTTAGAGTTATCAATTAAAGTTAATTGAAATCAATTGAGAATGCTGTGAATGTAAAAGTGAAAAACGAGAAAGAGACAAAAAAAATTTCTAAACAAAAAAGACGAAAAAATTACTTTTGAAATATTTTTCACGAGTGTGATTTGAAGTTATCATTAAAAATTGCGTATTAAAGATGAGTAACCTTGAAGTCTCTTCGGATAATACGTTTCTGCAACTCCCAGAATCGTTAACAACGTCACCATCGCAATCTACTTTTATGGCTGAAGAAGATGCCTCCATATGTCCATTACTACCAAACACATCCAGCCCGCAATTAGACTTTAATCATCCTCTAACACCCAGCACAGGCAATGATATTAACTCAGACGCTCGTAAGTTTTCTCTTCCATTTTGTAATTTTTCATTCCTTCATAAGTGAATTTTCTTTTCTTTTGTCTTGACAGCTGATGACCCAATTGAACTTGATGATTCATCATCGAGCAGCTCAGGTATTGGAATGGGAATCGGTGGAATTGCAGGCATTGGAAATGTCAGTGCGTATCATCACTTGAGAAAGAATGGTGACGTCATAAAACAGGTGCGTGGGTGGATTACTTAACAATTTAAATTGAAAACAAGCTAAAAGATTTCTTTTTTTCAGGAAAATGGAAAACATGGGAAGATTAATTATGATTATTTAAATGCACTTAACGTACCAATAACCAAAGATATCCCATCGTTTGTTTCATGGAACTGGCCCATGATTCGAAAGATTACTTTCTACTTGTTCTTGTCAGGAATCATTGCAATGTTGAGTGTAGTAGCGGCGATGATTTACCAACTACCAAAAACATGTAATCCAGAAACGCCATGGTATCAAGGAAGTGCTTTTTACGAAATATTCCCAGCAAGTTTTAAAGATTCAAACAGCAATGGGATCGGCGATCTTCGTGGACTTGCAAGTCAAGTTTCTTATTTCCAGAATCTTTCAATTGGTGCAGTTCGTTTGAATTCAATTTTCGCTTCTAAACAATATCCAGAAAGCTTTCGAGAAATTGAAACATTGATGGAAATTTCAAAGGATCTTGGAACTGTCAATGACTTAGAGTTCTTAATTTCCGTTCTTCATGAGAAAAATATTTCCCTTATCTTGGATTTGCCACTTTATCCTGTTTATCAACGTTTAGAACCAACAAGGAAGATAAACTTGACAAGAGATGAGTATGACAACTCGCCGCTTGAGGAATATAAGCGGTTGGAAAGAAGCATCATTGATGATAACGTCATTTCAAATGTCATGAGCTATTGGTTAACAAAAGGTGTTGATGGCTTCTACATGAAAGGCTTAGAGAACTTCGCTAATGATCAATATTTGGGAGAGAATCTTCGAGAATGGAAATTTATGCTTGGAAAAGATCGTATAATGATCATAAATCAAGCATTAATCACTGAAGTGTCTGATGAACTTGCTGACGAAATACTAAAAGTTGTTGATCTTGTAGACGTGTTTTTAGATGTCTCCAATGGCACACAAAAGATTGAGAAACAAGTTCTTGAAGTCTTAAATGGAAAATTGAAGCCTAGTGAAAATGGGCCATGGATTCATTGGAGTATTAATGGAGTTGACCGTATTGGACGTGTGTCAAGTGGAATTAGTCCCGATGCATCTCTTGCTGCTACATTGATGGAAATAATGCTGCCAGGAACTCCAAGTATTTTTTATGGAGATGAAATCTCAATGGCACTTTCTCATGATCCTAAAAATGAACATAAAGAGTCAAAACACATGCATCATCTTCCGACGATGTCTTTCAGAAATGATGGATCATTTACTGGCCCATTGTCATTACCGTGGCTGCCTAAATCAGCTTCAGTTTCTTACCAGCATTTAAAATATGTAATTGATGCTATCACTCTTCGCAAAACTACTCCATCGATTTACAAAAACTCTGTAAGCAAAGATGGCAATGAAGCACATGGAAACACCCACATTAGAGCAAGTAAAAATGATTTGGTGATTATTGAGAGAATTTATCCACGTCGGAATACCTTCGTGTCTATTACAAATCTGGGACCGGATGATTTAACTGTTGATATCTCAGCACTTTTCTATAGCGGTGAACTTGTTCTCGGATCTGCTAAACATAGCAAAGTTTTCTTCAACAACTTCAAAATACGATCACTTGAAACTGTTATCGTCAAATTGGACAAATAAATTGAATCAATAAATGAGAAAAGTTTTACTTTCAAAAGTCAAATCTATGTACAGAAGACTTTCACAAAAATTAAACAAAAAACTTCATAACTGTGTTGATTTTTCAGAAAATAAATTTTGTCATTTTTTATTTTAACATAATAAAGAATGAATTATGTATATTAAAAATATATGTAGATATTCTTTTAATATGAATTACAGAAAGTATTTTTGAAAATTTCTTTCGCATCACTTAAATCATAAAGTTACAGAGGAAATTAAACGATTAACATTCTTAATTATGCACAGTATTGTACAATACTACAATCTTAAATGTTATGGATAAAAAAATTACAAATATCAAAATTCTATTTTCATCCGATTAAATCTTCTTAATGCATAATAACGAGTTTGATTCTTAAAAGGTATTTAATAAACTTGATTTCTAATTCTTCTCGTTTCTAATTTCAAGACTTGAGCAGCATTTCTTCTTTAAAATCAATTTATAATCTTCCTTTCTTTGCTGAGGATTGTAAATACTTTTCAGTATAAAGTGTCACGTCATTTTTCATTCTTTTCACCTTTTATAAATGTAGAATTGATGGAACATTTTAAGACATAAAATGCGTTTCATTCATTATAGTTGTGACCCTTGACTTAAAGCATGTACAATCCCCATAACATGTCATCTCTTGGACATGGCATTTATTTCAATCTCCATGTTATTAAAATAGTCATAATCCTATTACCGCCTTCTTAACATACTTAAAGACATTCTTGATGAGTGTATGGCAATAAATATTTCTTTTAAACCAATTTTTATTTTCCCTTCCTTCAATCCTCAATTATCATCGATATCCAAACCGGATAAACATAAACTACGCATAATGCATCAAATTAAATCAGTTTATAGCAAATGTATATTTCTTCTATTCTCTTTTAAAGCTTGGAAGGTGGAAAAAAAGTGAAAGACTTATATTTTTTCTTTCTTTTAATCTCAATCAAATGGAATGTAACACTCCTATGAACAATTTCTTCTTTCTCTTTACATCAAACATGATCTTATTTGTATTGTAAATATCTGTAATGATGAAGAAAAATATAATGAGAACTTTAAAAAAAAATAACAACCCACAACCTACGAAAACATTTTTTTCTCTCTTTCTTCACTACTTATTCAAGAGGCTTCTAGATTAAAATTAAAAGTAATAAAACTGCTGGAAGAATTATTTATGAATTGAAATTGTATCCATATTTTTGTGTACGTTAGTTTTGCCACATGAAAACTTATACTTAGAAGTGAATTATATTTAGCCCTGAACGAATTATTATCCATCATTTTTAAAATGACTTTTTATATTTTAATTATTTATTATTCAATCTCTATCTACTTGTGTCTATTAACAACTAGACTCAAGTGTACTTGCTACCATGCATTAAATGTCTAAGAATTTATAGCTTAAAGATTTGTATTTTGATTTGTCTTTTGTTTGAGTGGTATTGGATCCATGACATAATTATTCTTGTTACCAGAAGCAGTTTGTACGGGAAGTGGTGGCAATTTGTCATTTGGATGGCGATGGCTAACGTTGGTCTTTCGTGTTTTTGATAGTTGAGTTGTGCTAAGTCCTGATACAGGATATTTAGCTTTGGAAGACAAAGAAGCGGAAATTTGTTGATTTGCTGTTCTCGGATGTTTCGGCATGACAAAAGCTTTTGTTTGTTTCAGTAAGGAACGATCATTGCAGAGTGCCGAAATAAGTGGCAAATCGAGATTTTTGCTTTTCTCTCTAAGTATACTTATGTCAATCGCCTGTTGTTGTGCTGCTGTTAAATTACTCGGAGCAATGATTTTGTTTGATTCGGGACAAATAACATGTGACAGTTTTAAATCTAGTGGTTTGGATGATGAGGAACTTGATGCTATTGCCGATGTTTTCCGTTCCAATGTGGAGCTATTAGAAGTCTTCGTTGGCGTCTTCGTAGATGACGAAGGTGAAGAAGTCTTCAGTGTCGTGGGTTTTGCTGGTACTAGAATTCAAATAAACATTTTTATAAGTCAAAATAAAATAAAAATTATATGAAAAATAGAAACTTACCGGATGGTGGAGCTGAAATCTCAGGCACTTCAACAGGTGTTGGCATGGGAGGCTTACGAATTGGTTTCTTATCATAAGAAGGCGGTGGGGGGATTGGTCTTCTGGATTTTGGTGTTGAATCTATTAAATTCAAAATATTATCATCAGATCGTGATCGTGAGAACACTGACGAAGATATAGATGAAACAGTTGTTGTGGGTGCGATACGATGTTGTCTTAAAGGCGGGGCAGGAGGTGGTGGTTCATAAGACGAACATAAACTTGCAACAGATGGGCTGTAGAGAGGCGAGTAAGTTCCTGGCAATTGAACGTAAGTGTCGGAAAGATTTTGTGTCGATGCATAACGTGATGGTGAAGAAAGTGCCATTGATAGGAATGGAGTGCTTCGATAGAGAGCGTGATTTTTGCATGCATCCCAGCTACGATTATGAGCTCGGACAGTGTGATAAGCCAAATATGATGGTGGATGAGCTTGTGCCATTGCAGCTAATAATGATCCTTGTTTAGAATCTAAATATTCTTGTTGGCTAACAGCGGGATCTTGTAAAGGATAGATGACGTAGTCAACATCGCTGTAAAGTTGCTGCTGATAAAGTTCAATTTGTGATCGTGCTAATTGACTTGTGTAAACTGTGGCAAGCTGTGCCGGTGGTGGTGGTGGCGGTGGTTGTCTTGGCATCGTTGGGGGAGGAACATAAGGTTGACTTCGGGGTTTAATGACTGGTAAAAGAACGCACGTTCTCGGACCAGATTTTGTATCGTGGTAGAGCGGATGGGAGAAGCTTTTGTGCGCTGGGTGGAGATTATGATAAGGCACAATTGGAATACCTAACGAGCTAGCTGATGGCAATGGAGATTGCGATAAATTGTTTATGGTGTTGACTGTTGGTGCAGCATAACTTGGTTTAGCTGATTCTCCAATCATGCTGTGTGCCTTTAAAATGTTGATATGAGGTCGAGTTGTTATGAACCTAGCTGGCGTTTCTTCAGGAATTGTTGTTGGTGGAATCACAGTGGAAAGTGATCTCAGAGACTTCCTTGGATATATTTGTGATTCTCGTATCGGAAGTGATGGAATTTCCGGTGCAATGTCAGGACCACGAAGACCGGTAGTTTCATGATGTGCATTGTAAGGTGGAGGTTGTGGCATGTCAACAATATTTGAAAGAGATCTACTGTCAATTCTTTGAGGAGGTGCTGGTGGTGTCACTTCCAGTAAATCATTCTCGTATTCATCTTCAGTCGGTGCCGTATCTTCACTTCCTTGCAAATAACTTTCGCCTTCAAGTGGTAATGGCAATGTCACGTAGTCGCAATCTGAATCCATTGTGTCACTGACTGTTTTATGTGATGGATAAGTGCCACGACCAACAATCAACTCTGTCAACTCTTCAGCACTTAACGGATTATGCTTATTATCAGTAGGGTCACTTCCATCACCTCTAAATGAACCAGCAGCACTAATATTTGAATCTGACCTCATTCGAAATTGATTTTCTTCGCTATTCAGTCGTTGCCGAAATTCTCCATCAACAGAATCAATGTTACCATTCATCTTATCACCCATCTCACTATTCGGATGAAAACTCCCGTAGTGTGAACTCTCATGTGACTCTGACTCAGCAATTTCAGATGATTGTCCAGTTAATTCACTGCTATTCATAGTATAAACGCCACTCGTTTCTGTAGGTGCTGGATTGTTTAATGTATAAACTCCCGAAGTTGTTTCTTCATCGTCGTTATGTTCATCAGTGATGTCAAATCTTGTATCATTTGTAGAAGTTGTTGTAACTTCACTGACAGTTGAATTTTGTGCCGTATGACTAAAACCCAATTCCAAACTGCTACATGTTGACGATTGTCGTCGCCCACTACCATCATGTTGTCCAAGAGGTGTCGAAAGAGATATCGTGTCTACAACAATCGTACTACATGTTGATGAACATTGCGATCCAACATTATGTTGTGATGTAGGAGAAGCATCCGAATCTTTTTCGCTCTTTTCTTTCAATGTTTCCGTTCCTTCGCTACTTGTCGATCGAGTATTTGACCGAACTGATAAAGCCGCCAACGTATCGCCAAGATCTTTAAGTGAAACTTGTCCAACTGATGATGTTTGTCGAGAAACACTTGGACAATCTAAGAGGTGAGCAAGTGCTAAACTTTCAGTTGACGGTGCAGCTATCGGTGGTGTGTTGATTAATATCTCTAATTCATCTTCGGAGTGCACGCGATCGCTTACAATTCCCGATGTCGTATTCGAGCTTGTGCTCGATATGACAGAAATTCTTTGATCGTTTTTGCTCTTATATTGCAAGTTGAGTGTGCGCGAATAAAGGTAGCATGCATGAATGCAATTACTCTCTTCTTCGTCGCGCTTAATAGCATCCGTTAAGCGAGGTGCAATCTTCATAGAAAACTGATGCGTCTCTCTACACAATGCCAAAAGCATTTTATTCTTGTCGTCATTAGCTGAATAAAGCGTTATTTTGCTCTCACCCGATCTCAACTCAAATTTCTTACGATCAAAACTGAGCTTTGAGATGGCGGGCCACATAAATGTGATCGGTTGTGTTTGCGTTGTCTCATTTACTATTTTAAGCCCTTTTGCATAAATAATTAATAAAGCCGAACCAACGCCGCTCTCGTTTTTGTTGCTTTTCATTCTAAATATGTGTGCATTTATGGCTTCATGAAGTCCACATGCTTCGCGAATAAAATGGGTTTCAGCATCAGCACGTGACATTCCACGATTTTCTCTATGGCAAGAGTGCAGTGCAGAAATGCCCCATGTTGTGCGCAATGAAGAAGGAATGTAATCTTCAGCACGAAAATAATCAGAGTTTTGATCATCAGGACAATCGCCAAAATCAGCTTGCAATGATAAACCGCCAAGTAGAAGTAGCGATTGTTCCGAAAATTCTTTTGGAGCATCACGATGCACTGCGTTGGTTTTTAATTGTAGATAATAATGATGTCGCGTGATTTCATCTCGAAGTATAAGCGGGCTCTCGATGTAAAATTGCACGCGAAAATGAAATTCTAGAAGAGGTTTGCCATTGGCGTCGAGGCCCTGAACATTAAAAAGTAAAAAGGAAAGAAAAAAAACGAGACATTCTAATATCAATTAATAATGAACTAGTTTATTAAGAGTCTTACGTGTGTATGAGATGATCGCCAACTTTTCGGACCATACTTTGATAGCTTCGACTCGGGATCGACAAACATGTACTCCCCATCTGTAATGAATGAAAGTAATAATAGAAAAATTAGTTCATTGTCATATAAAATTAATGACAGCATATTTCTCCAACAACAGTTGCAATTTCTTTCACTCCTAATTCTTGCTTTTTAATCATTATCTATGTAGCAACCGCTTCGTTTAATCTCCTACATTTGACTTCATTGACGAGTGAAATAGTGAGGTTTGTGCCATTAAAAAAACACATTATTAAGCATGCGTACTTTTACGATCTCATCTTGGCGACAGGAGATGGGCGTTATAGTCAATACATCGAGACACACATAAATAAATTTATTGCATGGACATTGTACAATGAAGGAGAAATCACATCGAGAAAGAGACTGAAATTCAACGGAATTCCAATTAAACGCGCAAGACTTCGTACTGAATAATGACAAATCATTCAGTGGCGACAATGTCGGCTCAATGCTGTTCAACATTGTACGTAATAAACCTAGATATAAGTCGTGCGATTAACACATTGACTCAACATTTTTCTACTTTTATTGTGTTCTTATTATTATTATTATTTAGTTGAAGCACATTCCAAAATGTCACGTTGTTGTTCATATCAATGATGTTGCAGAAAAATTGTGTACAAGAAACTGGAAATTAAATTATAATCATGTAGCTTCTTCCGCCAGAAAAGATTCTTACGAGAGAATGAGAATGATAAAAAACATTTTAATTGTATATCTGATGCACATCGATGTCAAACTGCGGTCTTCAATATAAAAAATTCTTAAGTTACACTTAAATTAATATTTTGCTAGCATAAAATCGACGACATGTAAATTTTTTTTTCAGTTGTCGTTTGCATTAATTTCTTCTGCCGCATTCCTTGTCCCTGCTTATGCTTGAAGGCCAAAAGAACGAGGCGAAAACAATGTTTCGTATAAAAATCATGCTAACAATATATACGAACAACGAACGCAAGAAATTTATGCGTTTCAATGCAACAATGTAAGATGATGGAATTTGCCATAAGTGATGTTTTTATATCAAGAGAGAAAGCATTCGTTGTTATGTGATGAGAATTTCAACATTGGATGTTTACAAAATTTAATCTTCCATTCAACCGTAATGAGAAAGCAATCAAGCTAATAGCTATTGGAACAAATTAACTTAAATGTATCGTCGGTTCCTGTCAATAAAGCAATGAAGTGATTTTGAGATTAATTTATAACAAAAAAAATCATGTTGCCTTGACTGCTCTCATTGACAATTCAGCGAATGTACCAGATCGACTCGTTTACCGAAGCATAACATAAAAAATTTGGAATTTTACATGGAATTTTGTTTACTAAAAATATCAGATGCATGAAATTTATGTACTGAAAGGCAGATTTTAAGAAATAAAAATGCCACTTTCTGTTATGTCTTCCTTTCTTTGCTTCACTAACGAATGGAATTCTTATATGTGGTTAAACATAAGAAATGTTTTATATTTCCATCTTGTCCGACCATAAGTATTTTATACGTACACACGAAAAATAAAATTAAAAAAATAAAATAAACGAAAATTATATCGACATTGGAAAGCAGAATGAAAGAAAAACTATCAAACATCGAATAATGAATGTTATCACGATATACGGCTTGTTACATTGTTGCAGGTTCAAGTTTCCATTCGGTGTTGCGGTGAAAAGAATTCAAGAATTTTTGCTTCATTTCAACAAGAGAGAAATAATAATAATACATTTCAGTCACTCCCAAATCGTCTGAACGAAGGTCAGTCTTAATTTGTGCTTTAGCGTTTGGCGAAATTTTTATTTTTTCACGTTAAAAGCTGATGTCAGTTGTTGAAATATTTATTGTTTAAGCAAAACGTGAAAAATTGTACAAAACAAAATGAAAAAGAATGAATGATAATGTAATGTAGATATGTATGTATGTGCAAATTCAAATGCTTTAACTAAATTTATTTATTTAAATTGTATTGGGATTGATGAAGAGAATGTTAAATGTTCATAAATGGGGACGCGAGTGGATTATCATTGAATGAAATGAAACGATTTTACTTATGCTAAGAAAATCTTACGCCAGTTAACCCAAATACCAAAATTAGATTTGTTACACTTCCCGTGAACTTTCCCCAACATTTCTTTTGTATTGTTGATGAAAAATTGAAGAGTAATATTGAATTTATTGACCACATTTTTCTTTCGAGTTTTAACCACATTCTTTCTTAAACTTATGTACACAATTTGCGACAACACATGGCATAGCCAGTAGTAGCTTAACGTTCTTTCACATTAATACTTATTCATAAGATTAATCATAACATGAAAAGCAAGACTTTGTAGCAACAATTGTGATTTCAGACTTTCAGAGTATTTCTTACCCTGCAGTTCTCCATTATTGAATACTTATGCAAGGCGTAACAAGAAAATTACTTCTCTGTTCTCTCGTTGATCGTCGACAATTTGCACGAAAGGAAGAAGGAAAGAATAGGGCAAAATTGGAATTTATGATGCAAACATTAATAACCTTAACGCTGCTTACAAAATATCACAATGGCCTTTAGCTAGATCTGACAAGAGTAAAAGAATTTCATTTTCTCATTGGAATGCGTTAAACAGCTAAATGAATTTTTAAGTGCTACATAACTCGAGCTTCGTACACGCAAAGTTCATTTAACTTGAACTCGCTGCTGATGTCAGGTAAGAGAGGGTTGAACGACATGACAGCTTGTATTGTATCTACGTTTATAAATGTAAATAATGTATGCAAATTGAAAAACAATAAAAAAGAATTAAAAAGAAAAATTAAGCAACGCCATCGTGCGGCTTGTTAAATGACGATCATAAATTTTCATATTTGCAAATCGAGCTATTCAATTAAATATCTAAAGGAATGCTATTAAGGTAGCATAAAACGATCGTGAAGATGAAAATACGGTATTGATTCGAAGATTTTACAGTATTTATTAATTTTTGTCGAGTTCTGTATGCTCTACTTTGAATAATTTCCTCATTGGGCTTGCTCTGTTAAAGATTTAAAAAAACATTTTTTTAAGCTTTATAACCGCATATCTCATTTTTCTTATTACACAAGAAGTAAAATAATGTGAAAAATGAATTCAAACAGCAGATTAAATGCAAATAAAGCATTTAATGGGCATCTTATGAGAACGAGAGAAAAAAACAACAGTCTTAAAAATATTTTAAGTCTCCTTTTGCATTGAAATTTATGGAAAAAAGAATCATAAATTAGCTGAAAAGCAGATAAATAAAGAAACAAATTGAGATTGCTAGCTCGCTGTTTGGGCTCCACTCGCATCCACCGTTTATGTATGCATTTGTGCTTCTATTCAATCACAAGAAATGTTTATGTAAATATCATGATTTATGAGCTTTGTTGATGCGTTTTTTATGCACTTCATATGAATTTGGCTTTTCTCGAATGACCATTCAAAGATTTTTATCGACAGTAGCAAATTTATGCTAAATACATGTTTAAATTTTTTTTTCAGTGTTACTCGAGTAAGAAGCGCGATCGAAACAAAAAAAATTCTTTCCAAAAGTTTCTTTAATGCATTAGTAATTTCTTTTTCTCATTTCATTTGCTCATGAATAAGTGGAAAAGCAGCAATGAATGAGAAGAATAAGAAAATAAAATTATTTTTAAACAATTAATCAAATAACAAAGAACGAGATAATAAATTGAAGAATTTCATGGATCCACACGATTAATGGATTCTAAAAAAATTTAACACTCTCGCCTATTGTTTCATGATGGGAATGAAATATCATTTCATCTTAAGAAACATCTTGAAAGATTGGTTAGTATCCCTTAAATCAAAATAAGAAGAAGAATATGAAGAAGAGTTCAACATGAAATGGAATTCAAAGAACAAACAAATTTTAATGTCCTAGAAGGAAAGCAAAATAAAAAAAGAACAAAAAATATTCATGAAAAAAAGTATGCAAAGTTGAAAAAAATAAATTTGATTCTAACGTCTCGTTTGCTTTGAATGAAATTTGAAAACAGGAAAGAAGCAACAAGAAAACGCAAGCAACAGAAACGAAAGGAGAATCGACGCGTGTTTGGTAATTCAGGTAGCTGAAAATATTTTTACATCAAGCAATCTTAGTTTATGTACCCTTTATATTTATCTTCTGTGGCGATTTTATGACCATATAACGAATGGAATGTCGGAGTATATAAGGGCCATATAAAATCGTCTTTATGATGGAAGCAGTAAAGGTTAAGACAGTCATTTGTATAATTTCGAATGGAGTTTAACGTGGGCTTTCAATCTTTATTAATAAAACATTCTTAGATGTTCCTTTCAATAGATGTTTAGATTTATTTGTTGATGTCTTGAAAGCTTCAACACAATCATCATCACCACTCGCGCCATTTTTTTTTGATTCCATCTCACCTCAAGATATCTTTCTTTGACGTTTTTTAAGATTATACAAAATTTTATGAGGCCAAGATGTTGTTTTTCATCGCGTCTTGTTACCCCTTCTCCCTCCCCTCTGTATTTGAATTAATTATCAAGTCAAAAATAAAAACAGATTCTTTAACTGGTTTTTATAGCTTTAAGCTTTCTTCTTTTTTCGTGTTTTTGATATTTCTTTAATGCTTTGGTAAAATGTTAGATTTTTATGACCGAAAGAGCGACAAACCCGCGATAAAATCTCGTTTTTCATTATATTTTATTATCATGGAAACTTACCGATCAGAACTGCCAAGCCAAACAGATCGGTGTCCAACATTCCTTGCTTTGAGAAGTGATGACATGTTTGCGTGTAGACTTCTCGAACACGACTTTTTGCTTCGACTAGGAAGTAAAGTGTGCGGGACTGCGGTGTTCCGAATATTCTTTTAAGAAAGAGAAAAATGAATAATTTTTGAAGTATATTTTGAAAATTTCATCATTATACTTACTTTAGTGCTAAGAATCTTGCACCAGCTGGTAGTGGAGGCAGTGGTGGTCTTGATGGTGGAGCGCAAACCTCTAAGGGTGCGCTGACGGTACAAAAAGCTCGCATGCTGCATGATTACCATCGGCAATGACTTGGTCGAAATATTTCCTGCAAAAGAAAGAAGACAATACAGTTCCAATTAGTAAAAGAATGGATATCTAAGTAAGAAAGACTCGAAGTTGAGGCACATAATCACGCTCTGACACATTTAATTTATAGCCGTATACGGTCGAAGAAAACTAACAGTAAATTTTTATAATATTCTTTTTTTGATTTCGCTTAGACCCACAAATTTAATATCTTTCATGATCGCTCATCAAAAAGAAAAAAATTTGCGATTGCGTTGCTTTATGTTTTTTTTTCATGGTGATGATTGTCGAATGTAGAAATAAAATTCCGAACAGCACGCATGGTTCGCAGATGGAATTTATACTTTTTTTTTCTTTCAATTTCTTTTCTACGTTATCTTAAGTCGTCACAATACAATGAAATTAATTTCGTATTTTTCATGTTATTGTCGTTTCTTTTTATTCGTTAATTTTGGTTGTGAATATTTATTTGTTCAGATGCTATGAAATATGCGCAACTGTTGACATATATGAGACATGGCCCGATTATTTCAATGTTAATTATAGACATATAAGCCGTCATTGTAAAAGACTTAATTTCTTATTATTTTTTTCGAAGCTGATGAATGTTTGGAATTCTTTCATATACACACAGGTGTACAATGAACAACGATAAACAAAATACTTTAGCATGGAAAGAATTCATATCTAATGGATTAAGTTGACTCCGCAAATACAGTGGAACTTCGATAAACAGCTACTTCGATAAACAGATAAACCTTGATAAACAGATATTTTTTTGTCCCCTTGAATCGAATTTGTATGAAAAATTGCCTCGATTAACTGATACCTAGATTAACTGATGCACCTTCAGCCATCTGTTTATCGAAGTTCCACTGTAGAAGCCTACAACTTCTTTCATTAGTAATTTAATAATTTTTGAGATTGTCGCTAACATTATGAAAGTTTTCATTTCAAAAAATAAAAATTCTTCCTTTCAAGGGACAAATACATTTGCATTCAAATGACTGTTAAACTATTCAATTAGATTCTAATTTGAATGTCATTAGATTGTTTAACATTCAATCCTTCAATACGCGTAGAGTTGCCAATTACAAATTATTTATTTACAAAACCGACGGGTTAGATTGTTAATAACATTTTTTTTTCTGTAATCGAACTCATTGCATAAATATTTGCATTAAGAACAATATTGGAAAATTGCATAAAATAAAGCACAATTTTTTCTTTTCCTTAAGGCCATTCGGTATACAACAGAATACCTAAGAAAGCACAAAAAAAATCATTTAATTAATATACAACTGCATACCGTGAACTTAATTGCCTTGAATTCATAAATATTCATAATCATAACGTATGTTGTGTGTTGATGCTGTGCAGTTGAAAGTCAAGGCAGTAAATATAATTGGTTTCCAGAAATGTAAAGCCGAAGAAGAAGTTTTTACAATCTTCAATTAATTTGTGGCTGTCGCGACGGACCCAAAAACAGAACGAGATACAAGTCAAAAGTGTAATTAATTTGTGCAGAAAAATAATAAATTTATTTGTTACACGATGAAGCAGGATCGTGACATTTATGTAAAATACCGGGTGTCAGTGGCAATGCTATGATTTCCGTGATTTCATACAAAATCATCGGTAATTATGGGTAAGAGATGAACTTCCAAATACTGATTACAGTTTTCGTTGGCTCCATATCACTTAAATGTTCCTCAAACTCCCAAATATTATCTCCAACATCAGAATGAAATGCTTTGAAAAGCATTTTTTGATTTGTATTCACAATCCCTTGAAGCTAAAAAACGACAATCAGAAGATCATGAATGTCGACAATATGTAAAATTTCTGCAGCTTCGTTCATAGCATTTATTTTTTTTCAAACTGAACTCCAGTAGCAAACGGTTTTTTGTAAACGAACACATATCTCGGGATGTACAGAAAAAGCAGTGAACTTCTTTGCGAATGGTACGAAAATTATAATTACAGTCTTGTTGTTGTTATTTATTGTGAGTTTTTTTTTGTTGCGTTTTCAACATACAAGCAGCTTTGAAGTTTCGAGAGTATAGTACGGTGTTTAAGCTTCGAAAGAATGGACAGTAGCCGCTTATGAAGGTTTTATTTCTTTCTCGTCTTCTTCTCGCCACCATCAGCAGAAAATTACGTATGAAAAGATTTAAGAAGAAGAGAATCTTAATTTAATGAACCATCAAAACGCAAATAACTTGGTAGCACGTACCATCTAAGTATGCTTGAACAAAATTGCATTCGCTTCGTTCTTTCTCTTTCTGTCGATGTATTATAAATGTGGTTTTGAAAAGAATTATTTGCCTCTTATTTATCATTTTTGGCTTCTGTTGGATTCAAAAAATTCCATTCTTTAGTTAAAGTGAGAAAATTTTTATAGGGTTGAAACTTTTACTGCCGTACTTCAATGTAGCAATTAATTTATCACGTTGCAAAGCTGTTCGCTATCATCTCAATCATTAGAAATTATACATTTTTACAACAATAAATTTACGTATTCATTGTTGAATTGTGTGTGTATGTGAGATGTCCATGTGATATACGTGCATGATCGAGAATCTAGTTAACTTCCAACTTAAATCGTATTCTGTCTATCATCGCCTTTCGATATTACTTTTTTGAAAATCTGTTATGGTAAAAATTCGAAACTTTTTCCATTCTTTTTTCTTTTCTTTCATCTAAACAATGCAAGAAACATCAATCCATTCATCTGGCAGTCAAAATGCGAGAGACATCATTCATTACATGAAAATTGTTGACACACCTATCCCAAATTAATGAACTTCATGAAGTGCTTTTTTTATAATTTTCTCTTTATTCTAAGGCTTCTGCTTTGAACTCTTCTGAAACTCATTATTTCAACAAATAATATAAAACAACTTAAGCAATTATCTGTATACAATTTTTTGAAATTAAAAAATCTTATCAAATTACAAATCATTTATCAATTTTTTGTAAAGAGAATCAAATATCTTGATAGATAATTATGGGAATAAGTTTCAATTCTCTTGTCCACTTCTTCATTGTCTTTTTTTCTGCATAACATCAAAACAGTCTTCATTTCAAAATTAAAATTTGTATACAGCCAAATGTCATAAGAAATTTGTCTTTCGTCACGCAATAAATATTTGGCGAATTAATTTTAGGTATTATTAAGTATTTATCTTACAATGTTACGATTTTAAACCCCAAGGGGAACGAAAAAAGTATAAAATATAATTAGAGACATGTTTATGTTACGTAGAAGGATTAAGAATTGAAAATGCAATAAACGCTGATGAATTCAATCATTTAAAAACATTTTTTCCTAAGCTACAATTAACAGAGACGATGCGGATGAACAACAGATGAACTCCAAGATAATTGTTAAAAGTTATCATTCTTTGTGTTGTTGCAAGTTGCAAGTTAAACTCTTCATAACATTCACGAAACAAAATGAAACATTGTTGTGTCTTTGGTTTTCTTAATCGAAATAAATTTCCATGGTTTGAAGGAATGAAAAATTATTTACGAATTCAGGGATGTTGCTTTTAATTCGCCATCGTTTCATGTTAAATTTGATATTCCAAAGAAAACACAAAAACTGATCTCAAGTTCCCTTTTGTGCCTTCATGTCATTGTTGTTTATTTGTTGAGATAAAGTCGTGTGTTCAATATTCTCTTCTTTATTTTGTTTTGTGTCTGTTTGCATAATAAAAACCAGAAGGTATTCGTTACTTAAAATGTATGAAAGAAAAGACATTCAAGAAAGCGAAGCAACGAGAAGAGATTCTTTACCATCGCTTGTGTCACATTTGAGCTCATGGAACGAACAAAAATCAAAAAATATTAAAAAAATGAACTCGCCAAACGTCGCAAAGGATTTTTTTTGTTCCGTTTAGCTGCCTTCAGAATCCAGATGGTAGTGAAGAATTTTTTTCCCATTTAATCTCAAATTCGCGTAAGTAGAAGAGAAGATGGAATAAGAATGCTTTATCGTCTCCTTCGGCAAATTCCTTTCGAAAATTGCTTGTTCTTTTTTCGATTCAGAAATTAATGTTTCTTGAAGCGAAAGCGAGCTCAAGTTAGAGCCTGAAGAAAAACGAATAGCTTCGACATGAGCATGGTTAATGATGAAGTTTGTTCTTTGTATTATCCTCCGAGAGTCAATTAAGTTCTTTCTCAGACTTCTAAAACAAGTTATTAAAAAATATTTTGCAGACAATCGCAAAGTTCGAACCAACAATCGCAATCTTCGACTGCTTATGCGACGCTTGAGAACCTCCTCAAACTCAAACAACGCTCGCCTTTACATAATTGGTTAGATGAACACAATTTATTACATTGTAGTGTAGTCGAAGCAATATTTAGGTAGAAGAGAAAAAAGAGATTTAATTGGGACTGTGTGGAAAATTATTAAAAGTCTTTAAAAGCATTAGCCTCGATAAAAAAAATACGACGAAGGAACGCTTTGGTGCTTTGGAAGAGTTCCAAGACCATCAAAATGAAGCATATGTCCGTTCAACATACCATTTGTATTTCATAAGAATCTTTTAATCTCGCTTGTTATTATATTTTTTTTCTCTTCTGTTCAACTCGTTGAAAAAAAAACATTGTTGAATTCAACTTTTCTCGTGTTGATGTTATTTTCGTATCTAATTTGAAGAGGAATGAAAAAAAATGAATTTTACTTTTCTTTTACGATATGTTTCGTTTCTTTATCGTGCAAGAATGTTATGCTTTTTTTCGGGTTGATTACGATTATTACTTTAATAACATAGGTTTTAAATTCATATTTTCTTCCATCTTTTTGTGGTCGAAGCAATTGAATGTGGCCAGAGAGATGTTTGAATGCAAGAGATATTTTTTACGAGAGATAAATATAAACATTAGTTGATACATTTAGTACAAAATATTGTGAAAATATCTGGTGAAACATTTTTTAATAATCTAATTTGAGTTAAATTAAATTTAATTTCTTAGTGTCAAGATATGTTTGAGATTTTCGCAATTTCACTTCTTGATTATGAATCAACCAAAGCAATCAAACATTAAGCAACATTGTAAGCTTATGAACAAGTAATGAGGGAAGTTATCAAATCAATCAAAATAAAATTGAATGGAGTTAGGGAAAAAGCTTTTGTTCGAGAGAAATCTTTCTGATATTGATATCGAATTTTTGCCTTTCTGAAGTCAATATTTGACCCTACATATGTATATATATTGCATTCCGTTAAACTTTACTGTACACAGTTATGTTCATTTGTTGTGCTTATTTATTTTCGTACCGTCTTGATCACAAGTACTCTCATTATCATTCATGAAAGCAAAACAAATTTTTGTCGATCTCAAAAAAATGGGTTTGGTGGTTCAAAGAGAAAGGGAAGCTAAGCGTTTGGAATGCTATAAGCTTCACAGAGTGCTATATGCGCGCTGAAAGTCACTAACCTTTTTTTTTGAAACGAGAAAAGAAGGTGAAAAACAGCGATCGAACGACTCAACAACGAAAAGCAGACATATGTACAATGTGAAAAGGAGAAAATTTGTTTTGTTGCTTTTTTCAATGGAAATTTTGCGTCGTGATGAGTTCATAAAAATTCCACAACGGAGTGAGTGCGATATGCTTTTGACATCATCGGAATGTAATGCAGTTTATAAGTCTGAATCAAAACAACATAAAAATTCAACGTGAACAAATACAAATGCCCTGAATATCACCTTTTAATGATACACAAACCTCAAAAGCGATTGACTCTAGCTCATTTGCCCAAAAGGTCTTTTCAAAAGCTTCAAGAAAACAAACAATGCGGAAAAAGAAATTTAATGGTTGCAATCTTTCTCCCTTTCTTTCTCTCTCCTTCCTGATGACTTGAAGGTTTTGTGGCATTTCGAGTCGTTAAAATCGTTGATGATTGCTCATCAATAAAAGAAAGAAAAAAAGCGATCGAAGTAATTTGACTTCAGTTTGTGAAGGCAAATGGAGGTTGTTGTGATGATGATGAGATTACATGATTTAACTCTTTTTTTCAACATGAAGTTTCGAGCAGAATTTAAAGGAACCATTAAACTAGTTTACATTTTTATAACAATCTCTTTGTTGTTTCATATTATTCGAGAGTCTTGAATGGAGACAACGATGATGGCTTTTCCATGCTTCAACGTGATGAAAAGTCGTTGTTATCATTGCAAAAACACGAGGATTATGCAATGCTTTTAAAATATTATTCTTTCCCTAGAGTGCTCTCGTCATAATTTTCATGAAGCACGAATTGTACATTTATTTATAAAATAAAAAATAATAAAAAGCACTTTTTTTTCGTAAGTATGTTTTGAAGGCTAGCCACATTCCTCGACTCGAAATAATTCTGTTTTGCTTTACACTATAAATTTCAGACATAAATCGCACACTGTGTTGGAGGCGAATTTTTTTAAATATCTACAGTAAATTAAATTTATGAAAAAAAAAAAGAATTCTGTGCTTTACTTTTGTTTGTTTTCAAATATTTAATCGTCGATGAGTGTTGAGGTAAGCAATAAGAATAGATACATTACGTTATGTCAGAAAGTTATTACTGAATATGACTGTGGTTCATTACTAGAAGCCAATTTAGTAATTAAATGAACAATGAAGTATGCATAACAATTGCCTATAAAAACTTAAAATACTTGTAGTTTTATCACTTTTTTAATATCAATGAAATTGTTAGTGATCATTTAATTAAAGTCTGTAAATAAGCTTTAAATTAATATTTTTAATCGTTTTTCATTTTCATGTTAAGAGAGATAAGCAAAATTTATTTTAAACTGCATTAAAATCAACCTCATGCAGTGTTGGTCCTGGTGGTGTTGGCAATTAAATTTGATATAAATAGTTTCAGTTTTTTTTTGCTGAGCCAAGAATCAGGATTTATTTTTTGATCAGCAGAAATTGCTTTCGCCTTTCCGATTGCCACTTAAAAGAAATAAAAATGCTTAAGAACATGATACTAATGTCGTGTAAATTAAAGTCCGTTTGGCAGGGCTCTTCTAAATCGAATATCATATTTCTTCTTTTTTCAAGAAAAGTAAACTCGAATGGCTTTAGCAACAACAGTGAACAACGAAATGAAGAGAAATGGAAATGAGACAAGCCGGTAAGAAGGTAAAAAGAAACTTCTACCATAAAAAGCTGAATAAAAATTGTTCATTTGAGGGGCAGTTGAAATATCGCGTAAAGAAAAAGAAAGACGAATATCAATTTTAAATTTAAGTCTTCTAAGCTCACAGAAATAATTTGCTTTTAAATCATTATAGAAATTTGGATTCAAGAAGTCTAACTCTTTTACACTTTCAAAAGCTGTGGCGTGACTGCTGATCTGAAATCAGAGAAACAGAAGACAGCATACATCAATGTAATGTTGCGTGTTCATTTTATTTAAGATTGATTACACATATGACTTTGCTTGATGGATTCCCTTCTTTTCCTTTCTCCCTCTTCCCATTACTGAAATGAAATCAATTTATCTTCTTCTCTCACTTTTGCATAAGTTAAGACTTCAGGTAGAACAAAGTTGGCTGATGGATCAATGATTATGATTTGATTTTTTTCGTTCATGTTTTCTGTTTTATTTTAAATATTTTTCTAAATTTTTAGAACACTAACTTACATTCATAAATGTGTATAAAAACGAAGAAAGACGAAGAGTAAGAGAGAAAGAAAATGTTATAAAATTTATTAGCGAAGCAAGGCTTTTGTTTCGGTTGAGATTTTTAGGGCTGGGTACGTGCAGAATGAAGTAAACGAATATTTTTATTCCATTATGTTTTCATAAATATGGAAACGAAAACGAAAGAATTGAATGCATGCTGTGGTCTGGAAATTGGAATGTTAAACTGTTAAACAGTAGCTGACGGCTTTAAAACTTTCATGTGTTTGGATATGCAGCAACAGCCACTGCAACATTTTGCGCTTTGACTCTTTTCATTCTGTTTGATTGCTCAACAGCAAGATATTGCAAGTGATAAAAATGTTTTTTTAATTGGTTGCTTTTTTCGACTCTTTTTTTTCGTCGATCATAAATTAGGTTTTGCACGATGAACCCTTTGGTTTCATTCTTCTCTTGAGTATGCATAAAACAGCACGTACATATTAGTTAAATTGAAATTCTTTTTATTGTATTTTTAACAACAAGGGCATATTTTAATTTCTATGCTAATCTCTAACGAAAGAAACCATTTACAGCTATCATCACTGAATGATCAAACATTTGAACTGAATAAGAAACTCGGATATTTGCTTTTAAAATATATTCACGAATATACAAAGCAATGATTCTTTCAAACCGTAAGTAAAAAAAAATCACTTAACGTCATTGACTGAGAGGAGAGAAAAGAAAAAAAAACGTCAATAAGTATGCGAATGCATAAATTGTAACATTTTGTTGCTGATCGCGTTCAACGCTATTGATATAGAGCAGGAAGACGAGAGAATAAAAGCAGCAAATGATTTACTCATTCCATTTGTGCTTTGCCACGTCAAGTTACTATATTAATCCATCAGTTACACTTATGATTGGAGTCTTTACTTGGCAGACATTCTTGAAATATTTCTCTCAATCTATCGTCACTCATTCGGATTGCGAAAATCTTTCTTTTCTTTTATTTCTTCAACTACAATGTGTTTCTTTTGAGCGACTTAAAATTCCCACTCAGCTATATTTAGTGATTCCACAAAGCAAGTTATCTGAAATAATGAAACGGCATCGGCACGTGAACCATGCTTGTTGAAGGTGTGGTTGGAAAACTATGTTTGTATTTAATTTTGTGCTGATTCTCCCATTGAATATTTGAGGAAAACGTTGACAATGAAAGCGAGGCAATTCCATAGAAATCGGATATGAGCAATTGTGAAACGATGAATTGACCGGAAATTGGGTTTTTTAAGCGAATTCTTGTTTTAAAATAACACGGAAAGTTCAATCATAGAAATGAGTTTTTAAGCTTTTTGAATTGCGCATCGTTGACGACGTCATTGAAAAGTCTACAAAGAATTCTAATTTCAGCTTCTTCTTCTTCTTTGATGAACATTCATCAAGAAGCACTTGAAGCGAAAAGACAAAAACGAGTTTATTTGTTTAATAAAGACGCCTTGCAGTGACTTCACCACGTAAAGTCATAATTAAAGCAATCTTAAACCAGAAACGAAACAATCAGAAACTGAAAGCTGATACACTTTACCCTGCACTTTACGTAATACAAGAGAAGCATAATTTGTCATGTTGGCTGAAAAATTGTATGTTCAATTGGTTGTCTCAAGAAAAATATAAAAAAACACAAGAAGCACATGAGAAAGAAAAGTCCAACATGCAAACAATTCAAAACGTCAAACAGATAAGGCTTTGTCTTCAATCAGGCAAAAGAAATAATTTAAATTGAAAATATTCTTCGAATAATTTTTTTCGAATCAGATTGTTTGGTGGTTAATTTGAGAGTGAATCAAAGTATAAATTCTTTGAATTTCATTTTGGATGAAATTGAAATAAAAATAAACAGAAGCAATTTGAAAAGTTATGTTACCAAACTTATGTACGAATCACCAACACAATTTATAATTTTCATGAATGCAAATCAAAAAGTTCTTGAATTGCCAACAAGAAAAGAAAGGAAAAAAAATCCATTAACAACAACAGCAGCCTGCAAATGGCAAGGCAAATGGTATGAAATAAATTTTCGGGTGCACAAGAAGAGCTTCTGGTTTTTGCATTCGTCGTTCTTCTTTCTTTTGTCCCATCAATTTTAAGTTCTCGAAGAATAATTTTCAACTCGCTTTTCTTCTTTTCCTTCGTGTCCGCGTTCTTCGAAGGAGAAAACAATAAAATTTAATGTATTTTTGCAAAATTTTCTTTTTCTTTCTTCTCTTTCCAAATCGTCCCCGCGAGAAACCAGAAATTGAGCATTTTTTCGTTGCTTCCCCGTCCAAGGCATGTTGAATAACATTACACGTTTCCATCGTACGTGATGAAAATATTCAATCTGTTATGGATGAAAAGGGCAGCCCAAGAAATTGTGTAATATTCATTCGAAGTAGTTCTGGTTTGTCGATATTTTTGTTTTTCTTCATCTCATCGTCGACGAAATCATCTTTTTCTTTCTCTCTGTTTTTGTTAAGAAAAAAAGAAGAAAATTCGCTTGTTTTTCTTGTTTTGCTTTTGCTCCATCATCTCCAAAATACGTGAAGAAAAATTTCATTAATAAATTTTTAAAGCCATTGCTCCATCCTCGTCTCGCTTTGAAACCTGCCCTACGAAACACTTTAAATCATCTGAATTCTTTGTACATTTTTGGATTTTTTTTACTTTTTTGCTGAGCGCTTTCTTGTTGATATGATAACGAAGCAGCAAAGTAAAAAGCGCACGAAAATGAAGAATAACGAAACGTTGAAAGAGAAGAAAACTCGAATTTCTGGTCACCGTAATGGCGGGAAATAAATAAGTTTCCATTTTAGGTCTCATACACGTTCAACCTTTTTTTTTGTATTTTTGTCCATAATTTTTTTTCCTTCTTCTCTGTTTTTGGCAAACGCGCGATTTCTCTTTTCTTTTTTATTCATTTCACAAGTTGATAAGCAATTTTCGTTTTCATATGCTTTTATGGATTGAATCCATAGCCACTTATGTGCATATGATAAGAGTGCTATGATGAGAGAAAGAACAAGAGAGACAAGTATCTTTTGAGTTCATTTTTCAAGCATGCACTACATTTCACTTCATTTCATGCTCGATTTATGAACTAGATCTGGAAGCGTTTACACACGATTCTACAGCTATGAAGTCCATCAGTCCATGATTTGCATTCTTGATCAGAAAGAAAGATAGAAAGAAAAAAAAAACATTGCCGGTGTATAAAGAAATTTATGATGAATGCAAATCAAAATGAATTTAGTTTAGCGAAGAAATGAAGGTACAAAGCAATGTTATTCTCAAGATTAACATTCATTTATTTTCAATCTTCATCATCATCATTTATTTTACCTACAGCAGTTATTTTACCTACAAAGGCGAATATTTTAAACAAATACATGGAACACCAATGGGATCACCGATAAGTCCATCAATTGCTGACTTGGTAATGAATTTTATTTTTGATATGACTATTCCAAAATGTATGTTTAATGTGTACTTGGCGACTAAATATGTGGATGATTGTTTGTTTATTGTTCCGAACAAGAAAGAAGAATGTCTACTTAGTTTGTTCAATGCATGTAATGACGATATTCAATTCACAATGGAAAAAGAGATGAATGGACGATTACCTTTCTTGGACATGATGCTGATTAGAGAAAACAATGAAGTTTTGACGACATTTTATATGAAACCTATGGCAAGCGGTAGGATTTTAAACTACAATTCACATCATCCCTTAAAAATGAGATTGAATGTTGTAATCAATTTGTTTAAAAGAATGAACGCTTTAACAACAAACAATGATAACCACAAAACTTTATTCACGAAATTATTGAAACAGAACAACTTTCCAAGAAACATTATCAACAGAATTATCAACAACAATCAAGTTCATCTACAATCACAGATAAATACAACAAATGCCGTCACCAACATTCATATTCCACTTACATATGTCCAACACATGTCAGAGAAGATCAAAAAGACGTTAACAAGAAGAGTGCCGGAATTCAAAATAGCGTTTAAACCAACTAATCGCGTGAAAAAGTTTTTCACTAAACTTAAAGACGAGATTCCGAAAAATGATTTGACAAATGTTATTTATAAAATCAAATGTGAATGTGGACTTTGTTACATTGGTCAGACGATACAATCAGTCAAAAAACGTATTGGACAACATAAAAATGACGTTAATTCAATTAAGAATTTAAATAGAAACTGCAATGACGAATTTTTGGAAGAATTGAAAGGAAAAACAGCTTTAACTGAACATGTCGCTCTTACAAATCATAAATTTGATTTTGACAATTTTGAAATTGTTGATCACACGAGAAATCGATCACAACTCAATATTCTGGAAATGTTACACATACAGAATAATTCAACAGTCAATCGACGCACTGACACCATGAAACTCAGTCAAATTTATAACGGAGTATTAAAAATGAGAAATAAATTACCGAGAAAGCCGCGACCTGTTCGGAGAAATGAGAGAATCCTGAGATAAGAAGATAAAAAGTATTTTACACAACCAAACCANTCATTTTTCAAGCATGCACTACATTTCACTTCATTTCATGCTCGATTTATGAACTAGATCTGGAAGCGTTTACACACGATTCTACAGCTATGAAGTCCATCAGTCCATGATTTGCATTCTTGATCAGAAAGAAAGATAGAAAGAAAAAAAAAACATTGCCGGTGTATAAAGAAATTTATGATGAATGCAAATCAAAATGAATTTAGTTTAGCGAAGAAATGAAGGTACAAAGCAATGTTATTCTCAAGATTAACATTCATTTATTTTCAATCTTCATCATCATCATTTATGTTTCATTCGAGAATGTAAGTAAGAAAAGTATCAATCAGCGCCCTCGAGAGATTATCTCGATTGGGCTTATTCGTTTGTGATATCTCGCAAAATTACTCCGTTACGCAATGATGAAGATAAATCGATTGGATTTCATCATTGCAGCATGATATTATTCGGATAAGAATAATAATGCTTCTCTTATTGACGACGAGTTTCTCACGCGTTCAAAGTGCCCTTAAGGAGTAAGTTGGTATACATGAAGCTTGCATCTGATATTTAGATAGTATAAAAGAGAAGAAAATAATGTCTCTCTATACGACCGATGTTAATGTCACAACGTCGTCATAAAAAAGCTTCTTTCTTTCGTTTTTCTTATACATATCGAGTATCAGCAATCTCTCACATTCATTGAAATCAGAAATGATAATCAATAACATGATTTTATATCTAAGATCAACTTTCGTGTTCAATCTTATTGGTAACATCATGTCGTATGTCGTTGAAAGATTGCATGGAAGGCTTTTTTATCTTTATTTTTCTTTGTGTTTACAAGCGATCACATGTTTGAAAATTGAACAAATACTTTTTAGCTATAAATAATTTAATTGATTTATCATAAAATGAGCTTCGACTTTTCTTGTTCACATTTCTTTTGATATCATTAAATAATGGTGTAATTACTGTATTTCATCTCGATCTCACGATATCTTCTCGTCACTCGATGAAGCACAAACGTGAAACAATTTTCAATTATAAAAGTTGGCTTTGAGACTTCGTGCTTCATTATGGCGACAAATTTTCCAACGGAATGCTACTGGTTTCATTTGGATTTGATTAGCTACATTTTTGTTTTCTTTTTTAAATGAATTTTATGATGGATTAAAAAATATCTCGCATTTCATTCGTGATCTCGAGCCTAAAGCAATTAAAGTTAAATGAAACAATTTCTAGAAGCGTTTCAGAGATAACACAAGTTTATGAAACAGAGTTGAAAATTAAGCTTATTAGGATTAGGTGTGCCCCGTAGCTATCAAATGGATGGATACACAAAACGAGGGACGAAAAGAAAAAAAAAATATCGAAGAGTTTAAATCTATTTTCGACTTCCATTAATAAATTCCAACTCTTGCTTTTATGATTGCTGGTTATCATGAAAAAAAAAAACTTTAAAAACATTCCAAAATAAAACCCAAATGTTGAACGAAAGAAGCTTCAAAAATCCACACGAAAGATGAAAAATGATTTTAAACGCAACACACAAAAAAAAATTATAAATGTGGAAATTATAATGTTGCTTCTGGATAATTTCTTGGCAACACGCAAATGGTGTATTAAAGGATGGTTGAAGTTAATTTCCAATTTTTTATTGTTTCATTTCTTCAATAGTATGAAAACTTCTGGATGGAGCACACGATTTCTTCTTCATCAATTGCTTGAATGTTGAATCTTTTTATCGATGGATATTTCAAAAAGCCACAAAAAAAGTTGAAATATTAATGAATAAAATTTATAAAACATAATATTATTTGACTTCTAGATTCAACTCCAGGCGATTCCCTTCTAAAATGTTATTTTTGCGCGCGCCTTTTGTGGTCATAACATTTTTCATTTTATGAAAGAAGAATTTTGTTTGTAATAAGGATGCTATGGCCAAAGAACAATTTATAGTTTAAAATTATATGGAAGATGTTTGTCTTCATCTCTCGTAATCATCAAGCAAAGGAGAAAAAAATATTTATTCAAAGCTCATTTACACACACACAAAAACACCGGAAATTACAATTTATAATTCTTGAAGAGATATTTTGTGTCTTTTAGCTAGACATCATCATCATGTTATTTGCTTTTACAGCTGGTGTTTGAATAAAAGATGATTATATGCAAGACAAGAAGTTAATTATTTCTAGAATAATTTTCTGTGCAAATAAATTATAAAATTATGCTGAACAATTCACATCATAAACATTTAAATGTGAGATGGTTTCGGTGTAATTTAATATCATTAGATAATTTATTAAATCTCGAGATGCAAGTTTACTTTTTTTTACTTAAATAAATAAATTAATTGAGGGTTGGTTTTAGGCAATCATCAAATTATACTTGACAAGTTCTTTTTACCACATGCCATGTTCATTTTCAAGACCAGAATCTTTCGTGAAATGAATTAAATCACTGATATGTACAAATTTATGTCGTGCTCTTGACTTGAGCATGATGACGTCAGGCTACTGGTTTTTTTCCTTCACTCTATTCTCCAGTTTCTTACCTTTTTTCATTCTTCATGAAATGCCTGTAGTTGATGATGATGATGATGATGCGAACAGGATTTTTTGGTTCGTTGTTAATTTATATTTAAACGATTTTCGCTCTTGGCTCCATTAATTACGAAAAAACGCATCAGACAACAGATGAATGGAATGCGCGCATGTTAAAAAAGATAAGTTGAATTTTTATCCACTCGTCGCCGCTTAATGTCATCGAAGATGAAACAATAGCATGAACTTAAAGAGAAATTTTAAGCGCTTAATTTTTGTTTGGTTTCGGTACAGTTCCATGGTCATCAGACGATATCAGCAAATATTTTTTGATGGAAAGCATACAAAAATAAAAGCCGGAGACACACATTATCGACAAGTCACTGCTTCGTCCAATGATATTTTAAGATGCTATGGAATGTCGTACAGATTTTTATGTTAATTTGCGTTGTGTGTAAATTCATACTCTCCAGTGAAACAGAAAGAAAAAGCAACCATTAATGATCGAAGCTGGAAAAAATGTCGTTGCTTGTGATCGAATGATGATAATAAATTATTCTAATTTTTTTACTGTTGTTTCGTCGTTGCTGTACCGTGGCGCCAATATCTAAGTTTTTTAAATATTATCCATCAAAATCAAATATTTCCTACCTAAACATTTGTTGCAATTTGTCACTAATTGTAATGATTTCAAGAAGAAAAAAGTTTGGTGATTTGTGGCTTCCCGAAAGCAAATTTTCTTTACCAGTAACGAAAGCCACAATAATTTGTTCATAAACAAAATGAAGGAAACAATCAACAACGTCGCAAATTCCAGAACCAAGGAAAAAAAGAAAGAAACGTTACCGATGTCATTGAATGTGGATTGAAATAACTCAAAAAAACAGAGATTTATTTGAAACGATTGACACTTGCGCAATAACACGACGTTATTTGACATTAAGTTGCCGTTTTAGAGCTTTTCGGTTTCTTTTGTTATTCGTGATAAGTCAAATTCCAATTTTAAATCGCTTCAATGATATAATCCATGTGATACACGACTAATTTCTCGATTGAAAGCAATATCCGTAACGAATGATATTCCAGAAATGTGCCAGACTTAATTAAATTAATAATCTCACGATGTGAATTAAGCTTAGTAAGCGCATGTGTCGAGTAATTATCCACTCGAAACTGTAGTTTAATTGAATTGACTTCGAACTGAAACAAGGTCTCTTTATACTTGCAACATTTTGAAGCTCATTTTATTTAATTGAAGTCACATTGTGATGAAATGTGCAGAGATTCTTGTTGTTTATAAACTTAATGTTCTCATTCTAGGATATGAAGTAGAAAAAGAATCATTTCTGATATATTGAAAGCTGTTTATTTTTATTTCACACTCATTGCATAACATGTTGAATGCTGACTTTTATAAATATTTAGCATTGAAAGCAGCCAAATAACTTCATGATTTCTATCTACTGAAGCATAAAAATCTGATTCCGAAAATTCTTTTGGAACAAAATTATTAAAATCCGTGATCAGCCAAATTCTTTTCACATTAACAAGTTCTTTAAGGTGACATTCGAATATATTCAAAAAAAATTGACTTACGGAATAAAAAGAAGAAGAATTTTCAATGAATAGGCATCAGAATATTATGCAAATGAGAATCATGACAGATATCTACATTTCTTCCATCTCTCCCGAGTATCGCGTTCAAACAATTAACTATCAGACATTTAACACTGACTCTGCACAAACTATACCAGAAATCAGTTTTTTTCTTCTCTCGTTTCTCGTATATGTTTTTAAAGAAATAAAATTTCAAATTTTAATCATTGAATAAAAGTTTGCATGTGGGTTGTGTGGTGTTTCGTTGGAGTATAAAGTGAGAAATATTTACTTCTTCTTACGATAAGCCCAGGTGTTTAGAAGTCTACAAACTGATGTTCAAAGAATTGACGCTGTTGAATCAACTAATAAGCACATCATCACCATTTGGGACCTCGACAGTGTGATTGTTTGTGAAATTAAAATTCTTTCTTTCTTTTTTAATGTGTTGTCGCTTAATGGCACATCTCAACTCCCCACTGACCATACATGGTTTGTTCAAGTCATCTTGCCAAGTCCCAATCACGAAGCGAAAACGATCGAATCTCATTAATTATTTTTTCGAATAATTTTCATTAACTAAAACATAAAATTTGAGATTTTATTTTTCTGTAATTCATAATTTTTGTATCTTCGTCTTTATTTTCCATATGATTTCCATAAAAATAAAAGAAATTTGAATATGCAAAGAGATGTTTGATGGTATAAATGAATGATCATAAGAAGTGAAAAACATGGAAAGCTCTTCTTTACAGACCATTCTTTGGGATTTTGCCGTCACTTGGATGTTAAAATCGAACGGTGCGGAATGAAATGACAAATATTGTCTTTTTTAGAGCTTTCGTATGTGTTAATTGGGTGACGTGACGAACACGATCTTGTCTTTATCTTCATGTTTCTGTATTCATGAAATAATTCGCTTTATCACTGTCCGAACACTGAAGCGAAAGCAAGCTGGTTTGATGAGAAAATGAATAATGAATTTTTCTCATATTTTACAAATCCAAAGCGAAGCTTTAGTGAACCTCATTTTACGTTCCATTATTTTAAATTGTCCGCAGAATATATTTCCATTATGTCACAATTGCGTGTGATTTTTGCAATGTTTTCTTTTCCTTTACGATCATTCATACCGCTACTCCGAGTTGAAAGAAAGATCGCGTTTATTTCAGAGACCAATGGACGACAGTAAATGTGAGTTTAGGAATTTGCGTGGTACATCGCCGCCGGATTTGGATGAGAAATAAGAAATGAGTAATCGAAAAACATTTCCCCTGGTCATTATGTGATTTATTTCAAAATAGAAATTAGAGAAGAATTGAAAATGTGTATGAGAGTAATTAAGATTATAAATGATAACATAATGATCAACGTTCAACATCCACGTTCAACGACATTCTTCTGACGTCAATGATGGAATTCATTTAATGACTAATGACTTGTGAGTGAAGAGAGCCGAAACAATAATCGAAGTTTGGCTTAGCCTTGGTTAGTTGGAACTTTGAAATGCGATTTGTTGATTTGAAAAAAGTTGCCGCTGTTTTTATCGCTCGATGATCTCACACAAATATTTTTTAACAAATGCGCCCAGGCATATGTATGTTGCTTTGGTATCGCAACTAGATATTTGACTATTAATTGTTGCTTACAAGTCAAACCTCAATCAGGAAAATCCAAAATAAAATTAAAAGAAATAATGCGGTGAACACAATCACGAATATTTTTATATTCCATCAAATAAGAACAATAACGCAAAGTTTTTTTTTTCATTCTCGTGTCAGATTACTAGTGGGCGATCATCAGTAAAATTAGATTAAAAATCAATTAAAATATTATCCAATCATTTATTTCTCGGATCCGAAAGCTTTAGTACATGGAGTTCTTATAACGAATGAAAGAGCGATGATTGTAAGTCCATTATCGTTGGAATGTAGTCACAAACAGCTTTTCAGACGCTCTAGCTATTAGACACACATAGTTTCGAATTAAGTTTCATGTTTTTCTTCTTTCAACTCAATTTTTTTTTGTGGAAAATGAACATGCAGGTATGTCAGTATTGCCTTTGAGCGATCGCTTCATAAAAATATGTATTTCACTTACCGTTTCCTTCTCTTTTCGAAATTCAATCATCGTGCTGAAGAGCTAAGCTGCTTCATTTAAATCACATCGACACACCCCGTCAAATTATTTGAAAAACATTAATTATTCGATTATGGTACATTGAAATGAAGTAGACGCGAAATTGTTGAGCGCTTTCCACTATTATTCACTCGAAATTGTTGCCAACAAACAGACCATTCAATTTCATCACGATTCCACTTCGAATACTCAACCGTTGAGTGATGTGAAACCGCGAAACTCAAGGGAAACTTCACTTCATATCAAATATTGATTCACACCATCAGAAATTCCATTCGTAAGAGTCAGCGAAGTTCAGTATCAAGTTTTTTGTTTTGCCATAAATAAAAATGCCAACACGGACAGACTGCGCTCTTTTTTCGTATCTTTTTTTTTATTTTATTGTTGGGAACACTGGTATGTTGTTATTGATAAGAAAACAATTAATTAAACAATTGTAGAGCAATCACCTTATCGTATACAATAAATCATTTAACTTCGTAATTAATTAAGTTTTATTCAATATTTTTTTAAATCTGTAATTCTTCATTAAGTTAATTGCTAAGTGATAGAATTGCTACTGTTTTTCTTTTAAACTTCTTTGTAGATAATTACTTATTAAAAACATCAGAGAAGCGAAGTTGATTTTTTTTCTATCGAGTTTATTTTCTCAACTTCCTTGATTGTTCTTAAGTTGCGATTGTGAGAAATTTATGACTTTAGTCATCGTTAAAGAATGAATTAAATTACAAAGCAATAAAACTTTAGAAAGCGTCAATTAATTTATTTAAAGATTTATAAAACTCAGTCGATCAATTGATCCCGCTTAGCAGCAATGTGAACCGACAGCTACCATGTTTCTCCACTTTGAATTGCAATGACAGAACCGCTTTTGATTGCAAAGTGCCAATTAGTGTTTCATTGGATAAATGAATTTAAATCTTGGAGAATAAATGATTTCTCCATTCAAAGAATTTCCAAACATAAATTAATCTGTTATCACGAGCATGTCGGGATGGAAAATCTTTCGCTTTTTTTTATATATCAGATTTTTCAATAATCTGATCAACTAGCAAGAAAAGGCGTTTCTACACTCTAAAAATTGTTTTGAATTTCCGTTTCAGTTTGTTGTGCGCAGACACCTTGAAGATAATAGGCATTTGGCTAAAGTGTGATAATCTCATCAAACGATGAACATTTGGATAACAGACATGGGATGGAACAATAAACATTCCTTTCTTTCTGCCTTTTCTTGGGTTCTCTTTTGTATTGCATCTTTGCCATATTTAAAGAAAAAAAAACCCTTACGCAAAATGTATTTAAACACAACATGGATGCTCAGCATAGTGCAAATGATTTCGAGGAATTTTTCTACCTGTTTTGCTTCAAGATTTTCTTGAATTTATTTCTACCTGCTTTCATCGTAATTTTCTTAAGTGATTTTTTTAACGATCAAAATATCTATCAAAAATATTTTCTTTCGAAGGAGAATAATTTTTGATTAGCTGCGGCTGTTTTGTCAGCACTCTAACTCTATTAAAAACCATTTAAATCGATGAACTTCTCGAAAATATTTTATTTTATAAGTTTGTTGTGGATTCTGAGAAAAGTAAGTGGTTCTTAGGAACTTCCATTTGAATCATTCGTTTACGAATAAAAACAACGTACTCCAACATGCATTAGGCGGAACACCTGGGGACAGTTCGCGAAAACAAAAGACGAATTTTATCGCTATCGCATTTCAAATGAATCATTTATGTTGATTAATTCCTTTGTTTGGGCATTGTCGCCTAATACTCTGAACGTATATCGCGATTAGATTTTACATGGCTGAGACCTTTCAGATTAACATAACACTAACTGCATTGATGCACTTGAGATTACTCGTTACAACCTACAGTATCGACAGTTTCACCAATGAAAATGTCAACTCAAATATTTAAAAAGCTTTTTTTCTGCCGATTATGATCATTGAAACAATGTAAAATAATAAATACTTGAACTAAATATTCAATCTTACATAATTCTGCAAATATTTGCTTTCAATATGAAGTCGTTAGCACTGGATTGTCACTTTTTATGCTCGATTTATATCTGAAATCAGCAGCACATTGGAATTGTCGTTACATCATCATCGTCAGCAATTTGTCAAATATTCGACACGTTATATGCTTACAAAGCTTTCTGACTAATTGAAAACTCACTTCCTGAGCTTCATCACAGACAAACATTGACTTTGTTAGTTAATTATCATAAGCGCTTTAGAATCTTAATGATATGATTGTATGACTCGCAACGTTTAACAATAAGAATTTTCACAATTCTATCTTAGCCGCAACCGTCTTTTGATAACTTTACTCACGATGCATTATCATAAACTTATGCAATTTACTGTGTGCATTTAACGCAAATATGATAAAAATGTTTTCCTTAATTAAGGTCACGAAGCGTGTATTAACTTTCGCGAGTAGAAAAAAAATCCGTGCAATAAAAAGCTTTTAAAGTGAAGCAAAAATCGCGACACGTTTTTTTTTTCATAAAAATTTCCAAGCAAATTTTTTACGAAAAAATAAAATATCCAAGTAGAAAAAAAAAATGCTTCATAATTTGAAGCCACAACTTCTTTTCTTTTCCTCCATCATCATATTTCAGTCGGAATTTTTTTTTTCTCCTTTTCTTAGTCTGATCCGATCGTCTAAAGCGAGTCACGCTATCACGACTCACCCTGTGATGGAATGGAATGCCACAATCACTGACATGAAATTCCATTTTAAAAACAACGCTTTTGGAACAACACAGTATAAAAAGCTGAAATATTTTTTTTCTTCTCCGTTGTATGCTACTTGGATAAAGGTATGGAAACAATTTGGAATGAAGTAAAATGGGAAAAAAATATGTGCTCTAACGTATGTTTGTGTTGTGCCACAAGTCGAATGAATGTATAATAACACAGGGTGCTTCGAACCGATTTCATATATTCATCAATGCTGTATTTAGAAATGAAAACTATCAAACTCACCATTTTTGTGGATAAATCTCTCTCTTTTAGAAGCTCAATCCTCATAAATTAATCCAAAATGATTTTGATACGGGGCCAAGCGGCGAAAAATAAAACGATCGCAAAGTTGCGCAAAACTCAAAGGAAATCTTCAACACCTCGTGTTTCGGGGTCGAAAAGAAGCAAATTACAAACGCGAACGTAAATAATTCTCAACTTTTATAAAAATATAATCGCACTCTGATGCCACTTGTTGATTCGTTTTTCAATGATTTGAATATGTCACTAACTTTCTCAATAGCAAAATCGCCAAATCTTTTGTTTTCATTCACTCGACAATGCGTACGGGAATCTAAAAATACTTTTCCAGATACTCGTAGCGTAATCAAAACTCAAAGAATTAATGTATGCAAGGAATTAGGGTCAATACAATATATGCTCGTGTATGCTTTTTGGAATGTTTTAAATTTATTCCGAAACTCAGCAAAGCAAAAAATAAAATTTCAAACTCGAATTAATTTCACTTTATCTAGAGAAAAGCTTCTTTTTTTTGCTTTCTTTCACCTTTGCGGTTTTTTTTTATAAAATACTTTTTCCTTCACACAAATATTAAAAAATTTCTTTCATAAAAGAATTTCTAAACAAAAATTTCACAGTTCTCTGTTATAAGCATAGAATTTTCGCAACTTCCTATAAGTTTCATTCGAGTTCAAACGTTTGTGAATCAAATGAATTTTCTCTCAGTTTCAATGTTTTGTTAAATAATATATGATGTCTAGTTTATTTCTTTTTTCTTTTTTTTTAGCTTTTCCTTATGCTCAATGAAAATAAATGCACTGTTGTAATGATCACCGTAACAGAAAAACGTTTAAACCTGGTTTCACAGAGTTTCTCCAATCGACTAACCGAACGAAAGAAAAAGAAACTGGAAAAATGTTTGAATGCGAATAAACCATTTCAAGCGAGGCTTGTATGTATTAAAGAAACACTTCGGGCATCGTAGAGTTGAACATCGTACTCATACACATAGGTAAGTTTCACAATTTTTTAAATTTCTTGTGATGATGTTTGTGCTGCTCACATTTTTTTCTTATTTGTTTCCAACATAGACGATCACAGTCTCTCGACTCAACACGCGGAGCCTCGGAAACAGATAACGTTTGATACCTTTTGCGCGCGATAGAAAAAGAAAGAGTTCAGTCATGGTTGATCAAAGGAAGAAATAAGCAACTTAGTTTATGTTCATGGTAGGATTGTTGACTATAAAACAAGTCAGTTGAGCTTAGAGTTGGAACTTTTTAAGGTTCACTCACCCTTAACATTTTTTTATCTTACAAGCACTCTTTGCATTCGAAGATATTTTTCAACTTCTTGTGGCTCCATTTGTTGGTATACGTTTAGTAAATTCCATTACAACTCATGTACGATTGCTTTCTGAAAGAATTAAATCACTGATGCAGAGTTAACTATGGAAGTATTGTAAAACGTTTGGGTTTCTTTTTTTTTTGTTGTCTTCGAGATTTCGTGAAGAAAACATTCTTCGTATTTCTACTTTTCGCTGTTATTTCGTTTTAATATTCGTGTATAAGTTTATTTTCTTCGTTTCTCTTCTTAAAAATGTACAGCATTCTCAAAACGAAAATATTTCAAAGCCAAAAAAGAAAGACGAAATAAAAAAACAACAAAATACTCGCCTCGAAGCCTACAAGATGCTTGAGCATTTAAAGCAAGGTATAAATTCATGGTATCAGCCTCGTTTACAATATTTCGTTTCTATACTTCGACAAGGAATGGCATTCTTGGCTCTCTTCCTTCTCTCCACATTTTCAACTTGAATAAAGCATGCCAATAGATAGGACTTTTATTCGATTTTTCTTTCCTCCATCTCGATACATGATGGAATAAATTTCTTTTATTATCGCTCATTTCACTCATGCTATAAAAGTGGATTCCATATATAAATTAACGGATAATGGCCCGAGACTGATTTCTTTAGGATGGAATTTTGATGGGACTAAGAAAAGCTTTTTTTCGTGAGCTTTGGTTTTACGGAAATGGCAAAGTGATGATGACAGAAACATTTCTTTTATGTCTTAGATTTAAATCACTTGCTATTGAGTTTCGTGAACATTATTTCAATTATACATATGTCAATATTCGAAAGATAATTTCAACAACCAATTAAAAGCAATTCACACATCATGTATACGTCATGTAAACTATTAAACAGCTTATCTTATTTGTTGTTCACTTACTTAATTGAATTATGACGCTCTTAAAGTCTAAAGCTATGAAAATTAAAATAATCACGTCAATCAAGTCAACATTTAATGAGGAAGGAAGCATCAATTAATTTCAAATGCAAAGAGAAAAGAAGAAGTTGGTTTAAATTTAATTTAATTAACAGCACTCAGTGAGAGTTTCTTTTCTTCTTTTCATTTTGTTCAGCAGAGACAGAAAACTTTGATACGCAATTTTATAAAGTTAATCGTATGAAACGTTGCATGAAATGTGACAAGATTCGCTGCTTTATTGGAATGCAGGAGAATTGACGTCATTTGATATGAAGCAAATTTTTTTATGATGTTGACTTCAACAAAGGCTCGCTTTGTTTCGTTTCTTGCTATTTATTTTAAGAATTTCTAAGAAAAATCAGTGACATTAAATTAACAACATAAAATATTAACATTAAGCTATGCGAGAAAGATAATTAGACATTTTATTTGGTTTCAATAGCATCCTCTAAAGTATTATTTTTTATGATAATTGGAAATCATGAAATGCCGTCTGAAGTGAACGAAATCCGGTTCCACATATTTTTTTCTTTCTTTTTCTTTCGAGCCATAGAAAAATTGTAGAAAATTGAATCAAATTAAAAGCCTCGTGTCATGAACTCTTCTCGATCGTTTGAAAGAGGTCCAAACATCATGTTGTGTGTCGCTTCTTCTTGAGAGATTGCCTCATCGAAGGAACATCGAATAAAATAATAACAAACCCCAAGAACCTTCACGATCTTTCAAATATGTGTGCACATGAGGGAAGGCTCTATTATTTGAAGATTTCACCAAAAAACAATGCTTCTTTTGATATCTCTTCACTAAATGGAAAAGAAACTGAAGAGATGAGAAAGACGAAAGATTGGAGAATGAAGTGAAAAGAAATTCGTGGATAAGAACATATAAAGAATCTTAAGGCTGGCGAGAAGAAAATCAACGATTGACTGCGAAGCATCAAGAATGCGGTAATATTGTGTTCGTGTTCGTTTCTTAAGCATGTAAATCATTCGTTCTCAAATCGAATGCTTTCTGTCTCTCATGAAGTCATGATATTATGCTACAGAAATACTGTTTTTGAATGATACGACAACTTGAACTATTCACAAATATTTTTGAAGTAAAAATTAATGCAAGATTTCAGTACCTAACTAACGTCTACCATCACCTCGAAAATAATTTTCTACCATTTCATTTCAATCATTTCATTTTATTTCATCATCAACAATCAAAAAACCATCATGTTGCTCTTTCTCATTTTCTTTCTTCTTGATTACCTTCAGAGATCTTTTGTTAATGTTACCTTTTCTTAAGATAAGTATTTTTTATTTCTTTTCTTTTCTAATTTAGCATTTTCATTATGAGTCTTTAGAAATTATTTCTTGTAAAGTGCTTTTACATAAATCATTTGTGGAATGTTGGAGTGATGGAAATACTTTTGATAACACACAACGAATCGCAGAATTTACTCAGAATGTCTGCTTAATCGAACTTCTCCAATCATAGAGGCTTTTTTAACACCTCTTTGCAGATAATTCCACATAATTTATTGACCTTAGTAAGGTATTCATGTACGTAGATATGAGAGATCTTGTCGCTTTTACGGTCTAGTAGAGAGAAAAAAGACTTCGAAAAAGTAAACAATCTTTTACTAATTGTCATCTTCTTTCGCAACATTTTTTTTCGTATCATCTCCCATCAAACATAGGTGAATGACTTAAAATGATAAATAAATAAAATTCCAAAGAGAATTTACTCTACAGATAATTAGTGAGATGTCTTGATATATGATGAGATGAACTTCTTTCTTGTATGTAATAAAATAAAAGTATAAAAAGTTAAGTTGAATGATATTTATGACAGATTAGAATTTGTGATCACTCGTCTTATTTAATAAAGTGTTAAAAAGAGAAACTAAAAGCATTTTTTTATGTCATATAAATATTAAAATCTTGATCAGCGATGTAGACGTAAACAGAGTAATTTATTGTTAAGATCTAACCGAGACTTCAGAAAATTCTTCCAAGAGATTCATCTGGCGTCAATAACTGTTTGTTTAATGAATATTTGCAAATCTAATATTTGTTTAAGTTTAATAGGCTTTGGAATGTTGAAGAAATCAATCAGAAAACAATAAAGCAAATTTTCTTATGAGAATCTTAAAGACGAATATCACAAGCTACGACTTAGACAATTGTTTGAATTCAATCTTGAACTTTGATTTAAATTTTAAGTAAACACAATAAAAAATATTGAACGGAACGTGAAAGAAAATATTTAAAATTCTTCAAAGGCAATAAAAGAATTAAAGAGAAAGAAGTAACATATTTATTGTGATAATAAATAAAATTAACTGAATGATTCCATTATTTGAATTTAATTTTGGAGTTTTTCACATCATGTAGAAATTTATGTCGGTAATTTTTCTTTCAATAAAAAAAGAGAAAATTCGCTGTAAAATTTATCTTTAAATTCGAATGAGGGATACGATCAATGATGCGAATGCCATTGGTAAATGCGACAAGAAATGCAGCTGTGAAGGATATGAAGAAGAAACATCTCATCTTAAATTCATTTCTTATTCAGACAGTTGAAAAATTATAAGCATAAGGTGACAGAAATTAACAGAATTTTTATTTTGAATTAATGTTTGTTTTCAATCAAATTAATGTTATGTTTAATCTCATCGTTTTCTGGTAGCAACTTTTTAGAAAGATTAAAATACATTTTGGCTTTCGTGGAATTCTCTTTTTTCATTGCAATAACACCTCTGAAAGTAAAATAATTTAAATGAAACTAAGTAAACGTTTGTGCTGAACTATGAAAACTTACAAATTGTTTAATGCTGAAGCATGTCCACCATCTAAACTTATGCAAATTCTGAGACAGCGTCTTGCAAAGTCCAAGTCTCCAATATTCAGTCCAATGAATGAAATGTTATACCAAACATCAGCCTTTTGATCTGCACTAATCGCTAGTCTTAAAGCACGTTGAAAACACGAAAAAACTAAATCCAATTGACCCCCATATAAGCAACACAAACCAATATTGCAAAAAAGTTCGCAGGCGTTTAATCCCATCGAAAGAAGTCGTCGATAGTAAACGAGGGCCATTTCCGGTTGATAATTATAAAAATAGTGAACAGAAATACAACTCAAGGCTTCAGTATTCATTGGATCGAGTTGAATGATTTGCTTGTACGTTCTCACAGATGTTGGTAAATTTCCAATCAATTCATAAATTCTTCCCTGCTGCTTCAAAAGTGAAATGTCATTGGGAAGCTTCTCGAGGCCAATTTTACAAACTTCAAGTGCTGCTAATGGTTGATCAATTCTACAATAAGCTCGCGCTTTTTTTATGATTAATCAACATGATTTTAATTAAACATTTCATCATCTCACCAAGTAACGAAATTGTATCAGGATGGGGTAAAAGTTTCAAAGATGAACGTAAAGAATTCTCTGCCAATCGTGCATTACCAATTGCAATCAGACATCGACCTAAAGCGTAATTTATAATAAAAAATGTAAAAGAGAAGAAGAAGCGCAAAAAAAACGAGACATGAAATATTTTTGCATATGTGTCGAGCCTTTCAAACGTTAATGTCAAACCTTTCTGAGTAAGCCACCACCAACCAGCTTCTGTTTTATTTAATTCCATCACGGCATTGCATAAATCAAGTGCCTTCTTAACATCTCCCTCGTGGTAATATAAAACTTGAAACAGGATTTTAGCTACTGTTGATTTCATTGCAAACACCGATGGATTAAGGCGAGACATGTTGAAAGTGTTGTCAGAGAGGGAAAATATTGATGCTGAGCCAAGTCTGATATTGCGTGCGGTATTTCCACGTCCACTTTGGAGTGCGGTTCGATTTCCAGTCAATGAAGATGTTCCCGCACGTTGTTGAATTGTCCCAGGTCTTGCGACTCCAGTTAATGGCCGACCTGTCGACGTTCTCGGTCGCGACGACGCTGTTCGTTGTCCAGCCTTAATTGCTGTTGCCGTTCTTAACGATGTGCCTGGTTTAGGTGCTGTCGCGAGAATTTCAGTGTCCATTGGATCATCTAAATGAGTGCAAAAACACCATCGAACCAAATTAATTTCTGATCTTGCTGTAAGCTGTTCACAAACCAGTTATAATTTATTTTAAAACAGAGAAGACAACAGCTTATTGAGGAAAAGAATTCACCAAAAAAGCATCGTTTGACAACAAAATAATAATAAAAAATGCTCAATAACATAAGGCCAATGAAATGAAAATAATAAAAGATCTGCATCATTAAATGATGCGCAAAATAAAATTGTTTGTATGAGAAGAAGGTAATAATTATGTATTTGGTGAAGCAACACGAAGCGTAACATGCATCGATAAATATTGTTCTAGATTGCATTATTAAACTAAACAGCATTCTTATGACACAAATTTCAATTAAGTTTTGGTCTAGATTTAGTTTTATCTATGCTTCCAAAAAACAGAAAAAACGCGAAATTGTGTACAAGAAACGAAAATGCATCTACAATTCTTCCTCCTTCTCGAGAACGAAACAAGAAGCGAGTGTTGAAAAATGTACGAAAATTGTTTTGGTAATCAATCGAACCTGTTACCGCATCCTCTTCAGCTTCGATATCATCAATATAAACTCTTTGAGTCATGGCTCGCATTTTCAACTCCCAAGGTCCTTGAAGCGATGGATTGTTGTTGAGTAGCTCATTACAAATTTCAATACACTGTTCATACTTTCTGCGACGGAACAATGAAAGTGATTTTAAATATGGATCCATTTTGACTTCGTGCCGTGTCCCTGTTTATTTTTTTTTAAGTTTCACTCTTCACATCAAGTTCGTTGCCTTTCGTGTTGTTATTTCTGGGCAGTTTGATGATAATGCCTTTTTAGCTGCTTCTTTTTTTATTTTATTTTCTCTTGGTCTTTGGTCTTGTAATATATATTTCATGAATAAAATAATGAAGGCAAATTTGAGTTCGACAGCCAAAAATCAGAAGAATCTGGTCTTTAAAAAAATGAACGAATGAGAGAAACACCTTTGGTCATATATTTGTAAAGTTTTCTAGAATTTTTTTTCAATTCCACAAATGCTTGTTCGTATTCTTTCATTTATTTTTTAAAGAAGTTGCTTTTTTTTTCAGAACTGAAGTTTTTTTCGTTTTAAGCAATAACAACGAATTAAATGCATGACTCTATGCATACACTGAATGTTTATTTTTAAATTAAGAGATTAAACAGCTCGCATTCATGTTAAATTGCATCAGATTTTAAACTTCTTCTTTTTTCGATTCGCATCAATTTAAGTTAAGGAATCTTTTTTTCCAACACCGAAAACAAGCAGTAAACTTAAATTTTTTTATGTTCTTAAAAATTCAACCAACATGATTGTAGATAATCGTTATTGCACTTTCATGAAATGATATTGGCCTGCTGGATCCTTTTAAGTTTAATGAATGTGCAATGAAGTTGAACTGACTTCAAGAAATAAAAACACAATTTTTTGATGTTTCTGGAATATTGAATAGATAAAAACTGCACAATAACATTGAATGTTGTTATGATTCAATGGTTGGCATGGAGATATGTTAAATTTCATTGTAGATAATTAAACTTGCTAAAAGTCATTCATTCATAATTTCTGTTTTTAAAATAATATTTTTTATCATAGTTTTCCTTTTATTTAGATTTTATAATACAATAATCATGATTTTATGATATTACTAAAAATTAAACTTTCAAAAAGCTTTTTGTTCAACGGATACAAATTTAAAAACATCTTCAAAAGCTCGTTTTCAGCAAACTCAGCAGATTCATCAAAAAACATTCATTCTGATGTTTTGTTGTGCAAAGAAAAACATTGAAGAAAGCTTAAGTTCAATTTTTCAAAAACCGTTAAGTCATTAAATTTTCAAAACTAAAAAAATATTTGTTTCTTGTAGGAATTAAATTAGATTTTAATTCATTGTTGATTAGTTTTCTTTCATGTATGGAAACAATAACAACTTGTTATCATGAATGACAAAAATATATAAACTAAATATTATGATACTGTGTGGGCGACAGTAGTAACGATTCAAAAATATCTTATCATGAAGTTAAATATTTGGAGCAAAAAAATGTTTTTTACAGTTCATGAACATATTCTTGACTTAAATATGTGCTAATTTTTTTTGATCAAATATAAATCAAAATGCAAAAAAAAATGTTGACATAAATAAAGTAAATTGCGAAATAGCTAATTTCGAAGTGATCAAACATTAAATAATCTATTCATACATTAAGAAATAAATAAACTTGAATTTGTCAAATAGTTTCAATAGCAATTATTATTTTTTTGTGTCAATTGTATCTTTTACGTTTAATCCAAGAAGTTCCGCGACGTGTTGCATGCATTTTAGTGAAGCTTCGTGACAATCTTCCGAAAACTTAATTGAGAAGAAAGAAAAATAATTAAAATTTAAAATCAAAGCGATTGGTTAATATCTTACATTGACAAAATTTAAAAATCCATGGATTAGAGGTCCTAGAATATCAATTTGTACGTTAACTTTCAAACCCCTCAGCTTCTTTGCGAAATCCACACAGTCGTCAATACATGGATCTGTAATCATTGACAAAATTTTTGTTGGTGGAAATTGAGCGAGAATTTCGTCGGGCGCCCAATAGGGTGAAAGCAAATAATCTCTTGGTATTTCAAACATTAGATTTGCATCAAAATATTCTTCCTTCGTACAGTAATGTAGTGGTGATAAATTTTCTCCACAACAATTTGGACCATTTAATTTTCTTGCATTGCCATATAAGTTGAAAATTTTTAAAGTTAGTCCAAAAGGAAGAAAGGCATCAGTGAATCCCATAAACCTTGCTGGTGTTTCGACAAGATTAATCAAATAAATGCTGTATGCATTAAACATTCCTTTTGGTGTAGGAACTCCCATTTCAATACATCTAATAAGACAAGCGGTTAGTAAATTAGCGCCAGCTGAATCGCCAACAAACACAATGTTTTCTCCAGTTGATCCAAGTTTTCGTGAATTTTTTAATGTCCAACAGTACGCATATACGATTTCTTCAATCGCACGAGGAAAAGGAGCAACTTGAGCTAACGTATAATCAATTGATAAGATTGGAACATCCAATTTTATTGCCCATTCTCGGAGATAAACTTCATCTGAATAAATAAAATGATTTTATAATTTTTAAACAAAAGTAACATTATTTGAATGTCTTACGTGTTTTTGAGCTTTGGGAGATCCATCCACCACCATGTACATGGAAGATCAAATATTTTGATTGGCACTCGTATTTCCACCCACGCAATTCGCCATTATCAGTGACCTGAGAACAAGAATTATATAATAAACAAATGTTACAATAATATCCTAATCATCTTACCATTCCATGTCGCTTTTTTGCGCTTAAAAGACGACATAAAATTGGAGAAACAGCAGCGTGACTTGATGGAATTGGAATCGAGACTTTCTTTTGAAGCTTTTCACTGTAGATTTCAAGTTCATTTGTTGGGATAGTGAACTCTCTGTTGATCGATAAATGAGCTCCCATAATATCAATCAAACATTTCATTGGCCAGCAGCTACTAAAATTCAGAAAACTCTGAAAACAAATAATATTGAATGTTAATGTCAAGGAGAAATATTAATATGTGAAGTAGATGTTTACCACCAAAAAGTTAATTTCAGCATGTTTATTGACCTCAAATAATCTTCGAGCACAGGCATCGGGGTTTGACATGTAATATTTACACCTATTTAGTGACTGAATTACTTTCATTGGGTGTTTTTCTTTTGTGAAGTAATATACTGAATGACATGCAATCATGCACGCAAGCACTTTCACTGGGAATTTTATTGAATCAAGATACTGAAAGCCAATAGAACGACCAAGGAAACATTCGTGATTGATAAATCTTGCTGATCGCGTGATGATGTTGTCGTGGTGACAGCTGCGACCGTAGAGAAATCCCTTCTCAGCTGCTTGGTGCATCTCCTTTAAGCCCATGGCAATATGGAATAAACTTTGAATCATTTGACTACAAACATAGACTTCCCTGTTAAATTAAAATTGCTGAATTAAAATAGGAAGCAATTGATTAATTGCAATCATGTTTACTTTGAATCTTCTTCCTTATCGGCGAAAAATTTACTTTTGCTATCAGAAATTCTTTTCATCATTTTTTTAGTGCAATTTAGGACACATGTGTAGGTGTAAATAAAACTTCGGTATCCATTTCCCGGCGTTTTTGAATCAAAGTCATATTCATGAGCAAAATCTTCAATTTCTTCAGCCATTTTTTTAACTTTAATCATATATTTATGTAGGTTTGCAAAATTATCATAAATATCTCGGCCAAGTCTAGTTTTATCTGTTTTAAAATAATTAACATTTTCTTCACATAATTTTAGCATTTGATCTCTCATTATTGTTTTTTTTTCTTGTCTTTTCAAATTACGTATTAAGATGTCTTTAATTGAAAATCTTTGTTGAAGACGCTTTGGTTTCAAGAGCACTTATGATTTAGGTTTAAACTAAATGTGTACACATAAACGATTAAGTCAAGTTGAAAAAACTTAAAAATTTAAAAAAAAATTTCTTTGATATTTGAAGGTCCGATTGCTACCAGGTGTAACTACAAACTGCCGATTTTCAAAGATAATCTTTTTACATGATATGTTATCTGTCCTTTTTTTATATAGAAAAGAAAGTTCCTATGTAAAAGGTAATAAATTAAGAAGATTAGAACGAGAAGCTTTTTAAACATATTTTAAGGATGTGTTAGTGTGAGAGAGAATTTCTGAGTATTTTCATCTCTCCTTGCATCTATTCTTCTTCTTCTTTATGTAGGTAAATTATGTAGGTAAACCATTAACATAGGTAAACTGAAACTCTCTTCTTCATCACGGAAGAATTTATTAAGTAATCTATCAAACTCAGGAATGTAATCAATTTAAACTTACACATAAAGATTTGCAGGTACAAGAGTTACTATTTAAAAATTTTCATTTTATTTCATTTCACATGGATACATAAAATAAACATTTATTATGTAAAATTGCATTGCTAATTGAGATTACCCTTTTTTTTCTTAAACTGCAAAAAACTACATCCACTAGTGCTATCGAATCGAAATTTTATAAATTTAATGAATCAATTCCACGTTGTTTGAATTCATTTTATTCGATTTCAAGAAGATTCTTTATGTGCTTCAAACAAGCCATTGAACCATCATGACAATCCTTTGACATCTGTTGGAAAAATTAAGATTTAATGTCTGTCCCATTATGAGTATTAACATAAATAACTCACTAGAGTGAAGTGCAAAAAACCATGTGCTAAGCCGTGTAAAATCTCAACGCCGACGTCAACATTTAACTTCTTCAACCGCTTACCTAATTCAATGCTGTCATCTAAGCATGGATCTAAATTTGTTGATAACATCCGAGTTGTAGGAAATTGAGAGAGAATTTCATCAGATGCTAAATAAGGGGAAAGTAAAGGACTGTCATGTACATCAACATCAAACTCATGAGCTAAAGATTCGTAAATGATTCTTTGTTTTTTCGCCTTCTTCTTTTTGGATTTAACATTTTTCTCAGTGTCGTTGACATAGTTAGCGTCCACTTTTTCTTGTTTTGCTCCATAGCTTTTGAAAAGACGTGTAGTAAAACCGTAAGGTAAGATAGGATCAACCAACGATAAAAACCTTGACGGTACGACGGTGAAAGCAACCAGATATGGAGCGTAAATGTTAAATAAACCCTTAGGTAGTCGAATCCCATGTTCAATGCATTGAATGACACAAGCTGTGTTGAGGTTTCCCCCAGCAGAGTCACCAACAAAGACAATATGTTCACCAGTTGAACCAACAAATTCTGGATTTTGTAAAGCCCAGCAGTAGGCGTAGAAAATCTCTTCAATGGCTCGGGGAAATGGAGCTTCAGGCGCTAAACTGTAATCAACTGATAAAATTGGAACATCCAATTTCGATGCCCATTCACGTAGATATGTTTCATGAGATTTCGATGTTTGAGCAGCCCAACCACCTCCATGAACATGGAATATCAAATGCCTTGAAAGTTCTGCTGATGATGCCTTGGTTTTACCAAACTTTAATGAAAGTTTCGGAATTACCTTATGTAAATCATTTCAAATAGGAATTTTTACTAACCATCCCTTTACGTTTCTTTGCACTCATCAAACGACATGAAATTGGAGCTAAACCTATATGGCTCGTTGGAAGTTGTATTTCAACCATTTTATTGTCCCTTTCACTAAAAATGTGTAAAGGCTCAGGTAAAATTTTAAAAATCTTGTTGACCTCAACCTTTCGTGCCATCGCACTTGGAACAGTGTGAAATATTTTTCCTTCTTGAAGGAACCAAAATGACTGAAATTTTTTTTGTTTTATTATTTTAGATCTTCATTAAGTACCTTTTGTCATTTGTTGAGAATAATTTTTTATACTTACACGACAATATTCAGTTGTTGAGTTTTGGCTCGCATGTAGATACTTCTTAGCTCGTTTCGATGGATGAAGATGATACTTAGAGAATGAAATTGGAAATCGTAGAACTTTTAGAGCCTTCGGCTTACTCTTGAAGTAGAAGCTATAATAACTTGCCATCGAAACAACAATGAACTTAATAATTGGCCGCATGGAAGGTACAAATTGAAATCCAATGTTTTTACCATAAAACGGCTTTTCATTGATATTTTGTGACGTTTTTGTTAAGATGCTGTCAAATGTATCGCAATGATTGTACAGACTTCTCTCGTCATCTTTTTGATGGACTTCAATCAGAGCTTCGCAGACTTGCGATAGCGCTGTGAAGATGTCATTCCACTCTGAAAGATCACTGCGAAATAAAAGTGAAGAAATTTGTTATTCAAAAATCATATTTTAATTCCTGTTCGATGAACATTGTACTTTGCGTAGTTGTCTGCACGGAACAGAATATTCTCCCTCTCTCTTATCAATTGTTGGCTTATTTTTGTTGTTTTTCTAACGGCCGATGAAAAAACATTGAGAAAGCTTCGGTATCCGTTTCCTTGTGTAGCTTCATCAAAATCGTATTCATGTGCAAATGTCGCGATTTCTTCAACGAGTTTTGTACACTTTTTCACAGAGTTTTGAAGATTGTTTAAACAAAATTTTAATGTTTGATGCTTGACGTTATTATTGAAATAATTAATAGCATCGGTTAGTAGTTGATTTAATTCATCGATGCGATCATTTTCTATGTTCAAAGTACTCATCTTTATTCAGATGTCTTTCTTCATAAACTGTCGATCTACTACTGAATAATTTTCTGTGATCACTTCACTTTAACAAGCGAGTAAGAACTAAAATAATAATCGTTTCGCACTTGATCAAGTTCAAATTAAAATAAGAAAGAAACGATGTTTGTGTTGAGCAAATTCAATTTTTTAATCGTTCTCAACCAGTAATTAGCTTTAGCTACAATAATTAAATCTCAACGACAGACTGTAGTAGACTGATTTTGATATTGCAATTTTAACAAATCTAAGTAACGTTATCAAACACAGAATGAATACAAATATTTCTTATCTTGTGCATGAAGAATTTTTGTTTATTTTTCAATAATCCTATTTGTGTATGTTATAAACATGATTATCATATTATTTGTACATGTATATTGCTCAATTTTTCATAGTTTTGCATGCATGTATCAAAGAGTACACAGTACAATCGTGTCTTTAAACGAAAATAATTTCATCTGAATCAGGTAATGTGATACATTAATATCTCATTGCACCAACGAGTTTTGTATGATGTGAAGGCTACTTCAGTTTGACCTCCAACTCTAGAAGTTCTGCTACTCGTTTCACACAAACCAATGAACCATCATGACTCTCATTTGAGACCTATTGAAATAGACAAATTCCTAGCCATTAGTTCTCAGTCAAGTTAAAATATTTCTACTCATTTGTCAGGTATTTTAGTTTGGAATCTGATAGAGACATAAGCTCTTGGAAATTCCCAAACAGTTACATAAACTCACCTGTGAGAAATTCAAAAATCCGTGATTTAGTCCATCGAGAATATCCAAGTGAAAATCAATTCCCGCTTTCTTCAATCTCTTTGCAAACTCCACACTTTCATCCAAACATGGATCAAATGTTGTCGTCAACAAGTTTGTCTTTGGGAATTTCTTTAAAATTTCTTCAGGAACGTAATGAGGGGAAATGAGAAAATCGTCGGATAACTTTTCGTCAAACTCATCAGCCGGTGCTTTTGGAATTTGTCCATTTTTAATCACAACATCTTTTTCTCGCATAATTCCATTGTATGCATAGAATATTCTCATGTAGAGCATGTAAGGAAGTATCACATCAAGTGTGCACAGGAATCTCGAAGGCGTGTTCATGTAGTTCGCCAGAAAAACTCCATAAATACTGAATAATCCCTTTGGTATTTGTACACCCGTTTCAATGCATTTGATGGTGCATGCAGTCATCAAGTTTGCTCCAGCTGAGTCACCAACCAAGACAATATCTTCGCCAGTTGATCCAAACATTTCTGAGTTTTTTAAAATCCAACAATAAGCATAAAAAATTTCTTCGAGTGCGCGTGGGAAAGGCGCTTTCACTGATGATGTAAAATCAATTGAAACAATTGGAACATTTAACTTCAAAGCCCATTCTTTCAAATAGGAACCATCTGAAATTAATCATGATTATGATAATAATAAAATTGATGGCGAATGATTAAAATATTTAATTGAAAGAACTCACGAAATTTTGAACTTTGGGTAAACCAACCACCGCCATGTGCGTGAATAATTAAATATTTTGTAATCTCATCTGCTGATTCTTTGCTTTTTTTGGGAATCTAAGAATGAAAATAGTTTCAGATTAGAGATTAAGAGAAGTTCGTTTGAATCTTACTTGCATGCCTTTACGATAACGAGAGCTGAAAACGCGAACATTAATCGGTTTAGTTTCAATGTGACTCGAAGGAACTTTTATGTCAATCAAAGATTTCTTAGTTGTACTGAAAATCTGTAATGGTTCAGGTTGAATTTGGAAGACTCTGTTCACTTGAATTGATGGTTCACTGAATTCCTGATAAATTCCGTACAATCTTGTTTCCGATAACAAAAACATTGACCTTCCCATATCAAGTCCATAATTTTCATAAACTTCAACGATGCGTTGAGCTGATAAATCTGCGTTGAGAAGATATTTGAAGAATAATTGCGGAAAACGCACATATTTCATGAAGGTGTTTTCATTTGAGTAGAAAACTTCCGAGTAAGCTGAAGTAAATGCAGCAATTTGTTTTATCAAAGGCTGCAAAGATTGTGGCAACTAAAGTATTCAAACAAAAGTAAGAAAATTTCTTGTTAAAAATGATTTTAATTCATATTTACATGAAAAGCGATAGCTCGGCCGTAGAAAGCAGTTTGGTCGATTTTATCAACCGTCTCTCTGATTGTGTTTTTAAATTCACCAACTTCTGAGAAGAGATTTTTTCTTCCCGACTTTTCATTGTGACTTTTGATGAGACTTTCGCCAATGATGTTCAAATTTTTGAAAATATTATTGTAAGTCAATATTTCTCTGGGAATTAAAAAAATTAACATTTTAATCTTCTATTGTAAGTTGATATGGTGGAAACAAGTTTAACTCACTCGATATAAAAATCTATTTTGGCGAAAACTTTTTCACGATTGTCCTTGACATTTTTACAAATTTCGATTGTTGATAACTCTGCCGACTGAACTACAAGAGTGAAACTTCGATAACCATTTCCCGGTGTGTCTTTATCAAGATCGTATTCACTCGCGAAGCTATTAATCTTTTGCAACACTGTTTGAATATTTGTTGTTTGATCTAAAAGTTGTTGAAAACTTTGGCTTATCTCGAAAGTGTCGTTACCTTCGCCATTGCTTACAAAAAATTTCAAATTGTCTGTAATCACTTTAATTAATTCACTACTCATGATTGTTGGTACCAAAAGCCGAAGATGAAGAAACAAACATTAACCAACTGACTTTTGACGAAAAGCACGTTTAGCTTTGCTGAGTTTTCAACCAACACTGAAATTGACATAATGATTGTGAGTGAGTAGACGACAACTTAGGCTGTTTCACTCAAACTTTTTGAGTTTTATTATGAAGGTTTTGTTGTTATTTTTATATATTTTTTGTTATTTCTTCTCTAAAAGTTTCCCGAAATTCAAAACTGACCTCTTTCATTACATAATCTGTTCAACATGATCTCGTTTTAAAGTATTCGAATTAAAATCTTAGGATTCGAATATTGATATAGACTGTAAACATACATACATGTTTAAATATATTTGTGTCCAGATTATTGAATTAAATACCTACTTTTACTTTGTATGCAACTAAAATTTCGAACGCTTCGTATATCATCAGTTGTATAATTTGAAACTTTAACACATTTACATTTATCAATTCTTGTTATTTTTTGTTGATACAAAATATTTACATTAATTAGATAGTTTGATTCTCCAATAGGTTTCTGATGGGTATATCGATGAAGAGTGTTGGAATTACCTTCTGATTATTGTCGAAACTTCGAAAATAAATTTATTGTAATCTGTTTTTTATGATTTTATTATGTTAAATTAAAAATTTATTGAACTGGAATCTTTATTCTTACATATATTTGCTGAAATATTCTTCATTGTTCTTTATTTCAACTACAACTTGCTATGTCATTAGAATCATCATCAAAATAAATTTTATAAGATAACAAGTTATTCATTAAATCTTTTTGTGACATAAGATAATCGCTGGAATTTCGCACATTCAAAAATACATAATTTCAAGAAGTTTTGTGAGACGGTTTTATATTATAATTTAATTATAAACAACTAAGTAATTGATAAGGTTTGTAGGAATATCTTCATACGTATGAAAAATAAATTTAATTCAAGTGAAACATCGCAATATTTAAATTCTTCAAAGATTTAATTCATGAGAATTTTTTTAATATAAACTTTTTAAACTATTTAAAGGAACTCAACGATCATTGAAAAGATGAGTAAACACAGAAACGTCATACTCAGAAGAACTCTTGCAAAGATCACTTTTCAAAGCTCTTGAAACTTTTTGCATTTGTTTTCAAGCTTTTTCAAGAGTCCTGTACAATTAATATGCAAAATAAGTTTTTATAGAACTTTTCAGACAACTTGAAAAAGTGATTTGTTAAAAAAAATACGAAATAATCATTGCGTAACGATTATGCTCGAAGACGTGTTATTCCTAAATAATCTTCAAACCTATTAGACAATTATCTTAATTAAATAGTTGGATTTATGCTCGCAAGAAACAAACAGTAATTTTTATTTTTATTGTAATGAGCACACGTAAAATAGGAAAATAACTTTTAGTTTATTAATTATAAAATCTTCTTACAAAATATATAAAGAATAATTTTTGGATCTCCTAAAGGTATATCATATTAACATTTCAATCTGTAGTAATTATTTATTTTAGTATTTGTTACTTTTTTCAAGGTAAAAAAAAACCTAATAAAAAGAGTTTCGTATGTATCGAAATTAGCAAATATCTATATTTAGTTTTTTTGAAAATTTACGAGCTTCTTTGATATTTATTGGCGGTAAACTTACATTTTGATCATGTTGATTTTTAACAGTCGAAGATTATTAAATGCCACAATCACAAAAAATTTACTCACGCATTATAACATTTGTATCTGGTTAAGATTATTTTATTACCTTTGATCAGAGACATGAAACGAGCATGAAACGAACATCTAAGCTGTTCACTTTACAATTAATATGCAAAATAAAACTTTCGCCTTCCAGGTGTTCAAATCTTTATCAAGATCGTATTCACTCGGGAAGCTATTAATCTATTGCAACACTGTTTGAATATTTGTTGTTTGATCTAAAAGTTGTTGAAAACTTTGGCTTATCTCAAAAGTGTTGTTAGTCACTTTAATTTAATTCACTACTCATGATTGTTTGTACCAAAAGACGAAGATGAAGAAATAAACATTGTCTAACGAAGCAGATTATTTTTTAATGAGAAGCACGTTTTGCTTTGCTGGAAATTAAATTGACACTGAAATTCACACAATATTTTTGTACACCGCTTGAAGAATGTTTTGTTTTTAATTCTCTTGCTCAATGAAGTGAATAATTGGTGATAATACAGCTGGATCATATTCATTTCAGTTTCTTTTATTTAAAGTTTTTTCATCAAAAAATATTATACATATTTAAGAATTGTTAGTAAGAAAATCTGAAACACTTACTAGAAATGATTAATATCGATCTATCGTAGCCTATTAATCTAAATATTTTATTTTTTAAGTGCGAATGTTACTATCTTGTCTAGACATGTAAAATAAAATTCTGCTTTTAATATTACTTCACGCTCGTAATTTCATTGAAAATATAGTGATTCAATATTTATAAACAACTTAAATTTAATTGAACTGCATAGTTTCTCATAGGTTTAGTTATGAGAAATTCCCATTCAATCCACTTCAACTTCTGGTTTCCGAGTAAATTTCTGAAGAGTTAAGCCTAAAAGTTCAGCAATGCTTCTCATACACATCATTGATCCTCGATGGCTTTCTCTAGAGACCTGATTAAAAATATAATTTAAAACAACTTTTTAAATAATTCAGTTTATAAAAAGCTTTTAATTTTAAATCTAGATACATGTAGATTGCAGAGATTTCCAAACTTTTCAAAAATTCCACTGACTCTCAAACTTTTTATTTCTCTTCCTTGATTTGATCTTTGTGAGTAATTTCAATTGAGCTGATTCAATCTTTTACAAGAATCTCTCAATAAAATTTATTCTTATAAATATTGAAAGAAAAGGCACTAAACATTTCGTTTAATAAAATACAAATCAGAAATCTAGTCAAGAAAATACAAAGCAAATAACTTATTGGATCTTCTAGTCTTGTTTAAAAAAAATATTAAAATTATTAAATTGAAAATTTGTATTACCTGAGCGAAATTAAGAAAACCGTGATTAACGCCTTCAACAATATCCAGTTTAATATCAACATTAAGATTTCGTAACTTTTTACTAAACTCAACACAATCGTCTAGACATGGATCGACAATAGTTGTTAGTATTCTGGTCGGTGGAAATTGCTTGAGAATATCATCGGAAGCTAAATAAGGTGAAAGATAAGGATTTTTTGGAACTGTGAAGACGAATTCGTCATCAGGTGCTTGAGGAATCAAATTATTTTGTAACTTAGGGATCGTTTTCAATGAACTTTCGTTTGTTGGCTTAAAAGGTGTAGTGATTGCATTCACAAAAGTACTTGTCGCTTTCTGGAACCTTTCCTGGAAATTTTGAAGGCTCAAAGCATCTATGACAATGTTATCTTCACTTAATGTACGTGATCCTATTCGGTCTCTAGGTTTTGATTCTTCTATTGTTCCATGTTCAACCCTGAAAAATATTCAACAATTTTTTATGTAGATTGATTGATAAAATCAATGAAAAATTTAATCTAAAACAAGTTACTTTTCCAAAAACCCTGACATTGTTTCATCTTTTTTCTGCTCTTGTGGTCGTGATGAAATCTTCATTTCCAAAGCATCATCATCATCATTCTCAACTTGAGGAAACAGGAATGGTGAAGTTGGTTCTTCTGATGGAGTTTCTCTTATAGAACCCAAATTTGTTTGCCACTCATTTTCTTCTGTGTTATTTTTAATTTTTTGCCACATTGCTTCAAGTGTTTTGCTACTGTCAGATGATATCAAAGCGTTCTCATCTTGATTGTCATCACGGACCTCTTCAACCAACTCATGATGGATTTTATTATTTTTAGACAGCGGAACATTTTGTATGTTCTCGTCAGCTTTAGAAGCTCCATAACTTTTAAAAACTCGCATAATGAATCCATAAGGTAAAAGTGGATCAACAAAACTTAAAAATCTAGCTGGGGTAGATGCGAAATTCACCAGGAATGGCGAATAAGCGTTAAATATTCCCTTTGGTGTTCGTATTCCCATATCGATACATTTTACAATACAAGCTGTATTGAGATTACCACCAGCTGAATCGCCAGCGAAGACGATATGTTCACCAGTTGAGCCAAGAAGTTCCACGTTTTTCAATATCCAACAATATGTGTAAAAAACTTCTTCCAATCCTCTTGGAAATGGAGCTTCTGGTGCTAGACTGTAATCAATCGAAAGTATCGGAATATCCATTTTAACAGCCCATTCTCTGAGATAAAATTCATCTGAAATTTGAATTTTCATATTTATGTTAAGATACAAAAAATTAAAGTAAATTCTTACGAGACTTTGAGCTTTGCGCCACCCAGCCACCTCCATGACTATGAATTATTAAATATTTTGATGGTTCTAATGAATTTTCCGAGAATGACTTTTCACCAACCATTCCTTGCCTACGTTTTGCACTTAACAATCGACAAGACACCGAACCAAGTCCAATATGACTAGTTGGAAGTGGAATATCAATATTTTTATTATGTTTTTCACTGTAAATCTGTAATGGCTCAGGGGGAATTTTAAAAACTTTGTTGACATCAACTTTGTATCCAACAATTCCAGGAAGCGAATGCATTAATTTGCCTTCAGCTAAGAACCAATAAGACTAAAAAAAGAAACAAATATAAATAATTTAAACCAACTTATGAGTAATAATGAGTGATGAGTTTAGTTTACCTTACAGAAGTTTATATCAGCATTGTGACTAATGTTGACAATTCTTTGAGCACAATTTTCTGGGTCTAAGAAATATTTGCTATGTGCGAACAGGGAATTTGTTGATCGCAAAAGCTTATTGCCATTTGAAAAATATTGTTCAGAAAAGCTTGCCATTGATACTGCGAGGAATCTTAGAATCGGTTTCATCGAATCACAATATTGAAAGCCTATCGCACGACCATAAAAGCCAACTTGACTAATGACCTTGGCGTTTCTCGTAATCAAATTATCATGAGAATATTCTTTTGAATATAAATTTCCATCGCTCGAATTTTTATGCATTTTGATGAGGTTTTCGCATATTTGTAAGATGCTTTGAAGTATTTGACTACAAGCTTCAATCTCTCTAGAAAGATAATTATAGAATTGAATTTTAAAATGAGAATTGAGAATTGAGAGAAATCGTTCACTTGCTTCATGTAGATGCCTTTTCTAAACAACAAATTCCCACGATTTACTGCAATGTAATTGCAAGTTTTGTTTGTATGCTCAATAGCACAATCGAAAATATAAACAAAGCTTCTGTAGCCATTCCCTGGTGTGTTCTCATCGAAATCATAAATACTTGCAAAACCTTCGATTTCTTTTATTACCGGCACAAGAGAATTTAAGAATCTTACAATTCGTTCAAAGTTCGCATGGAGACGAATACCGATAAATGATTTATCAGCTTTGTAAAACTCTGCATTAGTCACGCTTAACGATATTACTTCATCAATGTACGAGTACTTTTCATCAGCGGATTTCTTTATCGTAAATTTGATCTCTTTTTCGCCAGCTGACTCCACTTTTTGTGCCATTATGTAATCGAATTAAAGCAATTCAGAAGAATTTAGATCCTTGATATCTGCTGAGTAATGTCACTGATATTTATACACAAAAGTTTTAATCAAATATTTGACTTTATTCAAATATTCTCTTTACACTTAGTTTTTTTTATGAGAGCTGACACTCGAGCGATACATTCAGTTCACGATCTCGACATTAACTGTGGTGGTATTTTCAAGTTACGCTCAAATAAATTTATTTCACAAGATTAGATAAGAAAAAAATTGTTTTTGTGTGAATACGTAAAAAAATTTAGTAGATACGAATATCGGATGAACGAACTTCATTTATTGTACAACGACTTAAAGTAAACAACATGCATGAACGGATAAAAATATCAATCGAAGTTAAAACTCATTCAAATAAAATCGTCAAATTTATGTCGTTTCAACAGTCGTTTTTATCCAGTCTGCAAAGTGTTGAACCTTTGTGTAAACGCCAGGAACTTGACTTCTTGCACATCCGATACCGTATGAAACGATGCCAACTTGGTAGTAGAAATAATCTCCATTTTTATTGAATGGGAACATGAATGGTCCACCCTATAAAAGAAAAGTTTACTTCTGAAAGCGTGAAATTAATGTGAGTGTTACTTACACTGTCGCCCTATTTTGGGGTCGTGAAATTGAAGGAAATAAAAATCAGTAAATGTTGTTGAATGTAAAGTTTTGTTTCTTACCTGACAAGAATCTTCAAGCGGAATTATTTTCATAATTTATGGAATAAAATAATTAAATATTTATTTAATTCATCAATTTGAATGATTTTCTCACCTTTTCCACTACAAAGAAAAAAAGAAAATTTCCAAATTAGCTTAACTTGTTTTCAAAAAAAAAATATCTCACCCTTCATTATATCCAGCACACATTACAGCATCGTCAAATTGCTTCTCATCAATGAACTTTCCAATAGCTTCGTAATTTGCTTTGCATTGTTGATTCGAGATGACTGGAAGTTGAAGTTCTTGAAGAACGTTTGCAGATTTTCCACCTTCTTGTGTTCTTCCTGTTTTCATTTAAAGATAAGTTCCAAAAACTTTTTCATCTTGCATCTTATTACTTACCCCAACCTGTAATAAAAATATTGAAATTATTTTCAATGATTCAAAAATTTGTGTGAGTCAAACTTACCAGCAACAAATGGAGTGTAGCCAACATAATCCTTTGATTTTTCTGGCTCAGTAAATGGAATACAAATAGGAGAGATAAGTGCTAAAATAAGTCATGAATAAATAGTTAAAAGTAAGAAGGAAAATTCAAACAAATCTTTTCTCATCTCACAGGTGAATTGAATGTCATCACCAAGAACTAAAATTGCTAAATCGCCATGACCGTATTTCTTTTCATATTTTGGATATTGAATGATGTTTGTAACTGGAATATCAACGTGTTCAGCTTCACTATCAGTGGATAAGTCATGTTCTCCTAATCTCACTGTGGTTCTTCAATTGAAATGAATTAAATCGTTCATTAAACTTGACGATCACTGATTATATGTAAATAAACAAACAACTTACAAATCTTTGCGAATACAATGAGCGGCTACAATCATAATGAAAGTTTAATGACTGGTGATTCACAGAATATTTCTCACGTCAACTCACCTGTCAATATATGACGTTTTGTGATAATTGAACCTCCACATTTGAATGAAACTTCACCAATGGAACTTGTGTAACCAACTAATGCCATCCACGGCCATCTAAAGTAATTAATATAATCTTATATCGAATTCCTAGAAGAGAATTCTGTGTCAATGAGTCAGTTTTCTTACCCGCCTGAAAGAATTCAAAATAAATAAAATTAGGGATTTTCCATAAAGAAGAAATCACTGAATGTTTGTGAAGCACATAAATAGTCACTCACCTTTCTTCGCTGGAACGCCTCCAACAACCCGATTATGGGGAACTTTTGAAATTCCGCAGCCTTCTGAAGGTAATAATAACCGTGAAGAAACCGCTGAATTTGGCTGCGCTGGTTGAGTTTCATCAGGTCGTTGTACTGGCTGAACAGGACGTGATGTTGTAGGATTGGCATTGTCTCTCGGACAACAAATTGATTGTGATGCGTAATTACAATTGGCGTTTGATTGACGAATATATTGAATGTATTCAGGATCTTTTTGTCTTTGAATGAAGGTTGTCAAAACTGATTGACACTTTCTTACGTCTGAAATGATGTTGGTAAAGTGAAATGTCTAAAACATTTGACACAATGTCAAGTTCATTTACCAATACAATAGCCATATATGTTATCGGGCGTGTTACATGCGTCTCCTAGTGGTGCAGATGTAGGTGGAGCAGTTGGTGGGGGAGTTGGTGGAGTAGTTGTAGCTTGTGGTACGCCATCACTACAGCACATTAAGGGATTCCTTCCAACTCTTCTGTTACCACAATTTCTTTGATTGGAAATTAAAATATTGATCGTCTGTTGAGATTGATCTCTTCTGTAAAGCTGAATTAAACTTCGACATCTAGGAAGTTCAACGCAAACACCCAAATAATTATCGTTTGTGTAACAGTTTTCACCTTAAACGGAACATCAAGTTAATATTTTTTTTCAAGTTCAACATTGTTATGAATGATGAGAATAAAAAAATAACAAGAAAAAAAGCTCAGACAAGAGACTTGAACGTTCGTGCGACAAGCGAACCTGATACGAAAAGAAAATATACAAGAATATCCAATGTTAAAAATGAGTCAATACAACTTTTGACCTTCAAGCACGATCATAATGTAAATCAATTTCGAACTTTTTTCTTATTAAATTCTTCATTCTTAAGTAAAAGTTTCATTTTCATGGCTATTATCATAGCTTAGTTCAAATTATTTATTATTAAGTGAGGTAAGAATGCAAAGATAGTTTCGTGTGCAACTGTTTAGCATTATTTGATTGATGTTTACCTTGAGAGTCGACAAGAATACTTAGCCCTAACACTGACAACGTAATCACAAACAATTTCATTTTATTTCATGAGATTTTCCTTTTTAATATAGAATGATAAATTCTAATTTCTTAGAACGATCAATAACACGAATACCAAACTGCCTTGCTAATCCGATTTAATTTCGATAATATTATGTTAATATTCAACAGTATAAAATATTGTTTTTTAGTCAAGATACGTGTGCGAAGTTGATGTGTACGACCAGTGGTCAAACGGAAAACTGAGCGAAAAAATGCGACTTGAAGTTTGTTTTATATTTAAATACGAAATGCTTGGCATCATCTCTCTCTCATCGAGCACGACCGGTTTATTAAAATAATAATTTGCACAAAAATACTCACAACGTTCACGTGTTGATGGTTGAGAAAACTGACCATGCGTTTACTACCGGCTCAAACAAAATTGCTGCTCTCAATTGATGCGTCATCGATGTGAAGATGAAAGTAAAGAGAGAACAAATTATAAATGCAAATATAGCTTTGGTGATCATTTTCACGCTATATTAAGGCTAATTGTGGGGATTTTTTTAATATCTTTCGATGAAGCATTCACTGACTGCTTTATACCTCTCAACTCATTTGCGAATTCTCAATATTCTTATGACCTTTGACCTTTGATATTAAAATATTCCAATCATCAAGGATGAATTTTTTAATTTATTTACTTCCTAAGTTTACGTTTTACGTTGAATCATTCTTGTAGAAATAAACAATTGTCGACAATGAACTTCATTTATTGCAAGATTTGAAGTACACAACATTCATCAATGAATAAAAATATCAATCGAAGTTAAAACTCATTCAAATAAAATCGTAAAATTTATGTCGTTTCAACAGTCGTTTTTATCCAGTCTGCAAAGTGTTGAACCCTTGTATAAACGCCAGGAACTTGACTTCTTGCACATCCAATACCGTATGAAACGATGCCAACTTGGTAGTAGAAATAATCTCCATTTTTATTGAATGGGAACATGAATGGTCCACCCTATAAAAGAAAAGTTTACTTCTGAAAGCGTGAAATTAATGTGAGTGTTACTTACACTGTCGCCCTATGTTGGGTTCGTGAAATTGAAGGAAATAAAAATCAGAAAAATGTTGTTGAATGTAAAGTTTTGTTTCTTACCTGACAAGAATCTTCAAGCGGAATTATTTTCATAATTTATGGAATAAAATAATTAAATATTTATTTAATTAAACAATTTGAATGATTTTCTCACCTTTTCCACTAGAAGAAAAATAAAAAAATTTCTTTGATACTTGAATAAGTTTGATTAATTTTTTATCTCACCCTTCGTCATATCCAGCACACATTACAGCATCGTCAAATTGTTTGTCATCAAAAACCCTCCCAATAGCTTCGTAATTTGCTCTGCATTGTTGATTTGAAACTACAGGAAGCTGAAGCTGTTGGAGAACATTTGCTGATTTTCCACCTTCTTGTGTTCTTCCTGTTTTCATTTAAAGAAAAGTTTCAAATATCTTTTTCATCTTGCATCTTGTCACTTACCCCAACCTGTAATAAGAAAATTGAAAATATTTTCAATGATTCAAAAAGTTTCACGCGTCAAACTTACCAGCAACAAATGGAGTGTAACCAACATAATCTCTTGACTTTTCTGGCTCAGTAAATGGAATGCAAATAGGAGAAATAAATGCTAAGATATGAATAAATAGTTAAAAGTAAGAAGAAAAATTCAAACAAATCTTTTCTCATCTCACAGGTGAATTGAATGTCATCAGCAAGAACTAAAATTGCTAAATCGCCACGACCGTCTCTCTTATCATATTTTGGGTATTTAATGATATTTGTAACTGGAATATCTACGTGTTCAGCTTCACTATCAGTGGATAAGTCATGTTCACCTAATCTCACTGTGGTTCTTCAATTGAAATGAATTAAATCGTTCATTAAACTTGACGATCACTGATTATATGTAAATAAACAAACAACTTACAAATCTTTGCGAATACAATGAGCGGCTACAATCATAATGAAAGTTTAATGACTGGTGATTCACAGAATATTTCTCACGTCAACTCACCTGTCAATATATGACGTTTTGTGATAATTGAACCTCCACATTTGAATGAAACTTCACCAATGGAACTTGTGTAACCAACTAATGCCATCCACGGCCATCTAAAGTAATTAATATAATCTTATATCGAATTCCTAGAAGAGAATTCTGTGTCAATGATTCAGTTTTCTTACCCGCCTGAAAGCATGCAAACGATAATTAAGGATTGAAAAAGTCGTAATGATCGTTTTTTCACCTTTATCCGCTGGAACACCTCCAATGATACGATCATGACGAGTTTCCGAAACGCCACAACGTTCTGAAGGCATCAAAAGTGTCGCATTGATTGAATTATTTCTTCGATCGGGGATAGGACAACAAATTGAATGTAATGCATAATTACAATTAGCGTTTGATTGACGAATATATTGAATGTATTCAGGATCTTTTTGTCTTTGAATGAAGGTTGTCAAAACTGATTGACACTTTCTTACGTCTGAAATGTTGTTGAATTGAAATTTGTTAAAGGACTAATAGGAATTTTGATCAATTTCACTTACTAGTACAGTAACCGTTTTTGTCATCGGGTGTTCTACAAGCGTTTCCTAATGATTCAGGCATTAATGGGGGAGTAGTTGTAGTAACTAGTTGTGACACATCATCGCTACAACATATTAAAGAGTATCTTCCAATTCTTTTGTTTCCACAATTTTCCCGGTTTGCAGTTAAAATATTGATGGCATGTTGGGAAGTTGGATCTTTTCTGTAAAGTTTCATCAAACTTTGACATCTTGAAGCTTCTATGCATACACCCCACAAACCATCATGTGTGTTACAATTTGGATCTTTAAAAAATCATTTGAGCTCATAAATACATCAAAAGTTTTAGAAATTTGACTTTGTTTCAAATTTTAAATTTAATTAAAATCATGATTACAAATTCCAAGAAGACGAAAAAAAAATTCCAAGAAAAATAATCTTTTCGTTTATAGAATAAAATTAGTGATTATGTTCACATTATCAATATTTTATAATTGCTCGGGTCAAAGCTTTGATGTGTGACGAGCAATAACAAGAGATAAGTTATTTTAACAAGTAATAGTTTGGAAATATTGTGAATTTAATCAGAATTTTTTATAGAATTATAAATAGAAGTTTTCTTTCATCCATAAACTATTAGAGAAATTACATTTACCTATTGATTTCACGACGATGATGATCTTTACAAGTATTAAAAAGTTGAGTTGAATTATTTTCATCCTTTGATCTTGTTTCAGATAATTTTTAGTGTCGTCAAATTGATTGTTCTTTATCAAAGAATTAACAATGGAACTTCACAGAATTGCAATCAGAATTTCTCTTTCGTTTTAAGAGTTAATTTACTAAACTCAAACAGCTGAAGGTTTAAACATGACTGAGAATGAAAAGACTGCGAATTTCATGCAATAGACATTTAAAAATACTTTAAAATTTCTCTCAATGAGAGAGTTTGAAAGCATCTAAATTTCATATGAATTTTAAATCTGAATGAGATTAAGTATTTTCTTAAATTATTTCGCAGGGTTCATTCAGTACGTCAGAAGAATTGAAGATTTAAATCTAAATTAAAATTTGTTTAAAAAATTTATTACCTAATTTTTATTAAAATGGTTTGTATTGGAAATAGTAAACAAGAATGACGAGGGTGAAATTGACAATTGATTTGAAATTCACTTATGATAAAAGCACCGTCTGCAAATATTTCAAATCATCTTTTTACAGAGATTGCGACAAAATTACGTTAGCAAAAATAAAACTTTCAAAAGGACTTATGATTATAATTTCATAATTTTAAGATGTTTTCCAACTTTTTCTTCAACAAATATATCATACAAATGATAATAAAAGGATAATTATTAAATAAAACATTTTCATAAGATGTCATCAAATTCTAGGAAAGAGAAGCTCCATGGAAAGCTGAAGATAGCCGGAAAATGGGAGAAAAATATCATAAAAACTATTTTCTTTCATTTCCCTGTTTGCTAAGTTGGGGAAATTCTCAAAACAATTTTAAAGATTAAGTTCATCTTTCAAGCTGTTTTTCTTAAATTAAACTGTTAAAAAATTTACTGTAGAAGTATGAAGCAGTTAAACTGTGCTTACATAAACATATTTAATGTTTTCTTTGAATGTTTTCAATGATTGTTTCAACGTCAAACATTGTGAGAAAAATGTTTTGCAACATTGGAAAGCTTTCAATGGAAGGCTCGTCTCGAAAGTCGTTAGTACGATGAATTCATTCATATTCACGTGGGAGAGAATATTCTTTCTTTAAACATCAGATAGGTACTTATTTACATTTTGCTTAACTTAGATAAGAAATTTATTTAATTTCACTGTATAATTGACATGAAAACATTTTTCTTTTATGTAACACTTCATGGTATTTTTCTACTGTCAACCACCGCATGCTATAATTATTTACAAGTATTTTTCCCATGAACTGATTCATGAGAAACCTTTAGAGTTAAGCCACATTTTCACTGAAACTTTTGATCTTCCAGATGTTATCATTTTAATTTGAACTTTTTTCTTTTCATGTTGATGTGTGTCTTTTTTCTGGCACGATTCATCTTCGCATCTGTTCATGTCTTCTATGATTAGCATGAATATTTATGTATATAGTATGCGGTCAATTAAGATGAAAAGTATATTTTTAAACTGAAAATGGAAATCATTTCAACAAACAAACATCGAAAGGCGCCTACATTAAGGGAAGTTAAAGATATTTCCATCTGAATAAAATTTATTTTGTGGGTCATGTTTCTGTGTTGGCTGTCGGTTTAGCGAAAGACCATTACAATGATTCCATTTCATGAATTTAAATAGGAATTATGAGTTTCATACATTTACTTTTCTTTATTTGTGATGAATACCCATTGGTGTTCTGACAAAAGGTATTTATTTGATATTTTGCTGCTTTAAAAATGTCCAGTCATGATTGTGCATGAAATTATGTATCTTTTATTACACTATTAAGTTCGTGCTCCATGAAATTATGTATCTTTTATCACACTATTAAGTTCGTGCTCCATCTGGTCAATTTTGTTCCTTTCAATTTACTTAAAATTTCTATCATATCATTGAACTAGAAAAACATGTGGAATTGAGTGAGGAAATGGAAAACTGTTCGTTGTCATTCAACTGTAGGGAATAAAAAGAAATTTTCTACCTGCTGAAGGCTGACGAAAATCAATAATCATTCAGATGGAAGAAATGTTGATGACCATTAGAATAATTCGAGAGGAAACAACCACACTTGGATCAAGTTCCCAAAAAATTTAACATGAAAACACTTTTTCTTCTCCTATTCTATCTGCATGGGTATCGAGACGAACGAGACGAAGAATTGTGATGGAACTCAGACATTTTATTGGTTTCTCCTTTTGGGTTTCAGTTGATTTGACAGATTAATTCCAAATGAGTATGAACGTCAGCATTGATACGAATTTAATTATGAAGAAATAACGTGATATTTTTTATATTATAGAAAAGAGCTTTAGTTGATGTTTTAATTTTGAGCAAATAAAAATTTTATGTCATCATTTCCTTGCAAAGAATGAGAAACGAATTGATTAAGTACTAGCTTCGTTCGTTTTATGGTTTTGAATTTTATTGTGAGTAAATACGGAGCACTAAAATAATTTTGTATGAACAGGATATGAAAGACTAAAGAATTGAGTTAAGTGTGCTAAATCAGCAGTATAATCATGAGAAAAAGAAAGACATTAAAATCTTTCAATAGCATTCGAATGATTTATTTGAATTTTAATCAAAATCTTGTCTCTTTTAAACAAAAATGATTTTAAAATGTTTAATTATAGCTTCTTCTTTTCTTCCTTAATTATATCCCATTGAATTAAAGCTGCTATTCGATCTGTCAAAAGAATTGCTGTAGAATGATTAATGTATGCTGTAACGATTTATTCATGTTTTTATGCTTTCCTTAAATCAATAAAGGAAACTTTTTATTTATTTTTTTTATATGTTTTACATCCACATTTACAACATTCAAGTTTCGATTTATCTGAGCTTTTCAGAAAATTTCATGTAATGTTACTTAAAGCCTAACAGGGAATGTGTCTGGAACATCGATTTTCTCAGAAAATAAATAAAGAATAAAAATTAGATGTCTAGTGATTGCGTATATCACAATATGTCACGTTTCTTTTGCGTGAGAGAAAGTTTTTTATTGATTATTTCTTTCCTTTCTATCACATTGTTGTAGATGTGTTGATTAATCTTATTACCTCGGACAGAAATGGCAAAATAAAAGTCAATTCACGAATAACAAGTTGAAGCATTATTACAGAAATAGTCCAATCACTTTCGTTTACATTGTCAGTTTCTCTTCTTGTTTCTATTGAATGAATTTATTTCGCAAAGAATCGATGTATGTAGTTACGTAGATCTCGAGGGCATATAATGACTATTATGACTCTTCAAGTGACACTGGCAATTCACTTCAGAATCAATCATTCCAAATGCTAAACTTCTATTCTCTCTCTGTAACAAAAATTCATTAATACTTATAAGTAATGGTTGCTTTCATGAGTTATGACTGATAACGATTGACATTGCTTGTTTTGATACACAAGAATAATAAATCACTTTATGGAAATCAGATATCGTCATCTCTCTATAAAAGGAAATTAAACCAAGCTGTTGAGTTCTTATACAGTTTTCATTAAACGAAAATAAATAAATTTTCTTCTTTTCTTTTTCACAAAATCTGAAACAAACATATTTTGAATGCCTCACATATGTAGAACATTGAAAAACAATTTTTTCTCTTTGACACTTTCAAGAAATGTTGTTCATAAGTCATTTGTCAGAAATATTTGAGAAATGTCACACGTGTCAAAAGCAAATTGCTAATTTTTAATGATAAATTTTATTTTTATGTTTCTGAGATGATGTTTACACAGAAAGTTTGTTATTTTTTTGAGTTTTCTGTTATATTTTATTTTTAAATGGTTGATAAAATCAATTTTTTTATTCTTTCTATCTTTATCTACGATCTCGTGTCCATAAAACAATGAAAAATTGGTCAATAACCTGAATAGAATTTTTTACAAGTTAAATAAATATTTCATACATAAAGAAGGATTGAACGTAGCATAAATTTTAATTAAAACATCAAATAAACAAACTATTCGACACAACTGTGTAAATATCTATTGAATAATCTCAAGTTTAAAACATGAACGATACAAATAAAATTGTTTAACACAATCTACATTGTTAGAAAATTTGAATCTTCAAAAGTTTATGTAATTTACATTTCATAACAAGAAAAGTTATTTTAAGGAATTTGTTAAATTTGATAAGTTAGTAAGTAAAGCATAAGAAGCTCTGTTTTAATGATGTCGGTTGAAAATTATGAGAACTTTTTAGTAAACTTCTAATTTGTTCATTCTTGGTTAGATGTTATAAAGAATGTTCTGTTGATGCTTGCTTACTTCGAAAAAAGAAATGAAAAAGATAAAGTAGAAACTCATAAAATCCTGATTACAAACAAAAGACATTTTGTTAAAAATATCTTTTAAATTTTCTTAGAGTTCTATGAAATTTTAATCTCACTTACATATACTCGTTTATTGCCCTCTGGTGATCTTAAGTTCTTTCTACACTTACAGTACCTCAAAATATCTTTGTTGAAAATCTGTCGCAACATCATTCAATTAACCTTATTTTCTGTTACATGAAAGAAAGTAGCAAAGATCACTAACCGTGATATGGCATGTCTAATTATCACATAAAAACCAATTAATGAAAAGAACTTTATGTCAAGTAATAAAATGCGAAAATCGTTGTGTCATCAAAAAGTCTTCACCTTATTTAAGTTCATCTGGAAAAAGTTTATGTTCTCAATAGATATCTTACATAAATAAAAAGAAAGAATGAAAGAGTAATCATTAATTTTAATGACATTTAATGTAATGTTTTCATCATCATTGAAAGCTTTCCTCTCTTATATTTGAAACATTGACTGGAAAGCTTTCCGAGAGAGAAAAAAATCGCTCAGCATCAATGAATGTATCGCACTGGAATGGATATCAAATATAAACATTTTCCCATACCGTTCTTATCGAATGTCGTAAACATTTTTTTCTTCTCTTTCCAAGAAAAAAAAAAGATTTTTCTCTGCTTCGAGGCAGATTGTTCAGTTTTACATCAACCGTTGACTCGTTCGCGACACCTTTAAACAACTCCTATTAATGTGCGAGTTGCTCGTGTAAATTGTGAGTTGTGAAAGGAAGAATTAAAGTTATGTCTTTAAAATGATTCATGTCAAGTGACAGATGAGTAAAAATTGTCTTCTGAACTTCCACCGTGTTAATAAATCTTTTCAATTAAAAAAAGAATAAGAAGGT